GTAACAAAGGACAATAACTCAGTAATTACTCTAGACAGAGTTATTGTTCTTGTGCACTGCACTTCCTCTTGTAGTGCTTGACCATTGTATGAAGTTGTTTTGAATTCCAACCAGTACGTTATGCTCCAGACAAGGAAAAGTATCAAAGGGCAATAACTCTGTAATTTGTCAAAATGGAGTAATGGTTCTTGTGCATTGCATTTCCTGTTAATGAGCCTGACACTTGTATGAATTTGTATTGAATTCCAAATAGTAGTTTTCAAGTTATGCTTAGGACAAGGAAAAGTAACAAAGGGCAAAACTCTGTAATTAGTCAAGATGGAGTTATGGTTCTTGTGCACTGCACTTCCTCTCAACGTGCTTGATCATTGTATGAAGTTGTATTGAATTCCAATCATTAGTCCTTCAGGCCATTCCCCAGGAATTTTGCCAGGCACAGGGGCAAGTTTTCGTGAAAATGGGGGTGGGTGTGTACCCCCGTCCCATGTTGAAAATTTTTGCTATTTTTATGTTTGCTACATCAAAATCTACTTTTTAACAATTTTTTACACTATATAATCATAAAATTAAGAAACAACACAATGAAAAAATTCATTTTATAAACAATATATACATTAACTATCTATTTTCACAGTCACTCTTCACTGTTTAAAACTGAGTCTTTCTTTAATTAGTGTGAACATCAATGTAGAAACAAAAAAAAGATGCTGGCCCATTGGAAAAAAAAACAGCCTTACAGGGGTCTCACTAGGATTTTCAAAATAGGAGTCCCGTCTCCCAAGCTAGAAAAAGTAAGAGTCCCAATTAATGTTGACTATGCTAAGCCATCTTTGCTGCATTTATGCAATTGATGTATATGATGAATAAACAGAATAAACGGTGAGGTAGTTGCAATGTGAACAGAGAAATAAACTTATTAAGGAAAAAAGGGAAACTCTGTATCATAAAAAGGTGATTGAAAAAGATCTGATATATAATTTCTAATACCCTACATCTTCAGAATTATGCTGTTTTCTGCCCAATTGACTCCAATCCCCCCCCCCCCTTCCAGTTATGCTCGGCGACAAAAAAGCAATGGAAAAGTAACAAAGGGCAATAACTCCATAATTACTTTAGATAGAGTTATGGTTCTTATGCACTGCACTTCCTCTTATATATTGTGCTTGACCATTGTATGAAGTTGTTTTGAATTCCAACCAGTAATTTTCAAGTTATGCCCCGGACAAGTAAAAGTAACAAAGGGCAATAACTCTATAATAAGTCAAGATGGAGTTATGCTTCTTGTGCACTGCACTTCCACTTAATGTGCTTGACCATTGTATGAAGTTGTATTGAATTCCAACCATTAGTCTTGAAGTTATGTTCTAGACAAGGAAAATGCAACGGACCGCTGGATCGACAGACCACCGAATGACTCCTATATCATGTATATACCCCCCAAACTTCGTTTCGGGGGTATAAATATGTGTTTGTAATCACAATTGTATATAACTTTTAGCATATCAGCATATCTTAACAAAGATAGGCATGTCTCCCTTGCAGAATTAATGGCTCCAACTTTGAAGCCATATTGGCTCCAACTTTTTCTGATTGGCAAATTTGGTGGCGCAAACTAAAATTGACCCAGAGGGAACTCTGGTGATGGATGGTAAACTACCAATTTGCTAAATTTTAAATTACAAGTCAGAAGACCTTGACTTTTGACCAGAAAATGGGCATAGCAAAACTAATCAAGAATTAACAATCTTCAAACAAGTTCTGGTTGAAGTTATTACCCATAAAAAAAACTAATAAAAGTAAACAAAGTTCATTGTAACCTTGACCTTTTCATCCTACATGACTATGGCAGGTAAGGATTTATATTTTTTGAAGTTTTTCAGTCTATGCACTTGATTTATTAAATCTTCAATTTTTTTGTTCACTTACTAGTAACAGAGCAACAGATAAGGTGCGTATTTGCGTATTTACGCAATTAATTTTGGGTATTGGCTCCATTTAATTGGGTAAACCAAAGCTTGATACCCTATGATTTCAAGATTAATTGGGTATTCAATTATGAAGATATGAATTTTATGGTTTCAATATCAATAAAATTTAATTTTTAAAAAAAAAGAAAATAGGATTAACAATTTACTAGAACTTTTCACAATAGTTTTATTATTTATATAAAATGCTCATGTTATATTTCATAACATTTTTAACAAGTTCGTTTTCTGTTTACGACTGTTTTGTTTCAAAACACTTTCCCTTTTATACGACGCCATATTGCTTTCGAAGCGTCTATTGTTACAGCTGGGACCTACTTATTGACGGTCTCCGCAAAATCAACCGTCTCTGCCGGTCTGTAAAGACCGTTGACCTGAGTAGACAAATCGACCGTCTCATGCTTTATTGATATGACTTAGTCGGTCTTTGGAGACCGGGAACCGTCAAAGACCGGAGACCGTTGATTAGTAAGCATTGATTCGGGAATATTCGGATAGCATGCATATCGATATAATTTGTCCAAAACTACGAGCGTACGACAGATAAATTTTGCGGTGATGAAAATGACAATACGCACGGGTTTTTAAGACAATTGCGTATTTTATTTTTTTTAATGGGTTTTGATACGCATTCTTTAAAAATCAATTGCGTATTTTATAAAATTAATTGCGTAAATACGCACCTTATCTGTTGCTCTGAGGTAATAAATAAGCAAAAATATAATTTTAGGATTATCTGCCCTTCTAAAAAGGCACCCTTTTATAACAATAAACAAGTACATCTCATGATCTGTATGTATACCAAATTTGAAGTGAATAGCTTCAACAGTTTCTGAGAAAATGGACCTTAATAAAAAAAGGTTTACCAACATCAAAGCTGACAAGAAGGTCATGACAATAGCTTCACTTTTTTCTTCGAAAAGTGGAGCTAAAAAAATAAAAGTAGCAATAACAAAGGAACAGCTGATTGTGTGATATACATGTAGTAGTCCATATCTGTCACCACAGTTATAAATATACCTAATATTTATAATTGATATTGGTGACATACAACAAATTTTCAAATCAAACAGAAACTGTTATTGATTATTTCAAGACTAAAGCCTAATACAAGATTATTTCATCTATTTAATTTATATCAGTAAAAAAGATTTAAAACAGTAGTTTTGTTGCTTTTACACTTCTAAACTCTTTACCAAGACATAGTCATATGTGTTGCTGAATTATGCATTTCTCGCTTACCTTTTAATGTAGAAAACTGAAAAGCAGCATTTCTCATTGGATCAAAAATGCAAATTTATTCTTGGTGGTGTACCAAATGGCCTTAAAATTGTCTTTTGCACAGGAGGAGTGCTTAAGAATAAGAAATAGGTCATTGTATAGCACTAGTATATTATGGGAGTTTGATCCTTTTCATAATCAGGGAGCACAAAAAGTCATGCTTTATATACTTTACTAATTAGTTATAAAAGTCTTTGTTTTACTGTAATTCAGAAGAAATCTAAAAATAAAAAAATGTATTAAGCGCATTTCAGTCCAATTAAGTTTAATTGTAACACCTCAAGGCCTTTATAATTCCTGTCAGTTTTCTGAAAGTCGTTGGAAAAGCAAATATCATTGCCACTAGATATTAAATCTGACAGAAAATATCAAGCAGAGTGTTGTTTCAAAGTGTTATGTGCGAATAATTAATATTATGCGGATGATAATAATTAGTATGTATAATTTTGTTCCTGAAAAAGCTTGAATTTGGTATATAACGTTTTAGTTTTGGACAGATACTGAAAAAATCCTCTGGTTTATTATAATAAATTATGTCGCTGAACATAAATGGTTTTAAATTGAAATAATTTTTGACACAGCCCTAAAACTGCTAAATGAAAGAAGGCTTTCTTATTGTCCTTGATTTAGCGAGTTTTTTTTTTCGGTATCATATCAATCAGAATATTTTTCATAATCTTAATTCTATATATAAACCGTCATAATGTTTAACGGATGAATGACAGATCGTGTACTAAATATTGTCATTTTATTTATAAATAAACACGTTTGACTGACTGTCAAACGGAAAAGAGTCAACTCGGCCCTATACCAACTCGGCACGGGTCAACTCGGCACGGGTCAACTCGGCCCCCTTTACAAAATATATATAACGTATTAACTTTGCTTTGCATGTTGTTACGGTAAAATGAATATAAGAAATATCTTATTATTATATATAATTTACATTGTACTTCTGCCGAAATAAAGTATATTTAGAAATTTTTTTTATTTATTTGTCTTTATATTTATTAACTCTCTCTGTTTGAACTGCGTAAATAACCGAGGTATATCGAGTGAAAAGAGCAAAAGTTGTTATCCTTAGTTTTCCCTTCGCTCGCCCAAAATAATGCAAATTTAGCTCGTGATTTAAATCGCCTAGTTTGGGGCGATTAAATGTCCGTTTTTAAAATTTGAACCAAATTTTAAAAGCTGGTGATTTAGCTTTCTCTCTTTAATATTTAAAACAATTGTTTGAACTGTTTTTTAAAAATTTAGGGAAAATCATAGGGACAACCTAATAACAATCGGTAATTTTTACTGATTCTTGATAAAAAAACCCTTGAAACTTCAACCCGTGTTTTATAAAAAAATTTAAAATAACTTTAAAAAACCTTAATTTTAATAAAAAAAGTGGGCCCTTTGACCTGGGGGTTGGATTAGGGCCGACTGGTCGGGGCCGGTATATTGGGCGAGCTACCCGGTTCTGCAACCTGTAAAAGTTTGTTTTTTTACCCCATTAAAAAAATTTTTTACGGATCCACTTGGTCCAGGCAAAGCGCGTGCTGCCATAACCCACTTTCAGTTTAGAAATACTAAAATATAACTTATAATTGATAAAAACTGTTAATTTTATCAAAAACAATGGCCCAATTAAGGAATTGACTGGTTTTTATTTCGACGGAAGACGCTTGATTTCTTTCTCTATTTTTCATAAGCGTCTAGTAACCTATCTGCAAATATCTAACTGTGGCTCAGTCTAGATTTCAACCGGTGTACTTGTACAATGTACTACTGTGTGCATTTCAATCTTTCATGATGTCGAAATGCAAAACTGATGTTTGCAGACTAATTTTGCGTGAAAGCTTTGGAGAAGTTGCGGAGAAAGTTGCATATTTACTTCTTAGTAAAGGTGCTTGTCATTTACGCCAGATTGCTTCAGAGACAACCCTTCATATTGACAAGGTGATTTTATTTGTTTCTTTTGATTTTCTTTTATAGCCATCAAATTATTCATTTGTTTGACTTGATTTAGCTTTCAAAAAGGAAATGATCTCTAAGTTTAGGGTCAATAAAAACAGTATGAAATTATTTGTAAAGGGATCTCAATAATGTTTTTTGCCTCTTTTTTATTAAAATGTCTTACAATCAGTGCCATGGCATGGAGAAGTGTTGCTGATTGCACAACATTACCTCATTATGTATACTGTGTGTCCATTATAGGGGTGTTGGCATTAAGGATTGCCCTTGTCATATTGGTCAGCATGTGCACCTGGGACTTCGCTTATGGGTTTATTCAGCATTTCAAAATTTGTAGAGTTATTGCCCTTGACAGTAAAATTAGCAATTTTCAACTTGTTTTGCAGGTAGCTACAAAGTATTTGACCTAAAGTCATAAAACTTTACAGAAATGAAGATTAGCATCTTTAGTTGTTCATCTAGGGGTTTGATTCATGACTGTAGTTTGATTCTGTATTTGCAGAGTTATTGTCCTTGACTTTAATAAAATTTGCAGTTTTGAGCTTCTGTAGTGGGTATCCCAAAACATATTTAACGCGGAGTCATGAAACTACAGAAGTATTGATCAGCATGTGAAGGTTTGCACCCGGGGGTTTGCTTGTGGATTTATTAAGTTTTCGTACAGGTTTTGTCCGTGACATAGTTATAATTTGCAATTATCATCATATGTCACACATAGCCCAAAAAGTATTTGAACTTAAGAGTCATGCACTTTACAGAAATGTTGGTCAGCATGACTGTGTTGTAAGGGCTTCCATTAAGTTTCAAAATTTGGAAGTCAGGGTCTGCAAAACCTCTGATTCTGGAAGTCACATTATGTAGGTAAAAAAAGAAAAGCATTATAGACTGGAAGTCACAAGCCAAAATCAAGGAGTAATTGATTCCGATACTTCCATTAATGGAAGCCCTGTGTAGTTGTGCATCTGGGGGTTTGATTTTGGATTTGTTTAGTATTTGTACTTGCCCTTGACAGTAAAAATTTGCAATTTTCAACTTGTTGCACATACCCCAAAAATATTTGACCTGGAGTCATTAGAGTACAGAAATGTTTGTCAGCATGTGTAGTTGAGCACCTGGGTGTTTGCTTATATATTCACTCAGAATTTATAGAGTATTTGCTTTTTACTTAGTAAAAATCGTTCCAAAATGTTGTGTTATGTGTACCTCCAAAAGTGCTTAAGCTAGAATCAACAGACTTTACAGGAATATTGACTATGCAACTTGGCTTTTGTGTTTTTTCAGTTTTCTTAGAGTAAATACCCTTGACCTAGTATAAATTTGCAATTTTCAAGTTGTTCGTATGTAGCTCAAAAAGTATTTGCCCTGGCCTGGAGTCCTGAAAAAAGAAATATTGATCAGCATGTGTAGTTATGCACCTTACGGTTTGCTTGTGGAGTTGTACAGCATTTGTAGACCTTTTGCCAAAAGTTACAGTTTTCAATTTGTGTTGCAGGTAGCCAGAAAAATATTTGACCTATACTGGCTAGAGTCAGTAGATTGACAAAACAGTGGAGTGTGGGGGCACCCATGTGCTATGGACACATTATTTTCTAGTTTAATGTTTTAAATTAAATAACAATTTTTATATCCCTTAAAATATTGAAAGGTTTATTCCGATTTCAAAGCATAGCAAACTTATTATACAAATTCTGCAGGTAAAGGGTAGTAATTTTATGTCCTTGATATTTTACAGGTACGAAAAATTCTTCTGGTTTTGATACAGCAAAATGTTGTTAAGTTTGAGAAGAACAAGAGAGGTTATACAGAATATTTCGTTGACATTGAGAGCTTGTTTTGGAGACAGCGTATACCGAGGTACATACATTGTGCAAAGACGCTATATGGCGATGCTGCAGAGTTAGTTGTAGAGGATCTGGTGTATCACGGTCAGCTGATGATGTCATCTGTTGTAAACACGGTTACTGATAAATTAAATGAAGCTTTGGAACATGCAGGTAAGGGACATTTTAAGACCAAAAATATGATCTGCTTTTATTTCTTGATTTGACTCAAAACCTGAATTCGACTCAAAACCTGTTTATGACTAAAAACCTGGTTTAGACTTGAAACCTGGTTTAGACTCAAAACCTGGTTTCTACCACTCAAAATCTGGTTTCCACTCAAAACCTGGTTTCCACTCAAAACCTGGTTACAACTCAAAACCTAGTTTAGACTCTAAATCTTGTTTCAACTCAAAACCAAAGGTATGCAATTCAAAAAAAGGTTAGGAAGAGAGAAATGGGATAAAACTTTTTTTTTAAATGGGGGCCTGAAGTGGGGATGCAGGAGTTACTGGGTCTTGTCAGTAAAATTTTTTCTGTTGAACAGCTTTCACAGAACATGAAAACATAAAAATAAAGTTTCTACAGAAAATTTCTGAGGGATAATATGCCTTGAAATGATATTTTAACATTCATAGCAATATCGGATAACATAATTATACAAACATATAAAATAAAGGAGCAGGGTGTGGTAAAAAAAAAGAGTCGTAAGCTCGAATTTTTATAAAAAATATCTCTTACATCTTCAACAGTAAACATAAATATTAAATTTCTTTTGTTAGAAATAAATCCTTAAAAATACAATATTAAAGCCTAAAATTTATTGTCAATACAAAGTGCTGTATATAAATTTACTAACATTAATAAATAGTTTTATCAAACAGAGTCTAAAGTCAATAAAGTGTAATAAACTTGAGCTTTGTAAAGAAGTGACTGAAGTAAGGAATGGAATAGATTTGTTCATAATTATTATATATTTGGCATCCTAGGAGAAAATGATACTTGTTTTCTATTACATTTATATTGTATTTGGAACATATTCTTCAATTTCTGGGGGATATCTAGGTGTCTCCCTTTTTCAGTCAATAAATCACGAGATGTAATAAAAGTCGATTTTGGTGCAACTGAACCTTGTATTTTTTATTGATAATAAACAGGTTTTTTTTTAAACATTTGAGAAACCCTGATATATATGAATTACAAGGTTTGCCTAATGTCGGTAAAGCAATGTACCATGAACGAAATATATATTTCTAATTTACAGGTCACCAGAAAATTGGTTCCCGTGTTGTATATGATAAGTTTAGTCTCCTGGCTGGTACCCATTTTATACAGAAATGTTTGAATCTAATGGAAGCTTCCCAAGATGAAGAAGATTTGGATGAAAGAGATCTTTCCCATTTGTTTAAGGTGCCTCCATATAATATTAAAGGTACAATTAAAATTCAATTTGTGTTGAAATTATTTTGAAAACAATTTATTAATTTTATGCCTGCAGAAGAAATTGGGAGCGTAAACCATGGTTTATGTAATTTGGTGGGGACATTGCCTATGACCAGTAGTTTACCTTTATTGAATTTGACGGCTTGTAGTCAAAGGTCAAGGTTTTCACTTACTGAGTGAAATCTTTCATGCAGCAATAAGCCGAAGTTTTGGGGTAATTCTAGCATAGATACCCTATTAAATTAAGGTCAGTCACACTGAAAAATTTCCTGTCGAACTTGAAAAAATTTAATTTAATTTGTGAATTTGTAGGACATTAGCCTATCAATGGTAGGCCCGTTGAATGAGACCCCTATTTAAGTTATTAGGTCAAATGTAAAGGTCAAAGTGGCACTTTTTGTAAAGTCTGTCTGATAAGCCTATAATGTAACAAGAGAGATAACATTAAGAGCTGTATGAAAAAAATACATTCAAAATAATTTAAACTGTTTAATTATATAATCTGTTCAATAAAAATCAACACTTTTCTAAGCTTTCAACATTTTGTCTTCAATTCTTAGTCTTAATTTTAAAAAGATATTTTTTTTAACTCACAGTTTACTCATTTATAAATTGAAATAATATAAAATGTTATTTTCCCAACCTATTTACAAAAAATTATAAATATTGACAGTTAAAAGTAATCCATGTGTATTATACAGGTACTTCAAATGATTTTTTTAATTGTCTATGTACAAATGTTTTACGACATCGTATTTGTATAGATGGAGAGAAGAAAAGAAAAAGATCTACAGATGAGAGTGAGCCACCAGCAAAGAAACCAAAAATGTCAACGGACGATGAGACGGTAATTTAACACTACAAAATACTGACTTCAACCACTTAATGCCGTGTCTGTGATTGAAACAAGTGAAAACGATTTTATTTTTTTGTGCAGGGTTTTCCTTCCTTGTAAAGGCTTTATGCACGAGCTGTTTAAGGGCTGCTAATCCCAGGAAAATACTCTAAAGTCATGCAGTTTTCCCAAAGTTTAAGGGAAGTGCCCCTCCCCCTACCTGTAGAAAAAGCCCTTTGATATATGTAACTAGTGGTTTGAAAATTAAGAAAGTTATAAAGGTTGGGCGGAGGTTTCCTCTGCCCTTAAAGCTGAAAAGTTGCCTTTTAATGTACCTCTGTAGTGCTGGTATGACTTTTAAACTGGAAAAAAAATAGACAGGGAACAATTTAATGTACAAAGGTTAAAAAAAATATCAACTGCTTAGTGCTGGCCTTGTTAGTATATTAAATAATGAAAATACACCATTTTAACACATAATCATTTGATAATAAAGAATAAATGGAGGTTCATCTGTAAGCCCTTAAAATTAATGAGTTTTTTGAATAGATAAATATATTTTCATTTGCCTGTTTACTTCATTGCTTTGTAAAGAATAAAATAAGCTTTTGTAATTGTAGAAGATAATATTCAAGATATTGAGTATATTCTCACATTTTCTTTCAGGTATCAGACGATGGTGTTTATTGGAAAATAAATCACAGACGTTTCCATCAGTATTTTAGAGATCAATTATTTATTAAAGCTATACACAACACAATAGATAAGGTATAAGAATTGAATATTGTAGAAATTAATTGATCTAAATTTACACTTTTTTGCTGTTTTAGTTAAAATTTATGTAAGCTGACTTAACTTAGATTCTGATGTCAATGACTGAAAGATAATCATAGAGAATGTTTTTGTAGGAGTGCCGTGAATGAACTGGATAACCAATTATACATAGTTTTAAAGTCTGGGCTTTTGATAAGGTGTTTGAAAATGTAAATTTAAGTCCCAAGTTCCAAACATGCCACTATATCATTAAATATGCCATAAGGGGTATCCATAGCCATGTGGTTATGGTTGTTGACTTAAAAACGCAATCTATGGCTGCTGTGGGTTTGAGTCCTTCTAGAGACATAGAATTCTTTCATTAGAAGTTTCTAGCCAGCTGACATAATACAGTGGTTTCCTAAACCCAACCAAAGTGCTGGTTTGTCTGGAATAAATGGCACAGAGGGGTAAGGTTCAACCTGACCCTTCTCTTTATTGGTGGAATTGACCAATCATAATTGCCCTTTCATTCATTATTTGACTCACTGTGGTTTTGTCAACCATATATGTATCTTTCTTATTTACCTTTTTATTTTACAGAGAGCTGCAGACATTTTACAAACAATGTTACGGTTAACTGAGGTAAAATCTGATGATATATGTTTTACTACAAACCCCATGTCCTTCACAGAGGTAATGTATTTATACATGGAATATGTTCTCTTATTGTTTTAATTTTAGCAATTACCATGCTAAATATCTTATTATCTATATGATGTCCGGGACATTATGGCATGTATGGGCCTTGTCAATCCTACAATATAGACACAATTATTCATAATTTTTAGGGAAAATTGTGAAATGGGATATACCTACTGAATATCAAATGGTGCAAGACCATGATCTGATAACACAGTTGATTTGGCTGTTCTTGGTCTGTACTTGTTGCATGGGTATATTCATTTGCCATCACCACACTGAAGGCTTTATTATAGTTGCAAGGCCACAGTCCTCAAAGATGAAGTATATAAATTATACCTTTTGTCTTGTTGTCATACTTACTCTATAATCCCCATTTTCTCTTTGACCTAGAATCTAGAAGCATTAGTAATTAACTCTTTAAAGATGAAAGTATATGCACCTCTTCTTCTGTTCTAGTAAACTGTGAAGATTCGAAGATTTGTTTCTGTTACAGATATTTCAGGCTATTCCTAGAGATCTTGGTATTACAAGAAACATGTGTGAACAATATCTCAGTTTGATGACTGATGATTCCGTAAGTTTTTTTCATAGTAAAATCTTTCTAGATTTCTGATCTTTGAAAAATGTTGTGCTGCTTAGATTCTCCTTAATTTTTCAATTAGTATGAATTGGTCACAACAGTTTGTTCAATGATTGCTATTAACTTTGATAGCTGTTAACTTTGATTTCCGGAAACATGGCAACTATTGTAACACATTTATGAAAGTATTGATCATGGTTATTTGTGTCGTATATTAATTCTTAATAGAAAAATGATGTACTATTGCTGAAATACAATGTACATGCTCAGTACATATTTAAAGGATGTATAAATTTGTCAGTAGAGGATAACAATTTTACCTCATTTTAAATTTGTTATGTCGCTCCTTTGTCCGTCTGTCTGTCCGTCTGACTGTTTACTGACTGTATCATTGGAATCTCTTTATAACATGGAAACACAATTTTAGAGGCTAGTGAGATGAAATGCAGTGTCAAAGAACCATAAATCTATATAAAAAATGATTTTTTAATTATCTCCCTTTATAATACTCGTCTGGTGTACAACTTCAAAGTTTTTGACAAAATTTAAGTAAAACTTCACACAGTAATAGAGACCAGTGTTTGTCAGATTTATTTACAGACTAGCTGACAAGGTGCAGGTTAGAGGAGCATCCATAGCATTCAATAATACTTTTTGTTTCAAATGGTTATAAATAACAGATATATAAAAAAGTATTTTTTATTTTTGGTACAGTCAGGTGTTGTGTCAAAGGTGGGGGAAAGTGGAGGTGGAATGTTTGTGATAAGTATCCTTTGATGAATAAACATTTATATCTATCATATAAAGTCTAAAATATTTTCATTATATCACAGTTAAAGAGTAAAACATGTCTAATGTATCATGGTGAAAGCAGGCAATGTCACGGATTCTATTATAATATTTCCACTGTATAATTTTAGGGTAACGTGTAATGTGTGAGCCATCTTAGTGGGGTGGTTAAGTTCACCACTACTGAATCAGTTGTTGCTAACTGATGTGGGTTTCAAGCCCTACGAGGAACTTTGAAGCAATTCAACTTAAATATGGATTTTTTTGAGGTTCTGCTTAGCTGCTGTCTTTGGCCTGAGATAATAAACAAAGGACTCCTGAGATTCTCCTCTACCTATAGAGCAAGAAAAGAGCAAAAAGAAAATATCATTATTGCCCTCGGGTTTGGTATACAGTAATAGCATGGTCCCTTAGACACTTACAATTGTGTGAATCATCACACTCAGGTTTCATATTCTGTAAAAGAAGAAATGTTCTCTCAGACACTTACAATTGTGTAATATATTCTTAACGAGCTTCAGATATTATGAAAGGTCTTAAAACAATATGTAAAGCACACCTGGAATCTGTGGTACAGGAAAGGTAACCAGTATTTTATATCTTCCAAAATGGAAATAAGAAATGTTTTTTAACGCCTTTTTAAAAGAGCTGATTGTAATACAAAAGTATAATGAGATAAAAAATTACAATAATTTTGATGAAGAACTTATATTTAAATTTTAATAGATGTAAGTATATGATAATATATTTAAGATGACTGCCTTAAATTTCAAACTGGCAATCTTTTTGTTTCTTTTCAGATTTGGATCAAAAAGTTTGAGGATATTTAGAGTTTTACTTTTAAAACAACATCTAGAGCAGAAACAGGTATGGCTTTTTAATCTCAGCTAAATAATTATGTTTTAATTACAATTTAATTAACTTTAAAGTATTAGTATGCTATGAACCAGTGCAGTGAATATATTTATCAAATGTAGTTGTAATTATATGAATGTTATTTGTTATTATATTTTTTTTTCCACAAGCTGAACTTGGGTCAGTTTTCATATCCTTCGAAACGTCAGGGACAAATAAACATTTCATTCTTTAGAAAGGGAAAATAATGAGTTTAATAACATTTAAATATTGGATTTAGAGCATGTTAGATGTGAAAGAACTGAAGTAAGTAGTGCTGAATGTGCTGTAATGTGCTGTAAATGTAGAAAAATGTAAACAAAGTAGTATTTTGACTTTCATACAAAGTACTAATTCACTATAATTATACAATGTACCAGTTGCGAAATAGCAAGAGAAGAGTTCATCTTTATTACTTTATATAAGGTTTTGGAAACTGCAACAAGATACCAGAATGGAATGTTTTTTAGACATTAAATGATAGTTTTCAGTAGCTTAATGGGCCTTTAATAGGGAATGGACTCTACCAAATTTATATCATGACAAGTACATTACATAATTACATCAGGGTAAGGATGATACTTATTAGGGGGGGGGGGGAGTTGTTGGAAAAGGAATAAAAAATAATAATCATATGTTTCTCTAGAATTCTTATGCATTGTTTATTCTTTATTTTAGATAGAAGATTTAGCCATGATTCCATCAAAAGAAGCAAAAGAACTTCTATATACGATGTTTGCACAGAACTTCGTTTCAGTAACAGTGAGTTAAATGTTGAAATGTCATTATTTTACTAGCATATTTATGTAAAGGTTAGGCATCTTGCAATATTAGAAAACATGTATATTTAAAAAATATATTATTCTCAAATTTGATATTTGAAAATACTGATTATTGCTATACAGTTTTTTAAATAAAAAAAAACAAAAACAAAAAAAAATCTTTTGTATACACGCAAAGAAGATAAGTTTTTAAAAAAGGACCACATTAACTTATCCAGTAATAGGGAATGAAGCTTCACGGGCATAGTTTGTGCATTCTGAATAGACATATTCAATAAGAACTTTCTATATATTTCAATACATTTCTGCAATTTAAGTATTTTACACAAAGATTGGCATAGTACATGTATATTTAAAAAAAACTATAATCTTGTAGAAGAACAAAACCATATTGATGACAAGATTAAAGCAAAGCTACTTGATGGTTTTAAATAAGCTCTTATTTATCAGTGTATGATATTAACTGTGTATATTATTTACTATATAATGTTGTTATTGAAGGTCACATTAAAATCTTGGTAACTCCTGACCCCGAAAATTGTAGCAAAGTAAAATGAGCTACCCTGTTCAAAAGAATTTTTGTATATTTATGATGAAACAAACTAGCTTATCAGACATAGATTTAAATCCATTCAATCATGGGTATACACTGATCTACATTCATTCACAGTTAGTCATAGGTCTACATACTTTCTTAGTTATCATTTTGTATTTTTCCAGGAAATATCTAAAACCCCTGATCATGCCCCAGCAAGGACTATCTTTTTGTTTAGAGTTCAGCTAGATCAGCTTGCAAGAATGTTGCTGGAAAATTCTTATAAGGTACCAATGTTACAGCTTATATATTTCAATCATGGAAGTTGTTTTGATCCCTTACATCTTGATACCTGTCTTAGCTCAATAGGGATAGCACCGAATTTCTAGAGGTTGCAGGTTTGATCCTAGGGCAATGCAAAATTTCTCGGTGACTTGATTGCAGACATAGAGTGTTATGGTCATTTGTCTGTTACCAATGATACAGAAACCATTTGAGAATAGTAGTCTGTCACTTCGAAAAAATTGGGTAAACCAGGAAAGCTGGTTAGCTGGATCGTTCGCCAAGAATTGTTGGAACATATGTTAAAATTTGTGTTAAAACAAATCAAACAAAACCAAGACTCAATACTTTGTGGATGTGAAAATCCTGCCAGTTTGCTAATTACCAGAGCTTGATTTTGAATTAATGAATAAAGACTTTTATTTGTGCTGGAATTTTAGCTTAAATTTTTTATTTACATGAAGAAATCAAGAAAAAAGCAATTCTGTTTACAATGTTGATGTAGATTTTTTTTAATTTTTGAACCTTTGTTGTGTTGAAAGATGGAGAAAAAAAAATTTTATTGTATTTTTTTTCAGGCCCTTGCAAATGCTATGAGAAAAAGAGTGGCAGAAACTAAAGAAAATAGGTGAGTAATTAAAGTTTTTTGTGTCGCCTCTACGGAGTAGTGGCGACATATAGGGATCACTTCTCCGTCGTCCGTCTGTCCGTCTGTCTGTCTGTCCGTCACAAAACTTGTCCGGACTTCTCCTCATAAACTACTGGTGCAATTTCATCCAAACTTTACAGGAATGATCAGTACCAAGTCTAGTTGTGCATATTGTCAGGATTTTCCGGTTCAATGATTTTTGTCAGAGTTATGGCCCTTTAATAATTTTTAATTTTTAAAGTTTGTCCGGACTACTTCTCTTATACCACTAATGCAATTTCAATGAAACTTTACAGGATTGATCTGTAGCTCAAGTCCTTGTGCATATTGCACGGGTTTTCCGGTTGAATGATTTTTGGCCGAGTTATGGCCCTTTGATAAAAAGGTTTCTTTTTTCTGTGTGTTGCCAGATACACAAAAGCTTGTCCGGACTACTCCTCATAAACTACTGGTGCAATTTTCATCCAAACTTTTACAGGAATTGATCAGTTACCAAGTCTAGTTGTGCATATTGTCAGCATTTTCTGATTCAATGATTTTTGTTTGAGTTATGGCCCTTTAATAATTTTTATTTTTAAAGTTTGTCCAGACTACTTCTCTTAACCACTAAATGCAATTTCAATGAAACTTTACAGGATTGATCTGTAGCTCAAGTCCTTGCGCATATTGCACGGGTTTTTCGGTTGAATGATTTTTTGGCCCGAGTTATGGCCCTTTGATAAAAAGGGTGTTTTTTTTCTGTGTGTTGCCAGATACGCAAAAGCTTGTCCGGACTACTCTCATAAACTACTGGTGCAATTTATCCAAATTTACAGGAATGATCAGTACAAAGTGGTTAGTCTAGTTGCACTGTCCGTCTGTCTGTCCGTCTGTCAACAAAATTTGTCCCAACATGAAATTGGCCATCATGAGGCGACACATGTGATTACTGATCGCGCTCTTTGTATTTATGTTTACATACTAATATGCGGTATATTTCTAAAGATTAATCTAATACATTTATATGCTTTATATATCAGGTGAGTGACTTGCTTTTCCTGTACATTCATATAGCATGTGTATTAGGAGGGTTATCCAACTCAATTAGATGCGGCATATATAAGGAGGGTAATGCAACACATTTATATGCCATGTTTTTAGGAGGGTTATTCAACACATTTATATGCCATGTTTATGAGGAGGGTAATTCAACACATTTATATGCCAAGTTTATGAGGAGGGTTATCCAACACATTCGTATGTTGTGTATATCAGGAGGGTTATTCAACACATTTATGTGTTGTGTATATTAGGAAGGTTATTCAACACATTTATATGCCAAGTATATTTAGAGGCTAATCAAACATCTTCATGCATCATGTATATTAGGAGGGTTATCCAACACATTCTTATATTATGTTGACAGGAGGCTTTCAAACATATTCATATGCTGTGTATTTCAGAACCCTTATCTATCACATTTAAATGCTGTGTATATAAGAGGTTATCCAACTTCATATGCTGTATAAGTAGGGTTATACAACACATTTATATGCCATGTATTTCAGGAGGTTAATGGAGAAGCAGGAGAGAGTTGATGCGATATTAGCGTCGCTAGAACAATCTGGAGCAGACGACGCACAGAAAGAGGAAATACAGCAGACAATTACACCAGCAGAAAGGTCACAGCTGCAAAAGGTCAAACATATGATAAATATGTAAGTTTTTAATCCAATACCAATGTTGTAATGTCCTTAGATAAAACAGATTTTTTTTTTTTAAATCAAAATATTTCATGAAATGTTCTGATCTGAAAAAAATATATACTTAAAGCATTACAAATTTCAATACATTTTTGGTTAACAAGTCAAATATTAATTTTTTTAAAAGGTTTAGAATGTTATTGTTATTAGGGGTGTTTGTGGCCAAGTGGTTAAGGTTAATGACTTCAAACCACTTGTCGTTCACTGCCGTAGGTTCAAATCCCAATAGGAACTTTGGATTCTTTCATGTGAGGAAGCTAACCAGCTAGCTTACAGAACTGGGATTCTACATAGGTGCCCATTTGTTCTTGAAATAATGCACGGAAAGGCACCCCTGAGATCTTCCTCAACCTATAAAGCTGGAAAGTTGCCATATGATCTGATTTGGTGCAACCTGAATCTCAACCAAAAACAATTTTTTTTTTTTTACTATTTTTCAGGTTAGATCAGAGTGAACTGCAGCTAGATGAGACGATCTTTGTATTAGAAACCTTCCTTTATTATAATGACCAGAAATTAAAATTTAGGTCATAGACTGCTATAAATTTTACTTCTTCATTGTTCAAGTTTTTGATAATAAATAAATTTTACAAACCTCTTGTAGTCAGTTATTCATCAGTCACTTATTTTAAAGATACAGAAAACTCCACTTAGAACGATATAGCTTATAAAGACATACCACTTACAAAGAAGCTGTTGCCGCAGGCCCAACTAGGGGTGTGGATCGTCGGGTAAGTGACGATCCGATCCGAACGATGATTCAGCACTTACGATTCACTAATCGAACCACAAATCTTTTGTTATCAAGACACCCATAAAAACACGTACAAAAGTTATAAAAACATGTTCATTTAAAAAAAACAGCAACAATTCTATACATTTTACATACAAAATATAAACTTCGTTTATGTATTTATTCTTTGGACGAGTATTTTTGTTTTGTTTTTGAAACCAATTACTACCTAGCTCAGCATCATGGTAGATCTACATGGTCTTTAACCGGCAAATTGTATTTAGGTAAACTTCATATAATTTATACTCGAATCGTATTTTTCTCGATTTGAAGAGTGTGAGAAACAGTGAATGTATATAAAAAAAATTAAATCGCGATCCACAATCTCTGGGCTTACAAATATTCAAACTCGATCTTTCACTTTGATTCGTGATTATCCGAGTACTCGGATACTCGCCCCAGCCCTAGGCCCAACCCTTGCTTTTAAATTGGTTGCCTCTTGGATATATCGATACTGGGATATGATATCAAAATTGCAGGTGGTTGGCCCATACTGTGTGATTTAATTTCAGGTCTATCGCTCATCCGCTTCCTGTTCACCGACTTAGTTAAATTTTCGACATTAATGGTCAATGGTAGGAAATTTTTATAACAGTTTTCTCAGCAACAACTAATAATAGCCTCGTGATATTTTGTATACAGCATTAACATGTGGTCCCATACCGTGGTATTCGATTTCAGGTCTGTTGCTCTTCCACTTCCTATTAAACGACTTAGTTAAATTTTCGACATTATAATGGTCAATGGAAGGAAATTTTCGTAACATTTTTCTCAGCAACTGATTATTAGCCCCCACTTTCCACTGTTTTTTCAATCTTATGACTAGGTCAAATATTTTTTGGGCTACATGTGCCACAAATGGAAAATAATAATCTTTTACTAAGTCAAGGGCAATAACTCTAGAAATACTGGATAAATCCACAAGTGAAACCCCAGGTGCACAACTACAAATGCTGATCAACATTCCTGTTAAGTTTCATGACTCTAAGTTAAATACTTTTTGAGCTACGCACAACACAAATTGAAAATCTTCACTTAGTCAAAGGCAATAACTCTTACAAAACAGAAAAAAATCAACAAGGGAAACCCCAGGTGCACATGCTGAGCAACATTCCTGTAAAGTTTCATGACTATGTCAAATACTTTTTGAGCTATGTGAAAATTGCAAATTTATACTCAGTCAAGGACCATAACTCTACAGATACTAATAAATCCACATGAAAATACCCAGGTACACATGCTGATTAACATTCCTGTAGTTTCATGACTAGGTCAAATACTGTTTGAGCTACGTGCAACACAAAATGAGAACGGACAGAAAAGGGTAAATCTAAATGCCCCCCCCCCCCTCCTATAGTGGGAGCACAAAAAGAACTAATGATTACATTTAAAAAAAGCAATGTCCTGAAATAAAACGTTATTGAACCTTAACTGCAGAAATTGACAGGCCATTATTGGGAAGTTTTTCATCTGTTTCAGTGAATTAGAACGATCCAAAGATTTTTTCAATAAAATTATGCTGTCTCAATATGTCTTAAGTTACAGGCTTGAAACCCAATGCATTGAATCTTAATCATAATTCTCTTTACTTTGGTGTTATTTGTTTGGGCTGCTTTTTTTACCAGTTACACCTAGTTTTACCTCCATTGCTTAAAACATGTCATTTGTATCATAGTTTGGAGACCTTTCTATTAAAAAAATTGCCTTCAGTTACCAACAATTGCTCGTTGATTGGCTACATTTGTTCTGGGGTTAACTTATTGTTACAACGGGGAAAGGGATAACGGTAGAAAAGTCATATTCATATGCTTGTTCATTGGTTGCTTTTTTTCTGGGTTTCATATTGTGACGACACGGAACTTGTTTTTAGCTCGACTTTTCTATGAAAAGGGGAGCTATCCTACTCGCCCCGGCGTCACACCTTGGTTAAGTTTTTCGTACCACCCCACTTTATTTCAGAAGTATTACAAGTATGGCTTTGAAACTTACCATACTTGTTCACCATCATAACCTCCATCTACAGACAAGAGTACATAACTCTGTCAAGGTTTTTGACAGAATTATGGCCCTTTTTTGACTTAGAAAGTGTATTGAGCTTGGTTAAGTTTTTTGTACCACCTCACTTTATTTCAAAACCATTGGAGGTATTGCTTTGAAACTGACCATACTTGTTTACCATCACGACCTTCATCAACAGACAAGAGGACATAACTCTGTCAAGGTTTTTGACAGAATTATGCCCCTTTTTGACTTAGAAAATACATTGAATATGGGTAAAATCCACTTATTGCCTTAACCCTTTGAGATATTGCTTTGAAACTTTTAATGCTATTTCACATCATTACCCCCATCTGTACGCAAGAGAAGGTAACTCTGTCAAGGATTTGTTTTAAAAAAATTAAGGCCTTTTATCGACTTAGAATCTTGGTTAAGTTTTTAGTACCAGTCCACTTGATAAAATTTATCTATTACTTGTATTATAAGGTAACTATAATACTTTCACATACAAAGTCAAATCTATATATTATGCTGATTGTACAAAAATATACTGCTTCCTTGGCATAGATTTCTTGAAAAAATTATGTTATTATGTCATTTACCAAGGTGTTCTGAGTGACGTAAAAATACCTTATTCTCTCAAAGTGGGTTTAAATACTATTAAATTTATTTAAGGCTCAACTCAGTTTTTTTTTTCTTTCTTACCAGCCTCTTTTGACTTAAACATTTCAAACTTTGCTGCAGTGTTCAAGGGTATCACACAATTCAGTAAAATAATTCTTCACTAAATATCTTAATGCTCATGGCCATTGTTCACTTTAAAAATACAGAGATTCTTGTATTGCCTTTTACTGCAAAAACTTTTTTTATTGGCAAGCAATAAAAAAGTCGAGCGCGCTGTCTTACGGACAGCTCTTGTTATTTTTGCCTATGATATTAAAGAAAAACATCACAACACATGGCAATCTTATTAATACATTTTTAACATCCTTTGCATTCTACATATCATCTTTGACTTGTAATTTCTAGTTGCCAATGGTCTTCCACATATTTGGTACACTGCCAGCATGCTGCGGCTGTTCCTCATTTTATCAATAACAAAAACAAAGTTTTATAGATGTCATTTAATCAGTACAGAAAAATAACATTTGAAATCAACAATATATAGCACAGACTGTGCACTAAGCACTATAATTAAAAATCTAATAATCTTGATAAACATATGATTAGGATGAATATAAGAATATACGAGACACGAATGAAATCATGAAATTGGTTATGAAATAAACTTGTGATTTAACTCCAAGGAACTGGTCCAATTTTGATAAACAGTCGTCAATAAACAACATAAAATTCTAATCAAAGCTATAGCATCTTATTGTTGCATTCCATTTACACAATTTTTCAAAATATACGTCAATCAATTGAAAAATAAATGTGATCCCGACTTGCAACAAATGTCCAATTCCTTGAAACACAACATTAACATACATGTATCAATACAAGCAGAGATTCCAAGTAATAACAAAGAAGGATACTGCCAAGCAATGAATTTCACAGTGACTATGCAACATGTATTTCACTCTGTGATCAGCATGGGAAGACCAATTCTTAAGACTGTTCGAAGTAGTATGTTCATTCATAACTTTTTAGCTCACCTGAGCTTGCTCAGTGAGCTTTTAGGATCGGTGAATGTCCGTCGTCCGTCGTCCGTCGTCCGTCCGGCCGTCCACAATTACTTGTGAACACTCTAGCGGTCGCATTTTTGCCTCAATCATCATCAAACTTGGTCAGGATGCTTATCTAGTTGAAAGCTCGGATGAGTTCGAACATGGGTCATCTCGGATGAAAAACTAGGTCACAAGAGCTAAAAATAGAAAAACCTTGTGAACACTCTAGAGGTCACATTTTTGACCCAATCATCATCAAACTTGGTCAGGATGTTTGTCTAGGTGATAGCTTGGATGAGTTCGAACATGGGTCATCTCGGATGAAAAAGTAGGTCACAGGAGCTATAAATAGAAAAACCTTGTGAACACTCTAGTGGTCACATTTTTGAACCAATCATCATCAAACTTGGTCAGAATGCTTGTCTAGTCAATTGCTTGGATGAGTTCGAACATGGGTCATCTCTGATGAAAAAACTAGGTCACAGGAGCTAAAAATAGAAAAACCTTGTGAACACTCTAGTGGTCACATTTTTGACCCAATCATCATCAAAACTTTGTCAGGATGCTTGTTTAGATAATAGCTCAGATGAGTTCGAATATGGGTCATCTCGGATGAAAAACTAGGTCACCGGAGCTATAAATAGAAAAACCTTGTGAACACTCTAGTGGTCACATTTTTGCATCAATCATCATCAAACTTGGTCAGGATGCTTATCTAGTTGATAGCTTGGATGAGTTCGAACATGGGTCATCTCGGATGAAAAAGTAGGTCACCAGAGCTAAAAATAGAAAAACCTTGTTAACACTTTAGCGGTCACATTTTTGCATCAATCATCATCAAACTTGATCAAGATGCTTGTCTAGGTGATAGCTCGGATGAGTTCGAACATGGGTCATCTCGGATGAAAAACTAGGTCACAGGAGCTAAAAATAGAAAAACCTTGTTAACACTCTAGTGGTCACAATTTTGACTCAATTGTCATCAAACTTGGTCAGGAAACTTGTCTAGGTCATTGCTGGGAATAAATCGAACATGGGACATTTCGGATGAAAAACTAGGTCACAGGAGCTAAAAATAGAAAAAATCTTGTTAACACTCTAGTGGCTACTGTTGTGATCCAAATATTCTGTTAATTGGTCTGAAAGTTTGTTTTGATGATTTCTAAGTCAAGTTCTAACATGGGTCATCTTGGATGAAAAACTAGGTCACACCGCCCAAATATGGAAAAACCTTGTTAACATTCTAGTGGTCACATTTTCGACTCAATTATCATCAAACTTGGTCAGGATGTTTGTCTAGGTAATTGCTTGGATGAGTTCGAAATCGCATGTGAAACTAGGTCACCGGAGCTAAAAATAGAAAAATCTTGTTAACACTCTAGTTGCTACTGTTTTGATCCAAGTATCCTGGAAATTGGTCTGAAAGTTTGTTTTGATGATTTCTAGGTCAAGTTTGAATATGTGTCACCTGGGTAAAAAACTAGGTCGCACTGCTCAAATATGGATAATCCTTGTTAACACTGTAGTGGTCACATTTTTGACTCACCTGTCATGAGACTTGGTCAGAATGCTTGTCTAGGTAATTGTTTAGATGAGTTTGATAATTCAGGTGAGCGATCTAGGGCCATCATGGCCCTCTTGTTTATTATTTCATGATATTTTATGAGAGTAGTGTTTAAAGTGTAGAGCTCGCTCATTCTTGTGACCCAAACATAGGGTTAACATCAGTTTTTATTTTTTCGTAAAGTGAAACCACACAACTTGTGGTTTCATCACTACAAAGAAAAAAAAATTCTTTTCATCTTCATTATTCCACATCATTTTACTAAGTCTGAAGGTCTTAATTTTCAATAAACAACACTATGATTAACACTATGTTTGTAACTGCAACAAAGTCATAATGTCTGTCTTCTATTTAATAGAGAAATTACTGTTATCAACAGATATAAGCAAGAGTTTCTTCAAGGTAAGATCTGTTTCCATTGTTTAATCATGCTGTTACTTGTATGGCCTCTAGTTTTTCCTTTGTGCCATCTTTCCACAGGTTCCTGCAGACAAATGACAAGACAAAAATTATATAAATTCACTTCCAATATAAACACTATAAAAACAGTTTTTTAATTTAAACGTTTTCCTTTACATTACCATGGAAACAGGATTGTTAATGTTTATTCATCTGTATCATTAAAATACTATTCAGTCTTATTTGCAGAAATTCTTTCACTGCTACAATTATCCAAAAATAGACATTTATTAAGAATAAGTACCACTTTTAAGTTCATAATTTACCATAAACTACTGTTACAATATTACATATTTTTTTAAATGAAATTTAACTTTAAAAGTATACCAATATACTTTCAAATAAAAGAATAAACTTGATTTCTTTATTTCAAAAAAAGCATTAATATACTGACATAAGCTTACCTAAAACAGCGTATTGTGTCTACTGATGATTCAAATTCCTTTGCTTTCTTTACTGCTAACTTTATAACCTACAATGAAACTTGTATGTATTACACCATTTTATAAACAGCATTTAATATAATTATAGCGGCAACTAAATACTGTAATTCTTTCCCTGTATTTCAAAACACAAAATTTGTTGAATTGGTCCCTCTTTATGATATAAATCACTATGTTTTTTAGTATAATTTGACCTTAGAATATGACTGAAAGCTTGCAAAATTCAGCAATGTCAAGCAAAGTAACTCTTACTTAGAAATGAATTGCATTAAAATGTTATAAAACATTGTCAAATGATGTTGTTCTGTTACTAATCTAAACTAGAACTATCACTAAATGTGATTAATACCCCCACAAGTCTGCTTCGGAAATGAGGATGTTACTCAGTAACTGAATACCTTGTAAAAGAATTGAAACATAGAGTTATGGTTGTGGGCAATTAAAGATAATTGTGGTTCATGAATGTTGCATTTCCTTTTAATGTGGTTGGCCATTGGTGAAGTTTAACTGAATTACTCTGTAATAAGTCCAGAAAGACAAAGAAAAAGAACAAAGGGCAATAACTCTATAAATACTGAAGATAGAGTTATAGTTCTTGTAAACTGCACTTCCTCTTATTGTGCTTGACCATTGTATGAAGTTGTTTTGAATTCCAACCAGTACGTTTTAAGTTATGCTCTGGACAAGGAAAAGTAACAAAGGGCAATAACTCTGTAATTAGTCAAGATGGAGTTATGGTTCTTGTGCACTGCACTTCCCCTTATTGTGCTTGACCATTGTATGAAGTTGTTTTGAATTCCAACCAGTAGTTTTCAAGTCATGCTCTGGACAAGGAAAAGTAACAAAGGGCAGTAACTCTGTAATTAGTCAAGATGGAGTTATGGTTCTTATGCACTGCACTTCCTCTCAATGTGCTTGACCATTGTATGAAGTTATAATAAATTCCAACAATAAGTCTTCAAGTTATGGTCCGGACAAAAGAAAGCAATGGAAAAGTAACAAAGGGCAATAACTCTGTAATTAGTCAAGATAGAGTTATGGTTCTTGTGCACTGCACTTCCCCTCATTGCGCTTGACCATTGTATGAAGTTGTTTTGAATTCCAACCAGTAGTTTTAAAGTCATGCTCTGGACAAGGAAAAGAAACAAAGGGCAGTAACTCTGTAATAAGTCAAAATGGAGTTATGGTTCTTGTGCACTGCACTTCCTCTCAATGTGCTGGACCATTGTATGAAGTTATAATGAATTCCAACAATTAATCTTCAAGTTATGGTCCGGACAAAAGAAAGCAATGGAAAAGTAATAAAGGGAAATAACTCTGTAAATACTTTAGATAGAGTTATGGTTCTTATGCACTGCACTTCCTCTCAATGTGCTTGACCATTGTATGTGGTTATATTGAATTCCAACCATTAGTCTTCAAGTTATGCTCCGGACAAAAAAAAGAAGGCAATTGAAAAGCAACAAAGGGCAATAACTCTGTAATTACTTTAGATAGAGTTATGGTTCTTGTGCACTGCACTTCCCCTTATTGTGTTTGACAATTGTATGAAGTTGTTTTGAATTCCAACCAGTAGTGTTCAAGTTATGCCCCAGACAAGGAAAAGTAACAAAGGGCAATAACTCTGTAATTAGTCAAGATAGAGTTATGGTTCTTGTGCACTGCACTTCCTCTCAATGTGCTTGACCATTGTATGTAGTTATATTGAACTCCAACCATTAGTTTTCAAGTTATGCTCCGGACAAGGAAAATGCAACAGACAAAAAAAAAATCAATGGAAAAGCAACAAAGGGCAATAACTCTGTAATTTCTTTTGATAGAGTTATGGTTCTTGTGCACTGCACTTCCCCTTATTGTGTTTGACAATTGTATGAAGTTGTTTTGAATTCCAACCAGTAGTTTTCAAGTTATGCCCCGGACAAGGAAAAGTAACAAAGGGCAATAACTCTGTAATTAGTCAAGATAGAGTTATGGTTCTTGTGCACTGCACTTCCTCTCAATGTGCTTGACCATTGTATGTAGTTATATTGAATTCCAACCATTAGTTTTCAAGTTATGCTCCGGACAAGGAAAATGCAACGGACAAAAAAAAAAGCAATGGGAAAGCAACAAAGGGCAATAACTCTGTAATTACTTTAGATAGAGTTATGGTTCTTGTGCACTGCACTTCCCCTTATTGTGTTTGACAATTGTATGAAGTTGTTTTGAATTCCAACCAGTAGTTTTCAAGTTATGCCCCGGACAAGGAAAAGTAACAAAGGGCAATAACTCTGTAATTAGTCAAGATAGAGTTATGGTTCTTGTGCACTGCACTTCCTCTCAATGTGCTTGACCATTGTATGTAGTTATATTGAATTCCAACCATTAGTTTTCAAGTTATGCTCCGGACAAGGAAAATGCAACGGACGTCTGGACCGACCGACCGACCGACCGCCCGACCGACCAACCGACCACCGGGTGACTCCTATATACCCCCCCAAACTTCGTTTTTGGGGGTATAACAATGTCATTACAAATCAACAGGGTTTGACAGAGGCATATGGTCCCAAAGTAAAAGAATGAATGAGCCTTTAGAAAAAACTGAATGTAATTTAATAAGGAACTCAGAGGTCATGAAGATTGTGTATCACAAGCATCAGTCAGAGGACATATTTTAAATCAAGCAATGACTTTACCTCTTCTGGTAGATTTGCGAGTCTAGCAGCATTAAAACCGTAACTTTTAGGACAAGCCCCAGAGGTAAACTTGTATAAGAATGTGATAGTTTCCTGAGTGGGGTCTTCTTCATCCTCATTCTCTACCATACATGCCTACAATCATAAATATATAGGTCTGTTACAATCATAACATTATGTCTCATATAATGTCTTACACAATAATAAATATTTTGTCATATATAATCATAAATACATGTGTCTTATACAATCATAATTCAATATGTTTCACATAATCTTAAATGCAAATGTCTCGCACAATCATAAATTCGTGATTGTGTTATATACATGTACAGTAATAAATACACATGTCTCATACAATCATAAATAATTTGTGATGTACAATCATAAATACTTGTGTCATATAGAAAAATAAATGTTTTCTATAATCATACATTCACAGCTCTTACACAATAATAAGTGTACATGTCTTACACAATCATAATATGTATTTTAGGTTATCATAAATTCACCACTTCTACACAACAATAAATGCATTCTTCTTTAATACACAGTCATAAACACAAATATTTTATAACCATACATACAAGGGTCTTCTATGACTGTAAACTCTCTGATAATTTACACAATTAACATGTCAAGAAAGAAAAATCAATTTCCCTCTATATTATGTACTGAATATAATCTTAAAACCTCATCTTTATGCTCTGTGAAAATTCTATGTGAAATATCAATCAGTTCAACAATGGATCCACTTTGAATTTCATTTTACAAGTAGGCAGTTAAGACAATAATCATAATGTATAGAAATATTCACCATATGTCCTAGTCTTATATTTGGATCATGTGAGAATTCCTCGACGAGACTGTGATAGTGGGTGGAGAACAACGTCCTACATGCAATATTTCTGGATAGTTCCTGTACCACAGCACAAGCTATAGCTGTACCATCATATGTGGCTGTCCCTCGTCCTAGAAATATATATAAGTTAAAATGTGTTTATCATGAACTTCACCATATATCTTTATTTTCAATTCTTTTTTTTTTACATGCATGATAATACGATATCAAGGGCTTTTCATGACTGATCTAATTCTTATTTTTTTAGTTCAATTTGTTCCATTTTAACATATCTGTTAATTTGTAAAGGAAGCTGCTAGTTTATTTCCAATCTCATTTTACTGTTTATTAATTTCTTATAAAAAACATTTTTATCAGATATAGCATTATACCCTTAAATATATCAGAAATGCAATAATTTAATTTCTTTTTAAAATCTGACTGCACAGTTGTAAAGTTATTGACAACTAAGTAGACTCTCCCATCTCGAACAACCATGTGCAATAAATGCTGAGGAATAAAATGCATTAATCAATGAACGGAAGATATATTGAGGAGTAAAATGAGCCGTGTCATGACAAAACCAACATAGTGTGTTTGCGACCAGCATGGATCCATACCAGCCTGCGCATCCGCGCAGGCTGGTCTGGATCCATGCTGGTCGCAAACATTGTCCCATTATGTTGGTTTTGTCATGACACGGCTCAAATATATTTACCAAGTTCATCAACCAGCACTAGAGAATGTTTTGTAGCATGTTGTAATATAGCTGATGTCTCACTTAACTCTACGAAGAACGTGCTCTCACCTACAAATATAACATGGAATGTACTTATACATATATGCCCTAGTTCACAATCTATTAATGAAGAAAGTAGTTAATATAAAATTAAGTAAGTTTTAAAACTAAAGCAAAATGCATTTAAAATCATAACTTTCTTTGTTTATTTTCTGTTTTTACGCCAATTCTATACAAATTTTGGTCAAATCTCAGCAGTCGATCCATCTAACCAGTTTTCCTGGATAACCAACGAGTAAATACCAAATTCTCAGCAAGTGACCAACTCTTTATGCCATATGATATCTGAACCTGCAGTGAGACACAAATGACCAATAGACTCTATGTCAAAGATCAGTTGTCACAGAGAAATTTCAACTCACCCAAGAATACAAGTAGCGACCCCTTGATTTCAAATCTGATACTTTTATATTTACCAGGTGTAATCTACAACTTAAAATTTAACATTTTAATGTGCATACCTGCCATGATTCTATCACTAGCACCTAATCTTGTAAACACTCTGTCAACTGGTGTTAATCTACACTTCTCTGCTGGTACATAGCAACCCTGAAAATAAAAATTGCAAATCATATTTTCAGCTCATACCCGATATGATCAGAAAATAATTAACCTTAAGAGCTGTGAAATCTGATCAGACTCAATTGCTTGTTGGCTGACCAATTTCAAACATTTATCTTGATCTTCCCAAAATTGATAATGGACGGTTCAAAAAATGGAAGCTACACAAGTCCTTTCAAGAAATTCAGCAATCTAAGGTTTATTGAAGAAAAAATATTTTGCATTCCATACTTAAAACTGAAACTAAAGGGACATAGATCAATCACCTGCGATTCAATGGTATGAAGGTCATAAACAAAGAACATTGGATAACATAAAAGCTTGTCACTTTCAAGATCACAGGGTCATGATTCATATAACTTAAGTGCAAATTTTCTAGTCAATGCTACATGCTAAATATCAGTAAACTATAGTTTATCATGATATGATTTAGTTGTATTTTCTTATGAAAATCTAAGTAAATTAGGTGATGCCTTAGGCAAAGCAAACTCTGACATTGTGGGCACAATTTTTGTAACTTTGGTAAAAAATCCACTTGCCAACACTACTGTTATTGTAATTTCACATAAGGAACTTTAAATGCATGTAATTTCCTATATAATCATAACAATGTTATAGTTAAAATACATCTAATTTGTGACTTAATCTGAAGTTTTTACACAAATTAAAAGTTTACCATTTGTGCCATGATAACCACTAGACCAACTTGTCTCATTAACGTTGACTTGCCGCCCATATTTGGTCCTGTAACCAAGACAACCTGACTCTTACCATGACTATCATCAGCTTCAGATTCCTGTATCAGAAACATGTTTTAAATGATTACCTTGGAACAATTTTATGTGGAAAAAACAACTACAAAAAGCAACTAAAAAGAAATTGAAAGTAATGTGAAGCAGAGTGATGGTTAAAATTGTGAATGCTATTTTCTGCTGCAAAATACTCACATCCTAGGACAGTTTTTCCAAATGATAGCTAATACTGTAAAGAATCATATTAATCTTTAAGAAGGGCATTCTTTTCCATTTCTTTTTTATTTCTCATGAAATATATCGATATGAAAAATAATACACCGGCACCATATATTTCATATATAAACACAGTATAGGACTTTCCAGCTTTAATGGTGGAGGAAGACCCTTCGGTGCATTATTTTAGACTCCATTGGGCACTGAGTAGAAACCACTTTGTTTTTGTGATTTATACAAATAGGTAAATTTTCATTCCTCTATGTTGCAGCTGTAAACTAGTATATACATGTATATTGATATGAAAAATAATACACCAGCACCATATATTTCATATGCTGAACAATTCTTACATCTTTTATTCCTATAACTGTATCATTAGGTATGAAATCACCACCACTGAATGTACGACATATGCACGGATGTCTAGCATCCCTGATCTCCAGGTATGGCTGAAATAAAAGAAAATAATATTTACAGAGTATTTTTTATGAAAAATGATAATTTTTTTGAGTATTTTTTTATGAAAAATAAATACTAACTTCATTTGTTGAACAGTTCAGAGTGTTGTTCCACTTTCTGTTTTTTTCTCCCAATAACAAAATCTTCTCTACTGTAAATTCACTTAATTTCGTGAATATGAAGTTTTGAGGTTTTCTCACAAAGAAGATTTCCTTCGGTACTTAACTTCATGGATTTTTTACTTTTTCAAAAGGTAAAATGTAAATAATGTGATGCAAAATACTCTTTCAGCATTGGATCTTAAATTTGTGACCTATCCACGAAAACAACGAAAAATTAGTGCCCTACAAATAATTATTATTTTGCAGTATTCCATTGTTGTACAGAAAATTTTTAATTAATCGGCACAGTTTAGTTTTCTTAATTCAAGACAACCTCCTGTTTAACATCTTTAGACTGACAACGCTTCAACAAAAGTTACACATCAGGAACTTGGTGACAATATTCATTGAAAATTGGTTGAAATCGCTCTCAAGAAATGCTGGAGGTTGTGTAGAGAGATGAGTATTTGAGCCGTGTCATGACAAAACCAACATAATGGGTTTGCGACCAGCATGGATCCAGACCAGCCTGCGCGTTCGCGCAGTCTGATCAGGATCCATGCTGTTCACTTACCAACCCTATTACAAGTAGAGAAACTGATAGCGAACAGCATGGATCCTGATCAGACTGCGCGGATGCCCAGGCTGGTCTGGATCCATGCTGGTCGCAAAAGCATTACGTTGGTTTTGTCATGACGCGGCTCATTTCTCTTTGTATTACATGTGAAGAAATATTATCACAACAAAGGGTCATAATCTCAGCAGGTGAATAAATTAAAAATTACTGACCATGTGTGCAAGAAAATTTGGTTGAAATGTAGGAGGAATTGCATGCAGGACAGTAGTATTTCTTATCATTTGAAATTTGTTTCAGTACCAAATCCATACTTGTACTTAGTCCAATATAACAACTGAGACTTGATACATTTGGTAAAAGTGGATGGTCTACAATGGGCATATGTTTCATAAGTATTTCAAATACTGATATACACAATGGAAATATATCATTTGATATTCCTTTGAAATATTTCTGTAAAAACAACATGTTAATTGATCTAAAGGGATTTAGTATGAACATTTATATGACTAATAACATTTTTTTTCCTTAAAACTTTTTTATATTGATATGTCATATCTGATCATGTATTTCACACTTACCAACAACATTTAAATTATATAATTCCTTTGTGGCCAGTTTTAATGTATAATACTAAATAGTATCAACATAATAAATTTCTGTTCTCAAATTTCTTCCATTAAAGATCATTTCCCTTTAACATGATCATCGCCAAACATTCAAAGAATAGACAGTTATTATACCATACCTGTTGATTCTCTTCAGGTAGCACAATCTCTGGTCTACAAACTACACCATCGGCACATCTACTATACTGAGCCATGGATAACAATACATCTAATACAGACATACATTGTACCGCAGTATCCCACATCTTATACCTTGGTGATTAAAATAATTTGTAAAGTTGCATGCCTCCAGATGAGCCAAAAATATTTTTTCAATTGAGAAAAATGTACTTAGATTTTTAAGATTATAAGAAAAGTAAAAATATTCACAATTTATAAATGATTTACATGTTATATGCAATGAGTAACTAATTTTCACCATATTGCTACTGTATGACTACTGCAAGTAAGGGCTATTCTCACATTTTTTGTCTTTTATTTGTAGATAGACATGGACTGAAAGTGCCGATGGCAATGTGTGAATTACTTTATTTGCAATATTTTACTTTTTAAGTTGAGTTTTTTTAATTACGTTGAATGTCAGATAGGTCCAAAGTTTTATTTCTCTTTCTTTCTAAGAATGAAAATGCCAAATGATATATACCTCAGGCTCAATTAAAGGCATCTTTACTGTATAAATCTTGATATAATTCTTACAATGTCATTTTTCAATTTCAAATTCTTTGGAAAAGCAATAACAAATTTTTTTTTACCGTTTATCAAAATTATGAAATATTCGTCTCATCACATCCTTCAACGCTGCGTCCTTCCTCTCCTCAGCATCTACAAGCTCAGACAACATCTCTTCTATTTCTGTTGTTCTAAATCGTTTAGCTCCTTTCTTTGATGACATCAGCTGGTACTCGTTTGGTACATTTTTTATAGAACTCTCTGGTATTTCCATTTGGTAACGATTTTTTCCGGTACCCCAGTACACTATTGACTTAAATAAATGGGACACCATGACAACAGTCTATTTAATTAGTAAAGTTAACTTCAAATTCAAAAGGACACAAAATATCCTTGGAGATAAAGAAGTTGACCAGTCACAGGTTTCTACTTTTTAGAGAATTTTAAAGCAATAATACAGCTCCAGCAAAGCCAAGGTTAGCTCAAATGTTTGTTCAAATCCTGTCAGGGGCAAGCCCTTGTTTTCTTAGGCAAGAAACTACACTTATTGCTCAGAAACAGATTCGAGAGTGTTTCTATAAAGAATAAGCTTCCTACACTATCAAACTAAAATAAATTCTATATATACAAAATGAGACGTGCCATAACAAAACCAACATAGTGTGTTTGCGACCAGCATGGATTCAGACCAGCTTGCACATTTGCGTAGTCTGATCAGGATCCATGCTGTTCGCTTACAAACCTTAATACAAGTAGAGAAATTGATATCAAACAGCATGGATCCTGATCATAATATGCGGATGCACAGGCTGGTCTGGATCCATGCTGGTCGCAAACGCACTATGTTGGTTTTATCATGACGCGGCTCAAATATTTTGCTTACGAAAAAAAAAGAAAAGAGAAATGACATTTGACTACATACCCTGCAACCTAGTCTGGTTTTCTGTTTATCTAGATACTGTTGTAGACTGGACTGTGTAGATTCTATGTCACATATTGCTTTATCATAGTCCGAGTCCACTCCTAACATTATACAAACATTTATGTTGTAAAATAAATAAGAAATGATTCGAATATGGCAATGCTGCGGTAAATAATTCGGTAATGACATGATATGACAAATATTTAATATTTAAATGTGAAGGAAGTCCAAGTCTAAATGTTTTCATATTGTTTGAACTGAAAAGAGCTGTTAAATTCAAAACATGTTAACATTTCAAATATTTACGATAGGGATTCTTTTTGGCTTATTTTATAGCCGTTATTGCGTCATAGTATATTATTTTCCCAATCTACAGGAAAAAATTCCCAATTGAAAGTTACAAAATAAAAATATTGAATAAAAATTCTAAAAATCTTTGAAAATAAGGGCTTCTTCACTGTAATAGTGCTTAGATGTTTGAGGATGCCATTGTGTCCCAGCATTCACCAAAACATTCTGCTGAATGCCTCGTACAAAGATATTTTCTTGAGTAGAACCACTGTGTACCGTAAGACAGCTGGATAGCTTGCTCATCAAATGAAAGAATCAAAAGTCTCTGTTGGGATTCGAATCTACAGGTGAGGTACAAGTGATTTGAAGTTAATGACCTTAATCACTCAGACACGGACGCCACAACTTGTAACATAATGATAACGATAAAATAATGACAAACCTCTGCTAGGTACAATGACTCCTTCTTTCTTGGCTTTATTATGGTCAAAAGCATGCTAAAATTAAGAGAAAAATAACATAAGTGGAAGAATACACAATACAGTGATTTCCCCCTAAATTTTACAGCAAAGTACAAGCCGTTTCCCCTTTCCCTCTCAAGAAAAAAGCTTAATTTCACCTCAAATAGTATAAATTCCACTTTAATGCCTCCCTGCACATTTGTAACCAGAACCAGGACTAAACAAAAGCTGACCAATATCAGCTTGTTGATAAATTAAATAGACTGAAAGCCCAAAAGCTGTCACTTTAAATTGCCTCTACAATGCAGTAATAACAAACTGTCTGCATTTCTAATATACTGTAGTGTGCTAATAAACATGCCAAGCCTGAGGTTTAAACTAACACACGGACAGAGACAAGTGCCTTCAACAAAATTTGCACTGAACTATCGTCCCAAAGTGCCTGGTGTGTTATTTTTTTTTTGTTGGGAGTATTGTCAGTCTTTAAAGATACTAAACAGGAAGTTGTCTTGTTAAGCTAAGTTTGTTTGTTTGGTTTGGTGTTACAGCGCACCAACATAATTAATCTAAGTAGGTATGCACTATGTACTATTGTAAGACTTACATCAAAGAACTTCAATTCATCTACAAGATCTGGAAACAAACCACCCTCACTTTTGCCATCAATACCAAGCGTTTTTGTTAGAAGCTGTGATCTGTAATAGACAAAGTATACATATTATATACATTAAAGGGACTACATTGACGTGTTTCTGAATGACGGACTCTAAATATGATTTTGAGATACATGAATTAAAGGGACTCCACCAGGGTGTTTATGAATGACGAACGGTAAATATGATTTTGAGATACATAAATTAAAGGGACTCCACCAGGGTGTTTTTGAATGACGAATAGTAAATATGATTTTGAGATACATAAATTAAAGGGACTCCATTGAGTTGTTTTTGAATGACCGATGATAAATATGATTTTGAGATATTAACGTTTGTGACACAACGGTAATGGAAATATGTTTCAAGATTTTTATACCATTTGATGTTGGTCTATACCAATAATTTGTGTGCAAAATTTCAGATTGTATCCTCACTCTGCTTTTTTTCAAGAATTATCATTTACACAAAAAAAACTTAATTTAATGTCAACTCAAACAAGCAAATATAGCACTATTTAATTTAATGAGCATTTTCTATATTATTTTTTACAGATTTTTCCATTTTAATCCCAAAGTTTATCTATACAAGATTCAAATTTTGTTTTTACACTTTTGGACATAATTCTGTCAAAATACATGTGAGAATTATGGACCATGGATAGGGAACTCCTATTATGCTCTCAAAAACTAAATGTGTTCAGTTTCAACCCATTTCCTTAAATAGTTTTAGAGATATCAATTTGCATGCAAAAACTTGACCAAAGCAAGCCAGAGTTGAGCTAAAAATCATGATATGAATACATCCAAAATGTTTATAGTATGTTTAAGAAAAAACAAACATTGACTTACTTGAAGTTTGAAACTGTATGACTGAACTTCTGTGCAATTTTTGCAGCAACTTTGAAGCCATCCAGAGTTGCCAAAAAATCTTCTATCTTTCTTTTACTGAAATACAGAACAACAAATTTAGAAAATTCTTGTTCAAAATTTTATATTACAAGCCAGCATGTCCTATTCTTTCACTGCCTCTGGTTTTAAGTTTCTCCGACACTGAACATATCATTTGTAAGTGCAATCATTGAGCAATGTGAATACATATCACTTACCATCATTAAGGTTTCTAGGCAGTGGTCAGTTTGAAAACACGAAACAGGTCAGTTTGAAACATGGAACATGTCAGTTGAAAACATGTAACATGTTACTTTGAAACCATGTAACATGTTACTTTGAAAACATTGAACATGTTAGTTGAAAACATAGAACAGGTCAGTTTGAAACATGGAACATGTCAATTGAAAACATGGAACATGTCAGTTGAAAACATGGAACATATCAGTTGAAAACATGTAACATGTTACTTTGAAAACATGGAACATGTTAGTTGAAAACTTGGACCATGTCAGTTTGAAAACATGGAATAGGTCAATTGAAAACATGGAACATGTTACTTTGAAAACATGTAACATGTCAGTTTGAAAACATGGAACAGGTCAGTTTGAAAACATGGAACAGGTCAGTTGAAAACATGGAACAGGTCAGTTTGAAAACATGGAACAGGTCAGTTGAAAACATGGAACAGGTCAGTTTGAAAATATATATGTATGTTAAACAGAAGAATATGATAATAGAACAAACCTATAAGTAACCTCCTCATACAGGATAGCACGCCCATCTGGATGTTTTTTACTCTTTGCTGTACCAAGTGTATGAATCCTGTTAAGAAAAAGAAAACATGACTTTTTTAACAATTTCAATAATTAGAAATTTCTTTCTTTTCTTTTCTTTCTTTTACACAATACTTATACACAAATCCAGAATTAAAATTCATGAAAATCTTCAAAAGGATTTTTGTCTCACATTCAACATTCATTACATACAGTGTAACTTCCGAAAACCGAACACCCATGGGACTTGTCAAAAAGTTCGGATTTCAGAGGTTTCCGGAATTCAGAGGTTTATGATAATGTGGACAAGACTAAGCCACTTAATATCACTAAATGTCAAGGAAGATGTGGCCATTACTGTATTATCATATATAATAGTCTTTTAATCAAGATAAAGATGTGCATGAAAAGAATACATTTTTATCTTACCTGCAAATGCTTTTGAATTTCTATCAGTTTGTAGAAATGTTGTTAATTGCATAAACTTACATATCGTCCGATGCTAGTTAATTAATTATTACATAAAATGCAATAAAATTCCTAAAGACTTTTGGTGCATACATTGTCCAATTAATTGTCATTTAATCTGCTAATAAACACTTTAAATTAACTGACCGCCGTAAATTACTTTAATTAACCACATCACTTCAAACATACCATTTCACAGTTTGTGATTTTAACGCGTGTCAAATTACACGATCACCGCTAATTAGTAAACAGTCGATAGGGAGATTAAATCTTCCTGCAGGGTAAAAATTCTCGTTTTACAATGTATTTCACACCTTTGGATATTTCCGGTTTTTGGAGGTAAAATTCCATTGATTTGACTCTAATTTTACCAAAATATCGTCTAGAATTCAGAATTTAGAAGTTCCGGAATTCAGAAGTATTATATTAATAGAAAATAGAAGGGAAAAAATCGGGACCGAAAAAAATGTTCGGTTTTTAGAAGTTTCCGGATTTCAGAAGTTCCGGAATTCGGAAGTTACACTGTACAATACATTATTAAATTCCTTCAAAATGCTGAGTTATTTTTTTAGTTAGTTGAGCTTTTCATATTTAATTCTAAAGTTACACCGACACTGCCAAGGTTATACAGAGACTTTCCAGCTGATCTGGTGGAGTGCTCCAATGTGTATTATTTCAGACAAGCTCCCTCAGTTATTTCTTCAAATCTGGACCGATAATTAGGAGCATTCAAAAACATCCAATTTAAGTTAAACCATTAAAATGCTTAATAATCGTTTTGCTATAGTTTTGTCTGTGACAATTGTTTTCGACATTCAAGTCTTTTTGACATTTGTCGCTCGCTGCTGATTCAGAAAATCGTCAAGTCCTTACTGAGAAAATTGGTAATTACCGGTTAGTTATCTAGGAAAGCAAGTTTAAGTGGACCAACCACCGCGACATGACCAAAAGTATGTCAAAATCAGCATAAAAACCAAACTCTTACATTCAGAGCGTTATAAATAATTCAATAACAGACACAAGATAACAAGATATCTCTTAACTTTTTGGAGATCTTAAATCAACACTATCATATATACATGTATATGTACCTGCTTAATAATCTTTCTAGATCTGGTAACTTTTTAATTTTTTCAACAACTTCAGCTACCACATCCTGACAGCCAATCAAATCTTCTACAGCATCCAGTCTGTCATTAATGGACACTGGATTACATAGGGGAGCACATAGCCACTGTCTAAATAGACGCTTTCCTGAAATAGTGATTTCTTAAGTACAGTACAGATATCGAGGAATATGCAAAATCCTCCGAGGATCGAGGAAAGTACTCGCAACTCCGCGAGAGTATTTGTCCATAAAAACGAGTGACTCCGCGTGAGAAACGTGTGATGAGAGTGACTCCGAGACGAAAATAAAAGCGCGTGACTCCGAGAGAGAATTACCGCGTAACTCCGTGTCGGTGTCTAGCTGGTGTAAATAAATGCAAGTGTAATCTCATTTTATATTTAATTTAATTCTTTAGATTACCATTCGAAAATAAAGATGATTTTTACGGTTGTTGTTTTCAATTTACCCTGAAACAGTTGAAAGGTACATTTGATTAGAAAAAATCACTACTGTACCGTAAGCGTCATCAGTTCTCAAGTTTATTTTTATCCCGATTAATTAGGTCAGTAGCAATAACCACAGGAACCCGAAATTCTATCAAAAACAAAAAGCGATTTAAAAAATCCATATAATAACAGCCCAACATTTTTTTATACTTCTTTAAGAAATGAATTAATTATATAAACTTCTTAATCTTAAATGTTTCTATATGCATCAAATACCGATAACGTGCCGTTCTAATTTATTTCAGGTGCCAAATATTGTGTTGTGTTTTTTTCAATGTGGAAAATGAGTTTCGATCCTCACAATATTTTAATCATTAATAACATGTGCACATCAAAAAAATTGACTTTCCCAACTTTTATATTGGTTTGTATAGTTTTAAAAATTGTCATAATGTGCATGTACGTTTCTTCATAATCCATTGTTTACATGTATTTTAGTTACGTGTCAACCTGTCACATCCGCCGTTTTTCTTAGAAGACACTTGATTTATATATAATTTTTGAGAATTAACATTAACTTAATCGTTTCTAAATAAAGCTGCATAAAAATTAGTAATATATTGTTGTAATTTTATTCAAAGAGTATCTCCGAAAATCTGTCGGTCTCATTCTGTTATCAAAGTCATATGTAGACGTATGTCGATATTGATATCAAAAGTCAGTTGTCTTGTGATGATCATTAATAAATTAAGATTTTTGTTTTTTATTTCAGGCATTATGGAGGAATATTCAAGAGTTATATATAGAGGTGTTAACAAGTTGACAGAGGCCGTTCAACTTACCTAGCGCACTGCTCCCGTAATTCATTCACCTGTAATCAGCATTACACAGATTGACAAAAAATAAAAACAGCAAAGAATAAAATGATCATTTTATTTGTCTTTTTGTTTTATTTGTTTATGGTTTGTACATCATCTATATCATGTCATTTTATAAAAAATAAAAAAACAGTTTTGACAAAGATTAAACTACTTCTGATTTCACGTACATGTACTGTTCATAGACGATAAAACAATATTTTTATAATAGCATATGAACATATTTGATCGTCACAGCAAGCGGGCATGCGTTGTACAGGTACGTATGTGGATTGAAAAAGACCGCCATGCCTTTAAAAAATCACTGCCAATCTCAATGTTCTTTTTTTAAAATTCATGGTTTTATTTTTGAGACAACGCAGCGCCTGTTGTTTTCCCCCTGCAAACATCGGTAGAATTTCATGAATGAATTCCTTAATGTTGTCCTTTCTTGTGCTGCCAACATCGGTAGAATTGCCTAGCAGATCGAACTTCTTAACTCTGTTCTATTTTGTTCTGAAAGCAATAGTAAAATAAATTTAAACATTAATGTTAAAAGCAGGACTGTACATGCCGACATAGGGTGTCGCTGTTTTGGCTAGTGCATTGTATGGAATGATGTATTATATCTCGTATTTCACGGATTTTTTATCAACCAACAATTAAAAGGAGACGTACATGTACTTTACATGGAAATCAGTTTGGTATCATTTATGTAACTGGTACAAATTTATCTAAAAGCCTGACTTAAAAGTATAAAATTACTTTCCAAGGCAGATGCATTTCACTGAAGAATACTTTGTAAACTGTCTTAAAGAAAATGTTGTTTTTTTATTCAGTTCAGGTACAAAGTATAATTTCCCTTACAATAGTGTGTCAATGGAATGAATCTACCTAAGCACGTGGTTGTTTTGCCATGTATTTCCTTTTTTTTCTTCTTCTTTTTTTTTGCTTACATAATAATTATAAATTTGTATAAACAATGCAAAAAAGAAGCTCATCTTTATTTTCTTATTTTAGAATACTAAATTAAATAGGTTTTTGACACTGAGCGTTACGGGAATTGCGGGAAATCATCGGTTATATTTTCCTTTAATCAATTAATGAATCAAGTGTGTCTACTTTCGTTTTCACTTGTGATACTTTACATCAACGAAGAATTTTCGACAACATTGTTATTTTGAATGAATAATATACATGCGTTGAAGGATTTTATTTTAGAGGTAGAGCATTATATTAATTAATAAATAAATAAAGCATTCGTGTACCAAATCAGTCTTATTTTCTCGGAGTCACTCTTTTTGACTATGAGGTTCATGGAGTCCCGCGGACAAAATTGTCACTCGTTTTTGTCTCGGAGTCACTCTTTTTCACCCAAGAAAATTTATAATCCACTCGGAGTCACGCTTTTTGAGATTACTCGATACTCGCAGAAATTTGCATATTCCTCGATATCTGTACTGTATATGTATTCACGTATAATGCAACTAAAATATTCCAGTATGACTAGCAAATTTTCAGCAAATTATCATTTTTAATCTACTCTCATTATGTACATAGTGTAACAAATATCAGTTATATAAGCAACCATAATTATTACCCTTGTTCATAATGGTAATGTATACCATCATTATATAGATATGTAGTATTTTCTGGTCGCCATTTTACAATTTCTAGAGAAGAACAACAAAGGGGAGCGACTACAGTACATTCATACCCAAACTAGTTCAAATCAACTGCAATTCATCCCTTACTGTTGCGACTGAGCAAACATTTCACTGATGTTAGTAATTAATTGGATTATTTTTGTTAACAATTGATTTTTACTGACACCAACATTCCATAAGCTAGCTGGATAGCTTCCTCGAATGAAAGAATTCAAAGTCTCTGTCAGGATTCGAACCCACAGCAGTGAGGGGCAGTCAATGATATTTCAGCATCAGTACATTTTTACCTACTGATAGTAAACTACATCTATGCTGGTGTTCCTTACCAAATGGTGTATAGCATTGATCCAATCTCTCCAGTAATGTTCCCTCTAACGTTCCAGTACTGCTGTTTTCAGTAACGTCCAAGTTGGACAACGATACACCATCTAGAATCATATGTTTTGTTCCAAAATTAAAACTACTCTTGCCACCTTTATCTTCTTTCTTCAGATTATCTAATGGTTCATATTTCTCAAATGTTCTCATAGAAAGAAGTTCTTCGTCCAGTAGAGAATACTGTAAATACCTGGAAGAAAATCAAATTTCATCACATGACATTACTTGCTATCATTATAACATTACCATTAGCTATTTTCATAGATAACATATACTTGCACATATCAAGAAAGGGGGGGGGGGGGGAAGAGTCATGACCTATCCCAGTATGTTAAACCCATCTGAGGTTTGAATATCACTTACATTTTAAAGTTTATATCACGCAAAATAAAATAAAAAACCTTCTGGAAAACAAGCAAAATGCCTGTTCAGATTGCACTGATGTGCTCTATACTGGTGGCAAAGGCTGATAACTTTAGTTCCAGCAGATTAGGTTTAATCACATACATGGCAGTAACAGAGTACAAAATATCATAAGAGTTTTTTTGTTTTTGTTGGATTTTAGTCATATTGATACTGCAATGGTAAGCTTCCAAGTTTACTGGTTGAGGAAGACCTTCTGTGTCTATTTATCAGACCAAGTAGGCACCTGAGTAGAACCACCAATGGTTCCGTGAGCTAGTTGGAAACCTTCTTCACATGAAAAATCCATACTCCCTGGGGAATGCACAGCAGTAAGTGGCAAGTGGTTTGAAGTCAACAACCTTAACCACTTGGCCACAGATGCCAGCTAAAACAAGTCGAAGGAAAATGTAAAGTTTAACAATATCATAAGTGAACATACCAGGTGAGAGCTCCTAGTGAACTGACAGCTAGACTGTATTCCTCGGATGCTGTACGACCAAGAGCATCATCTATTGATGGAGACATAAAATTATTACATTTTGTTAAAATTTCATTTATTCATGATATCAAACACTTTGTGGCAGACAAGAAAATGTTGACAACAGAAGTGTTTTTTACACAAAATGGAAACCCAAATTTAACTATTGGTAGCAGAACTCCAGCAATAATAGCTTATTTGTCACTCAGGGCGCTTAATATATTATTGCCTCTTAGTAAAATCATCATTGACAACAATAATTAGACTTCATTTGTAAAATTGTTATGACATTATGCTCATTTTTGTTGTTGTCAAGATGAGCCAAATTAGCTATTTTTAACAGGTCTAATTTTCCAATGGTGACCACGTGTATTAACGATTTTTCCAAAAAAACGACCATTTAAATTTCCCCCCCGATCATTTTTTTTCTCTATATTTTAATGTATTAAGCGATTTTTTGCTAACGCGCCCACGACCGCTAATTGTCACAAATTTGACATAAAATCTTTCATTAAACGACCATTTTTTACCTGTCAAGTAATTGTTTTTTTGAAAAGCCAACTCGTTATGTCAAAGTGTCAGCAATCAAAACAAACAATAAACGTGTGAAAAACTGAGCGTAGTTATTATTCAACATTTATATAAAAATTAAGTTGAAAAACAATCCCATCGAATAAAAAAGATGTCATTTATAAATTTTGACTTTTATATCATGCTGACTGTCTTAAGAGACCGTTTCATTAAGCGACCGTTTTTGGTGTTTCCCTTGCCCGGTCGCTTAATACACGTTTGACTGTACAGTATTTTAAACGGCTCATAATTTTAATGGTGTTTAACCAATGACTGATGATAACAATTGTTTCCAATAAAATATTACAGATCAATAACAGAGTATATATAGAAATTTCAGTTGGTCTCAAAAAAATATTTAATTATTTTGTCAAAGTAGAATATAAAATTGAAAAAAATTTAACAAAATGTAAAGCGTTTTTTTTCCACTTTCACCAGTAGACTCACTATTTACACTTAGATGGGCATAATACCACTTTTTTATCTAAACAATCTGACAAAAGCTCAGACTGATAAAATGGGCTTCTAGCCAGGCTGATAAAACGTGCTTCTAGGAAGGCTGATAAAATGGGCTTCTAGGAAGGCTGATAAAATGGGCTTCTAGACAGGCTGATAAAATGGGCTTCTAGCCAGGCTGATAAAATGGGCTTCTAGCCAGGCTGATAAAATGGGCCTCTAGGAAGGCTGATTAAATGGGCTTCTAGGCAGGTTGATAAAATGGGCTTCTAGCCAGGCTGATAAAATGGGCTTCTAGGAAGGCTGATAAAATGGGCTTCTAGGAAGGCTGATATAAATGGTGCTTCTAAGGGAGCTTGACTAAATGGGGGCTTCTAGCAGCTGATAAAATGGGCTTCTAGCCAGGCTGATAAAAATGGGCTTCTTAGCCAGACTGATAAACATGGGCTTCTAGGAAGGCTGATAAAATGGGCTTCTAGGCAGGCTGATAAAATTGGCCTCCTAGGAAGGCTGATAAAATGGAACTTCTAGCCAGGATGATAAAATGGGCTTCTAGGCAGTGCTGATTAAATGGCTTCTAGGCAGGTGATATAATGGGCTTCTAGCCACAGGCTGATAAAATGGGCTCAAGACAGACTGATAAAATGGACTTCTAGGAACGCTGATAAAATGGGCTTCTAGGAACGGGCTGATTAAATGGGCTTCAAGGGCAGTCTGATAAAATGGGCTTTTAGAACAGGGCTGATAAAATGGGCTTCTAGGAAGGCTGATAAAGTGGGCTTCTAGCCAGGCTGATAAAATGGGCTTCTAGACAGGCTTTGAAAAATGGGCTTCTATGGAAGGCTGATAAATGGGCTTCTAGGCAGGCTGATAAAATTGGCTCCTAGGAAGGCTGATAAAATGGGCTTCTAGCCAGGATGATAAAATGGGCTTTAAGACAGACTGATAAAATGGACTTCTAGGAACGCTGATAAAATGGGCTTCTAGGCGGGCTGATAAAATGGGCTTCTAGGCAAGCTGATCAAATGGGCTTCTAGCGAGAGTGATAAAATGGGCTTCTAGGCTGATAAAGTGGGCTTCTAGCCAGGCTGATAAAATGGGCTTCTAGCCAGGCTGAAAAAATGGGCTTCTAGGAAGGCTGATAAAATGGGCTTCTAGGCAGGCTGATAAAATGGGCTTCTAGGAAGGCTGATAAAATGGGCTTCTAGGGAGGCTGATAAAATGGGCTTCTAGGCAGGTTGATAAAATGGGCTTCTAGCCAGGCTGATAAAATGGGCTTCAAGACAGACTGATAAAATGGACTTCTAGGAACGCTGATAAAATTGGCTTCTAGGAACGCTGATAAAATGGGCTTCAAGGCAGTCTGATAAAATGGGCTTTTAGAAAGGCTGATAAAATGGGCTTCTAGGCAGGCTGATAAAATGGGCTTCTATGCTGATAAAGTGGGCTTCTAGCCAGGCTGATAAAATGGGCTTCTAGTCAGGCTGAAAAAATGGGCTTCAAGGCAGTCTGATAAAATGGGCTTTTAGGAAGGCTATTAAAATGGGCTAAAATGGGCTTCTAGGGAGGCTGATAAAATGGGCTTCTAATAAAATGGACTTCTAGGAACGCTGATAAAATGGGCTTCTAGCAAGGCTGATAAAATTGGCTTCTAGGGAGGCTGACTTAATGGGCTTCTAGGCAGGCTGATAAAATGGGCTTCTAGCCAGCCTGATAAAATGGGCTTCTAGGCAGGCTGATAAAATGGGCTTCTAATAAAATGGGCTTCTAGCCAGGCTGATAAAATGGGCTTCTAGGCAGGCTGATAAAATGGGCTTCTAGGCAGGCTAATAAAATGGGCTTCTAGGCAGGTTGATAAAATGGGCTTCTAGCCTGGCTGATAAGATGGGCTTCTACCGAGTGATAAAATGGGCTTCTAGACAACGCTGATAAAATGGGCTTCTAGGCAGGCTGATAAAATGGGCTTCTAGGCAGGTTGATAAAATGGGCTTCTTTAGCCTGGCTGATAAGATGGGCTTCTACTTAGAGTGATAAAATGGACTTCTAGGAATGCTGATAAAATGGGCTTCTAGGAATGCTGATAAAATGGGCTTCTAGCAAGGCTGATAAAATTGGCTTTTAGGGAGGCTGATAAAATGGACTTTTAGGAATGCTGATAAAATGGGCTTCTAGTAAGGCTGATAAAATGGGCTTCTAGGCAGGCTGATAAAATGGGCTTCTAGGCAGGCTGATAAAATGGGCTTCTAGGCAGGCTGATAAAATGGGCTTCTAGCCTGGCTGATAAAATGGGCTTCTAGGCAGGTTGATAAAATGGGCTTCTATCCTGGCTGATAAGATGGGCTTCTACCGAGAGTGATAAAATGGACTTCTAGGAACGCTGATAAAATGGGCTTCTAGAAACGCTGATAAAATGGGCTTCTAGCAAGGCTGATAAAATGGGCTTCTAGGGAGGCTGATAAAATGGACTTCTAGGAATGCTGATAAAATGGGCTTCTAGGCAGGCTGATAAAATGGGCTTCTAGCCTGGCTGATAAGATGGGCTTTTACCGAGAGTGATAAAATGGACTTCTAGGAACGCTGATAAAATGGGCTTCTAGCAAGGCTGATAAAATGGGCTTCTAGGGAGGCTGATAAAATGGGCTTCTAATAAATGGACTTCTAGGAGCTGATAAAATGGGCTTCTAGGAACGCTGATAAAATGGGCTTCTAGGCAAGGCTGATAAAATGGGCTTCTAGCGAAATGAGCTGATAAAATGGGCTTCTATAAGGCTGATAAGTGGGCTTCTAGCCAGGCTGATAAAATGGGCTTCTAGCCAAGCTGATAAAATGGGCTTCTAGCGTGAGTGATAAAATGGGCTTCTAGTCAGGCTGAAAAAATGGGCTTTAAGGAAGGCTGATAAAATGGGCTTCTAGGAAGGCTGATAAAATGGGCTTCTAGGCAGGTTGGTAACATTTTAGAATTCATGCTTGCTTCACTGAAGTCAACTTTACACTACATCACTTAACTGATATAATTGCCTTGCCAAGGGATTAACTTTGTAAACTGAATGAGTACAAAAAGAAAACAGTTTTCTTACTATCTGCCATCATGGCTTTAAGTGTTTCTGGCCATTCGACATCACTGCTGTCATCTGGTTTAAAATATGACTCTTCCGACAGAACACGTAATGTCTTACTGCTCTCCCAGAACTCTGTTTTTGGAGTCAACGCCTCTTTCATTACAGATGTCAGATTGTTGTTGATGACTTGCAGAGTTCTCTGTGACAAATGACCTTTCTCGTGCAGAATCTGGCCAGAAAATAAAAAAAATTTAAACAGTTTCTTCTTTATTTTTGTTATTAAAAAAAAATATAGAAATAAAAGTTGTGACTGCAAGCAATATAATTTTCTATATTTCATCACAAATATTAGAAAAAAAATTGTTACACGAAATAATTATGCGTTTATAGTTTGTTTTTTTTTTGGGGGGGGGGGGATGTAATTTGTTCAATTTACATGTACAATTATTCATGAAACATTTCAACTGTCAAAACAAAAATATATACATGTACCTGGACAGGTGGATAATGAGCAAGCAGGGTCCGTAACCTAGAACTATGTCTGTCATCCAAAAATTGTCCTATCTGAAAAAACATAATCAAGAATTTTTTAAATTATCAAAAGAACAAACTATCATGTAAACATTTTGGAATAATGTACATATTTTGATTCTGTATGTCCTTAACATAAAAGAATGCTTATGCTGACACAAATGAGCCGCGTCATACCAAAACCAACATAGTGCGTTTGCGACCAGCATGGATCCAGACCAGCCTGCGCATCCGCCCAGTGTGATCAGGATCCATGCTGTTCGCTTACAAACCCTATAACAAGTAGAGAAACTGATAACGAACAGCATAGATCCTAATCAGACTGCACGGATGCGCAGGCTGGTCTGGATCCATGCTGGTCGCAAACGCATTATGTTGGTTTTGTCGTGACCCGGCTCAAATGATCTTTAGTCTCCTGCAGGTTGCCTTTGTGATGACAAACAAAGTAGATGGCATGATTGGGAAACTATAGTAATATAGCAATGAACAGGTGATAAATCGCAAGTCCCAAAACCAAACTTGATATTAATATCTATGTGTAACACTATAATGAACTAAAACCTTGGTTAAGTCAATTATTACTATAGAACAAAATAAATCTTCAAGTTGAAAGGCTTGTGAAACACAAAGTCAAAACTTACATGGAACTTGCCAATAGATGTATCAACAAAACACACCCCATATGTACTACAGCTGTCTGTCTCCATCTCCTGTAAGTAATAAAGAAAGTTATATTGGACATTTAAACTATTTAAAATGAAGATTTAGTTAATGTTGGACTCCATAAGTTGTTAAAGTGGCTTATTCACTATTAAGACCACCTTGAGTCAGTCGCATCAGTGGTCTTAATAGAGAGAATTTACTGTATTATATCCAATATCCATATTGCACCAGAATCTATAACATGAATGTGCTTAACATTAATATTTTACACCCTACTGTTCTTGGTTTACAATAAAACAAAATTATATGGGTATCCTTGCAAATTGATAGAGTAGACATTACCTTTTCAGCAATGGCTAGGAGATAGGTACTCTGTGAGTCAGCACATTCTCCTGACAGGAAGCTGAATGTTTTGGTCCCCTTTGTTGTTATCCTACATACCTCTCGCTTTACGACTTTATCAAATTTACTCGGCCTACTCACTACAAGTACATAACATTCAATATATCATAGAAATAAGAGTATGACATTAGTATTTTCTATTCAAGTTCATTAGTCCAAGCTACATTGACTTAAGTCATTAGTGAATTAGTATACAGATTTACTTTCTTTTAAGGGTTAACATAATGGTTTTAACAAGAGCTGTCGGTAGGACAGCAACGCTCGACTATTCTTAGTGCTTGATAGTAAAAAAATGCCTGATACAGTTACCTCCTCCTGTTTACAGGTTGGGGTCATGATGGTGAACAAGTGTGCAAAGTTTCAAAGCCATATGTCAATGGACTTTGAAAATATTTTAACTATTACAAAAACTTTAACGTAAATTCTAAGTCGAAAAAGGGGCATAATTCTGTCAAAATGCTTGATAGAGTTACCTCCTCCTGTTTACAGGTTGGGGTTATAATGTTTGAAACAAGTGTGCAAAGTTTTCAAAGCCATATGTCAATGGACTTTGAAATATTTGAACTATTACAAAAATTTTTAACGTAAATTCTAAGTCGAAAAAAGGGCATAATTCAGTCAAAATGCTTAATAGAGTTTACCTCCTCCTGTCTACAGGTTGGGGGTCATGATGGTGAACAAGTGTGCAAAGTTTCAAAGCCATATGTCTATGGACTTTGAAAATATTTGAACTATTACAAAAAACTTTAACGTAAATTCTAAGTCGAAAAGGGGGCATAATTCTGTCAAAATGCTTGATAGAGTTACCTCCTCCTGTCTACAGGTTGGGGTCATGATGGTAAACAAGTGTGCAAAGTTTCAAAGCCATATGTCAATGGACTTTGAAAATATTTGAACTATTACAAAAACTTTAACGTAAATTCTAAGTCGAAAAAGGGGCATAATTCTGTCAAAATGCTTGATAGAGTTACCTCCTCCTGTCTACAGGTTGGGGTCATGATGGTGAACAAGTGTGCAAAAGTTTCAAACCATATGTCAATGGACTTTGAAAATATTTGAACTATTACAAAAACTTAAAATATTAACATAAGTGGTTACGCCGACGCCGACGCTCGGGTGACTGCAATAGCTCTACTTATTCTTATCGAATAGTCGAGCTAAAAAGTACTTCCTCCTCATTCATTTTTTCTTCGTTTTTCTTGATTTTTTCCCCCTCTTATATTTTTGGTGGGTTTTACATCGCAGTAAAACTGTTAAGGTCATATGGCAACCTTCCAGTTTTACTGGTTGAAGACCTCTGGTGTCTTTCCATGCACCAAGGGGCATCTACATAGAACCATTAGCTGGATAGCTTAATCACATGACGGAATAAAAAATCCCAGCAGGATTCAAACCCACACACTATTTTCTTTCCAGTCATTTTATATGTTGAAAAAGTCCCAAGAAAAGTTGAATAGTTTTGTCCAGGTTGAAAGATGGACAAGTCCATTTGAGAAACTTAGCATTGTAAGAGTTAATTAACAAAATTTAAACTACTACGACTATACAGGTAAGATGACGTACAAGTTTTACATCTCTCGTTCATCATTTCCGGTGTTTCTGTCTGTTCTATCCTGGCAACTTTATACCCACGCTGCACTAACGTGTCGGCATAACGTCCATATGCTATCTCAGGAAAACCTGAATGGGCATAATCGCCCTGAAAAAGATATTATACACCCTGGTCCAGTCTATTCCATCTATGATTTTTATAAAAGCTTATTATGATCTTGTTTAATATTGCTGAAATGTCTGTTAATAAATCTAAAGATAAAAAGTTCCGTGCCAGGCAACTCGTACCTATTTTTACAAAATGAAAATAACCTTTTTTAAAAAAAAAAGACAGAAAAAGAAATATGTCACAATCTTTATCATTTACAAGACTAGATCAATTATAAACAAATACTATACAAAAGTATTTGCACAATTAGAAGTAAACAGATTTTTAAAGTAAATATATAAGGCTGACAATTATTTACCTTCATATAGATCAGTCCCAGTTCATTTACAGCTATTGTTGCGTCCATATGAAACAATTCATAGAATTTTCCCATCTACAAAAGTCAGAAAAGATTTAACCGTTTAACAAGCATATCGAATTTCTAATAAAAGAAAGAAAATAAAAAATTATAGTGCTATATTTTGTTTTCCACTTAAATACTTATAATTAAGTGATAGCTTTAAAACTGATGTAAATCAGTGAAAAAATCAAAGTTATTTTACAGTATAAAACCAGCCACTTTTAGGCGATCGTTTTCATTTTTACGCTTGCTTAATAACAGTTTTGAAAGAACTTGGCCAGTTATGCATTTTTAATAGACTTAAATCCGTACCTGATATTTTTTAAAGGGATTGGTTCACAAAGAGTTAAATTTTAATAAGTATTTCATAATTTTACGAAAATACACATCTTATCTGGAGCTCTGCGAAACTGGTGAAATAGTCTTTTAAATCGTTGCAGCTTTAAATCATGAAATAGACTATTCAGCAAATTCTGATTTACATACTGTCACATTGATCTCATAACAAAACTATGTTTATGTGAACACAAATGCAAGAAATTTTCAAAAAAATATTGTGATTTAAGTTAAAAATGTAAAAAGTCACTTCTAAACAAATTCATATAGATTTAATACATAAATATTTACAAATTCCTAAGACAGACCTACCTTGAAGAATAGAACAGTATCAAAATGATGTGACTTTATTTCCCACCACTGTCTCATTGCCTGAAATAATCAAGTAATAGCTCTAAAACTCGAGGCTGTATCTACTGACATACTTCACAGAATTTGATTCAAAGTCTTATATCATAGCTGCATTATCCCTATGATAAACCTGAATTACAACATTTTTACTTCTCAAACCAAACCACTACTTTAACTTGTTCTTCCAACTAATTTTAAAGACTCTGTACTCCCCATGGAACAAATCTAGCCCTATTTTAGTAATAACTGGCAATGGTTACCATAATAATCTGTTTCAACTTTTTATGTATACTTTTGGCCTCAGTGTTGCTCCTTTCAGGTTTCATCTTTCTAGAGGCATGCATATTTTACATATATGATCAGATATAATGATATAACTTACTGGTGTAAACTTGGATTTCTCACTTTCAGGTATATATAATGTTCTAGGGTCATAGTTTTCATCAGTCTTCATATGTTTATTGATATCTCTGTAACAAAGTAGTCAAATTACATATTTTTACAACATTAAACAAATATCTTAATGATAAAAAACATAAAATAGGACACTCACAGTCAGTTACATGAATATTAATTTTTTTTCCGATCATTTTGCAACAAAAATTTAGTGTTTTTTTTGTTTGTTTTTTAAGAATTGGGAAAAAGGGATACTATATTAAGAAAACTACACAGCACAGCTTAATAGTCATCCCAAAACTTTTGATTTTGGAAAATATTTTAATAAATTATATACAATTATCATATTAGTAGAAATTCAAATCTAACAAGATTGCATTTGAGAAAAATGCTATGCCACCGCATTAATACCTAAGCTCTAGGCCTTTTGGGTCTTTACAAGAAGGTATTTTATGTTTTTGAAGCCTTGTACCTTGTACCATCAGACAATAAGATTTTTTTTTGATTTTTTACTATATATATGTATATTTTGAAAATCAATGACCCTCGGGGCGGGGGCAATTTTGACCCAAGGGCTATAATTTGAACAATCTTGCTAGAGGTTCACTACACAATGTTTCATGCAAAATATCTAACCTCTAGCATTTGCCAATTGCTAGAAGAAATTTTTTTAAAGTTTTTACTATAAGTTTTTACTATATACATATAAGGAAAACCAATGACCCCCGGGGCAGGGCCGATTTTGACCCCAGGGCTATAATTTGAACAATCTGGGTAGAGGTCTACCTCACAATGCCTTATGCAAAATATCTAAGCTCTAGACCTTTTGGGTCTTTACAAGAAGGTATTTAAAGTTTTTACTATATGTACATATAGTGAAAATCAATGACCCCCGGGGCAGGGCCGATTTTGACCCTAGGGCTATAATTTACCCTAGGGCTATAATTTGAACAATCTTGGTAAGGGTCTACCAGACAATGCCTTATGCAAAATATCTAAGCTCTAGGCCTTTTGGGTCTTTACAAGAAGGTATTTTAAGTTTTTACTATATGTACATATAGTGAAAAACAATGACCCCCGGGGCGGGGCCGATTTTGACCCCAGGGCTATAATTTGAACAATCTTGGTAGAGGTCTACCTCACAATGCCTTTTGCAAAATATCTTAGCTCTAGGCCTTTTGGGTCTTTACAAGAAGGTATTTTAAGTTTTAACTATATGCACATATAGTGAAAATCAATGACCCCCGGGGCGGGCTGATTTTGACCCCAGGGCTATAATTTGAACAATCTTGGTAGAGGTCTACCAGACAATGCCTTATGCAAAATATCTAAGCTCTAGGCCTTTTGGGTCTTTACAAGAAGAGTTTTTAAATTTATTCTTATAATTCCTTTTGGTTGCCATGGCAACCAGATTTCTGCATGGAATGAAATTCTTTGAACAACTTTGGAAGCCCTTCACCCAAGGATCAATCCTGCCAAGTTTGGTTGGAATTGGACTAGTGGTTTTTCACAAGAAGATTTTTTAAATTCACTATATAATCTATATAACACACAAACAAACACACACACAGGTGAATCGCTATATGCCACCGCATCGCAGATGCTGCGGTGGCATAAAAATATAACATAATATAGACAACTATTATTTTTGTAGAACAAAAATCTAAAATCAAAATAGTTAATGAGACTAACCTGATTTGATCAGGTTGTAGCCACTCATATTTACAGTGTTGGTAAACAATTTTATCTTCTGTGCTATCACTGCTTTGTCCTACCTAAAACAACAACGATAACAACTAAACAAAATTCTATAGGTTTAATATTGGCCTACAAATCAACAAATTGTTTTGTTTCAAATATATGTAACTAAGTCTATAAACAATAAAACCATTGTGTAGGTAATTTGCAGTTTAAAGTCAAGAAAAGTCAAGAAACAGACAAGTATTTCAGCATGGAGAACTGCTGTCACGTATGTTCCTTCAAAAGAGCAGACACTTCTATAATTGTGTTGCAAACCCTTTATTAATGTTGACTACATAAAAATGTTTGTAACATCACTTTTCAATTGATAATCATTGCATTTACGATATCAAAACCAGTAACAAATAGACAGTTTTTATACCAAAAACCAGCCCCTAGACGTATTTATAACAACAGACTTTCAAAGAAATGTGTTGATCAAATATAAAAAGATTGTCTTACAGAGTCACTAGCAGAAAAGGCTGCCAGTTTAGACTTTGTGACACTGCTAACTTTTGGTGACATCACTTCTGACTTTAAACTGGGAGTTCTTGGCGGAGATTTATCTGGACTGGCGTCCTTCGAGAAGCCAGATAATGTTTTCTGTACCGACTGAGAGGCTGGTTTTCTAGCAGTCTTCGGACCCCATGTAGGTTTTGGAGCAGGTCTTTTTCGCTTTTGAGGTAACTGTAAATTAATTAAGACATTGAACATCAAAAATAACATATTTCCAAATCTAAAAAAAAAAAAGAAGAGAAAAGTGTAGTTCTGAGTTAATTTTGTATTTATTATCCAATTGAGCTCCTGTTTTTATAAGCATTGGCAGTCATATATTTTGTTAGTTTGTTTATCATAACATTTACATATTTATCATCATCGTCACTCACTTCATTTCAGTCATCATCATTACAATCATATCCTTGTTTTATCATCATCACTTCTTATTTCCTTCCTTTTTTTTGGGTTTAACGGTGCACCAACACATGTCATATGGCGCCGAAACAGGAAAGATGATTTTGGCTAACTTAGGGGGTTACAAACTTAAAGAAACACCAAGGATTAAAACTACCAATTTTGATGCCTCAACACATAAAGTTAACCCCTCCGCCGCAAAGTGGTATCATCATCATCAATATTATCATTAATTATACCATCACACACTTTAATCATCAACATCTATATTTAAAGTTATCATCATCATTATCATCATCATCACACACACTAATCATCAACATCTATTTCTACAGTTATCATCATCATCATGAGTTACATCATACCTTTAGAGGAGAATCAGGTTCAGAGGCATCATCAGAGGTGACAGTTTCTTCATCTACACCACTACTGGCATCATCATCATCACTCCCTTCTTCTGGATCAGGTTTAAAATCATCACCTAAACATAGTTCATACATTATGCATTGTTTCTTTGATTGATGAGGTTTGATGTCATACCAATACAGTATAGGTCATATGGTGAAGTTCCAGATTTTACTGGTAGAAGGAAGACATCAGAAGCCCATCATGCATTATTTCAGGCATAAACGGGCCCCTGAATAAAATCACTGACATTCCGTAAGCTAGCTGGACAGTATGAAAGAATCTGTCGGGATTCGAACCCTAAGCTGAGAGGGGCAAGTGGTTTGAAGTAAACAACCTTAACCATTCAGTTAGGGACGCCAAAAATTTGCATTGTAATATGACAGTATTTACTATATCTTACATAAAACAGTTTCTGTTCTGATCTTACAGATGTTGGGACTTGGCCTACAGCACTGTTATAATTTGTACTTATTATTGTAGAGATGTATCTTAATTATACACTAAGACCGTAAACACATGTTTTAAAAAAAACTCCTCTAAGGTCCAAAGGCCTAAATATATAAAATTGGAAAACCTGAAAAATATCAAAGTGACATTATGCCCATCTAATGGTACATAGTGAGTGAACAGGTGAGAGTCAAAATAAATTTTCATTTTGCCATAATTCCTTTGGATTTAATAATTTACTTCAAGTAAACAATAAATAGCTGCCAGATTCAAACGAAATTTCTGTAAATATCATTTAGAATTTACCTGTAACTTTCAATTTATAAAATGAGTGGGGCAGTCTTTTTATATCTTAGCCAGATTTTAAAATTTATCCTTAACATTTTCCAATATAAGCAGTTGGTCAAACATCATTTAAACAGTCAATGTGTTGAAATATAAAGCCAAGGCCATCCTTAAAAAATGTTTGATTGCAGTAACGCGACCGACTCACAAAATTTGGCCCTACTCAAAAAATTTTTCATGGTCTGGATAAAAAAAAAAAATTTTGAATCAAAAAATTATGCCTTGTGCTTTGTTTTCGTTCTTTTAAAGGTTAATAGAAGAAATAAAATGTAGGTCTTATTAAATTAGAATTCAGTTATCAATTTATTAATTGTTTCAAGATTATCAAAGCATATATTGTCCAGCATTTTGAAATTTCATGTTTATTTGGGAGTACAGTTCAATAAAAAAAAAAAATCGGCCTACCTACCCACCTTGAAAATTCTTACTGCAAACAAACATTTTTTTAAGGATGGCCCAATTCAGCTCAACTTGACTATGAAAATATGAGCATAATATCACTTCAAGTAAAGCACTAATTGAAACCTCAAAGGAACATTAAGAAATACACTATGCATTAACTTGAAAATTGATTACTGTGCAACTCTTACTTAGTCGAATTTGAGTTAAAAGCTTTCATTTTTGGGTCAATTTGCACAATAAAAATGATTCTTACGGGAAAACAAGTTGAGGGAATGACCTGAAAATTTGCACACTAGTTACTGGTCCATCCGTTCATTGAGTTGTACATAAATAAAAAAAATATTTCCAGTTTTCAAAAAAAACAACAAAAAACTTCAGTGGAATCTCTTAACATTTTTGTATAAGTGTATCTGAGAAATGGATTTGTCCTGAACTGAACTGATGAAAAGTTCAGTGAGTGGGTTTACTTACAAAATACTAAACTCAACAGTGTCCAGTTCAATCTAGCTTTGCAGGAATAAAGTAAACGTCTTGGTAATTCTATTTCGTTTAATCGAATAACTACGGTATCAAATGAGATGTGAGCTGCGCATGCGCGGATCAGTGTGCTTCCGTGTCCGGATTAGTCAATTTGCACGTTGAACGTAGTTCGACAATTTATTTGTGTTTACACGCTTATTTGACTTTAAATGCAAATTTCTTTTGTGTACGTAGTGCGCAAACAACATAACAATTTGTTTTGACATTTTGAAATCACAACGTAGTTGTGAAATTTAAGGAATTAGTGTTTTTTATAATTGCCACACGTGGTGGGGCTTTCAATATGGCGGATGCGAAACGGGACCCGAAGGACCCGAAAGAAAAGTCAGATATTACTGGACAGTTTAAGGAAAATAAAAAAGGAAAACAACCGGCGAGAAAGGACGTGAATCCGTCCGCCTCTACAAGCAAATCGCCGTCGGCGAATGAAAATTCGTCAGAAGAATTGATTTCGATTTTACAGGCCATGAGGGCCGAGCAGGTAACGACTAATAAAAAATTAGAATCGTATGAACGTAGATTGACTCAAATTGAAAATTATGAGGAAGAGTTTGAAAACTATGAACAGTATGAAGACGAGACATATAGTGAATCAGGTGATGGTTCAAATAAGAGGGGTTTAGATGAAAGAAATGTTGAGGGTAGCCGTTTTGCCTCGTTAGCCAAAAGATTTAAAAGTGTTGAGGTGTGTGACAGTGAACTAGACCCAGTGCTTGCCTCAAACATAAATGAACTATTTACGAATGGCATGGAAGAGGAGCAATATAGCCAGATGACGAGAGATGATGTGAATGCACGTCCTTCAAATTGTGAAAATTTGGTTACTGTAAAACTAAATCAATTAGTTTGGGATATCGTTTCACCAACAGCCCGTTCAAGGGATAAGAAATTACAAACTTTAGAAACAAGTGTTGTTAAAGCTGCCGTTATTTTGGCAAAGACTGTTGATAAAGCAGCAAAGTTAGAAAAGGATTTAGTTGGTTCTTGGAAGGAAGGTTGCGAGATGGACTCTCTTATTGATGGATGTAATGATTCTTTGGCTCTTCTTGGACATGCAAACAGGCAGGTGAACATGTTACGTAGAGATCTGCTGAAACCTGAAATGAGAAATGAATATGCACATTTATGTACACATTCGCTGCCATATACGAATCAATTGTTTGGAGACGATGTCTCCAAGACAGCTAAAGAAATCGAGGAGTGTTCCAGGATTGGGCACAGGTTACAATATGGTCCATCGCGGGGAAGTTACCGTGGCAGGCCAGGTTTTCGACCAAGAATCAGAGGTGGCTTTAGTCGAGGTGGCTTCCGTGGTCGTGGTAGTTATGGTACTGGAGAATTTACCCAGCAGGGGTCAAAAAACTTCCAGCGCCGAGGAGGGAACAAGAAGATGTAAGCTTAAAGGTGAGTAAAAATTTTCAAGCAGGTAGACTGCAGTATTTTGCCTCAGAATGGGAAAAAATTACAAAAGATCCAGTTATTTTAGATATAGTAAAACACTGTCATATACAGTTCATCAATGGTACTGCACCAACACAAAAACTATTTTCACAACCAAAATTTAATGAAAAACAGTCTTTAATTATAGATCAAGAAATAGATAAACTATTAAAGCTGAAAGTTTTGTCTCTAGCACTTTGGGATGATCAGCAGTTTCTTTCACCAATTTTCTTACGGTTAAAGAAGAATAATGAATATCGAATGATATTAAATTTGAAAAAATTTAATGAGAATGTGCAGTATCATCATTTTAAAATGGATACTTTTGAAACTGCTCTAACGTTAATTAGGAAAGACATGTATTTATGCACTTCAGATATAAGACATGCCTATTACTCGATCCCTGTAGCATATGAACATAAAAGGTATTTTCGTTTTCAGTGGAGGGGCAAAATATTTGAATTTAATGCAGTCCCTAATGGTTATCGTGATGGGCCGCGTATATTTACAAAATTGTTAAAACCAGTATTTGCAAAGCTAAGAGCAGATGGTCATATTTGCACAGGCTTCATTGATGATAGCTTGCTAGGGGGTGCTACATATGATGAATGTTATAATACAGCATGTGTGTCCCATGATTTGCTACAGAAGTTGGGTTTCTTGATGAATGACGAAAAGTCTGATATAATTCCATCTCAAAAAGTTACATATCTAGGGTTCATTATTGATTCTGTACAGATGATAGTTTTGTTGTCGCAAGATAAAAAAGCAAATATTGTTGATATTTGTAGCAAGTTATCCCATGCAAAAATAGTGACTATAAGAGAATTAGCACAAGTTATTGGGGTGTTAGTGTCATCTTTTCCAGCCGTTGACTATGGCAAGTTGTTTTATAGAAATTTAGAAAAAGCAAAAATTAAAGCACTTAAAGAAAATTGTGGTAACTATGAATCAGTCATTAAAGTTTCTCCTGGTATGAGGGATGATTTAGAATGGTGGTTTTCTAATATTCACTCACAGGTCAGAGTCATTGACCGTGGAACCCCTTCTGAAGAAATTCAGACAGATAGTAGCTTAATTGGCTGGGGAGCTGTTTTTCATGGTAATAGTTTTGGAGGTAGATGGACTCTAGAAGAGAAATTATACCATATAAATGTGTTGGAATTAATGGCCATTTTCTTTGCATTGAAAGCACTGGTAGACAAAGTTCGTAATACACATGTAAAAATTTTGTCTGACAGTTCCACAGCAGTGTGGAATAAGGTCAGATAAGTGCAATGAGGTCAGTCGAGATATATGGTTGTTTTGTATGTCTGAAGGTATATGGCTATCTTGTGCTCATATACCAGGTGTAAACTAGAACTGCCACTATCTTGGCGTGAATACCCCCGCATACCACTTTGTCAGAATCAACAGTGGCCATTTAGAGCGCAAGGACAACCTCCCTGCCAAATCTGAGGTTACTAAGCCAGTGCATTGCTAAGTTATGTATTCTACATGCTTCAAATGTGAAAATGTCAAAATCAATACATTGCAGACAGGACATTCTTTAGCAATTGAGAAGAAAAGCTTTTTTTTTTGTCAAGGTCCCTGTGACCTTGAACTTTGACCCAGTGACCTCAAAATCAATAGGGGTCACCTTATAGTCATGATCAACATCCATGCCAAATTTGAAGACTGTGGGTCAAAGGAATCTTAAGTTAATGGGTGGACAAACTTTTTGAAGTCAAAGTCCCTATGACCTTGACCTTTGATCCAGTGACCTCAAAATCAAAAGGGGTCATCTACTAATCATGACTAACCTCCATTCCAAATATGAAGACTGTGGGTCAAAGGAATCTTAAGTTATTGGGCGGACAAGCTTTTTGAAGTCAAGGCCCCTGTGACCTTGACCTTTGACCTGGTGACCACAAAATCAATAGGGGTCATCTACTAATCATGACTAACCTCCATTCCAAATATGAAGACTGTGGGTCATAGGAATCTTAAGTTATAGGGCGGACAAGCTTTTTGAAGTAAAGGCCCCTGTGACCTTGACCTTTGACCTGGTGACCTCAAAGTCAATAGGGGTCATCTACTAATCACGACTAACCTCAATGCCAAATATGAAGACTGTGGGTCAAAGGAATCTTAAGTTATAGGGCGGACAAGCTTTTTGAAGTCAAGACCCCTGTGACCTTGACCTTTGACCTGGTGACCTCAAAGTCAATAGGGGTCATCTACTAATCATGACTAACCTCCATGCCAAATATGACCAACTGTGGGTCAAAGGAATCTTAAGTTATTGGGCGGACAAGCTTTTTGAAGTCAAGGCCCCTGTGACCTTGACCTTTGACCTGGTGACCTCAAAATCAATAGGGGTCATCTACTAATCATGACTAACCTCCATGCCAAATATGACGACTGTGGGTCAAAGGAATCTTAAGTTATTGGGCGGACAAGCTTTTTGAAGTCAAGGCCCTGTGACCTTGACCTTTGACCTAGTGACCTCAAAATCAATAGGGGTCATCTACTAATCATGACTAACCTCCATGCCAAATATGACGACTGTAGGTCAAAGGAATCTTAAGTTATTGGGCGGACAAGCTTTTTGAAGTCAAGGCCCCTGTGACCTTTGACCTTTGACCTAGTGACCTCAAAATCAATAGGGGTCATCTACTAATCATGACTAACCTCCATGCCAAATATGAAGACTAAGGGTCAAAGGAATCTTAAGTTTTGGGCGGACAAGCTTTTTGAATCAAGGCCCCTGTGACCTTGACCTTTGACCTAGTGACCTCAAAATCAATAGGGGTCATCTACTAATCATGACTAACCTCCATGCCAAATATGACGACTGTAGGTCAAAGGAATCTTAAGTTATTGGGCGGACAAGCTTTTTGAAGTCAAGGCCCCTGTGACCTTGACCTTTGACCTAGTGACCTCAAAATCAATAGGGGTCATCTACTTATCATGACTAACCTCCATGCCAAATATAACGACTGTAGGTCAAAGGAATCTTAAGTTATTGGGCGGACAAGCTTTTTGAAGTCAAGGCCCCTGTGACCTTGACCTTTGACCTAGTGACCTCAAAATCAATAGGGGTCATCTACTAATCATGACTAACCTCCATGCCAAATATGAAGACTAAGGGTCAAAGGAATCTTAAGTTATTGGGCGGACAAGAAAAAACCGACGGACGGCCGGACGGCCGGACGGACGGACAAGCTGATTCCAGTATACCCCCCTTACAACTTTGTTGTGCGGGGGTATAAAAATGAAGCAGATATCCCTTCTCGGCAGTTTAAGGATCATATTGAATGGGAAATAAAGGATGAAATATTTGAAAAAATCTGTAAGATATGGCAGAAGCCAGATATTGATTTATTTGCGTCACGTTTAAATAATAAGTTGCCAATTTATTGTTCATGGAAACCAGATCCTTATGCTACATACATTGATGCATTTACACTTGACTGGGGAATTCTAAAATGTTTATATATTTTTCCGCCTTTCAGTGTTGTAAGTCGCTGCATTCGAAAGATACAGACAGACAGGGCAAAAGCTGTTATCATAGCCCCATTGTGGCCAACACAAGCATGGTTTTCTTTACTAATGAAAATTCTAGTCGATCTCCCAGTGATTTTACCAAGGACAACTCGGTTATTGAGGACAATGAATCAAGATCAGAAACATCCAATGTCACAGAAACTAGTTCTTATGGCATGCAAAGTGTCTGGAGTTTATACAGAGCACAGGGTTTTTCTAGAAAAGCAGCCAATATTATCATGTCATCATGGCGTGGCTCCACAAAACGCGAGTACCAAGTGTATATTTCGCGATGGTTACAGTTCTGTGATAGACAAAAGATTGATTCCATTTCGGTTTCTATCAAAGATGTAATAGAATTTTTAACTATTGAATTTGAAAAAGGCTTGAGTTATAGCTCTCTTAATACAGCCAGAGCCGCATTGTCCTCGTTAGGCATCATGTTGGGATCGTTTACTGCAGGAACACATCCTATAGTGATTAGATTCATGAAAGGCGTATTTAATCAACGGCCATCTAAACCAAGATACTCTTATACCTGGGATGTGGACATAGTACTTAATTATTTGAGAAAATTATCACCAGTGAAACACTTGAGTTTGAAAGATTTGACTTTAAAGTTAACCATGCTTATGGTGCTCACTAATGCAGCACGGGTGCAGACGATTCATCTTCTTAGTGTAAATAATGTTAAAAAGTTCCGTTCTAAGTTTTTGTTACAGTTTAGAGGCTTATTAAAGCAAAGCCGTCCTGGTTGTACTTACTCAGTTTTTTGTTTGAAAGCATACCCTCCAGACAGGAGACTTTGTGTTTATACAGTTTTTAAAGAATATTTGTTGCGGACAAAAATATTGCGAAATAATTCTGAAGGAGGATTATTGATTAGTTATGTAAAACCATATGGTCCTGTAACCAGAGACACAATTGCTCGATGGGTGAAGACAGTTATGATTCGAGCTGGTTTAGGTGATGTTTTTGGGGCACATAGTGCAAGATCAGCAGTGGTATCGAAGGCAAAGCTAAAAGGAGTACCTGTAAAGGACATTCTTAGTGTAGCAGGCTGGTCCAGTCAGAGCACATTTACTAAATTCTACAATAAGAAGGTGTTGAAAGTCAATGATTTTGATGCTCAGGTTCTTTGTTCTTAAGGTATGGTTTTTTGCCATTATTTTGTTGGCGTTAAAATCTCATTTGATACCGTAGTTATTCGATTAAACGAAATAGAATTGAAAAATTAAACGAGACTTACCTTGGTTAAAGTCGATGTTTGATTGAAATTCTATGAGTTACATAGAATAACGGAGGGATTAAATGCCTCCCTCCCACCCTTACACAAGTCAAAAGTATACATACAGTATTGCTAAAGAAGTCTAAAAATTTTTCTCTTAGAAAAATATATATATATATAAAATGAAAAATAATGTCAAAAAACTGTTAAAGACTGATCCGCGCATGCGCAGCTCACATCTCATTTAATCCCTCCGTTATTCTATGTAACTCATAGAATTTCAATCAAACATCGACTTTAACCAAGGTAAGTCTCGTTTAATTTTTCAATTTTATGACAACAAAGAACGTTTTTGTGAGAAAGTTTTTCTGTTTCTTTCAAGTTAAAGATATACTATGCTCATCTTTGGGTAAAATATTTTTATCTTAGAAATGTATTGAAATTCTTACTGAATATGTTCAATTTGAATTAAATAATGAAGAAACTATAGATGGGAAGCAGCATTCCCTATTACGGGTCAAGTAAAGTTGGTCTTTTCTTTAAAAAACTGCCAGTTTTTTAAATGACACTATATTTTCATATTGTGACCACCTGTAGTGTGTAGAGTTCAAAACATAACATATCTACTTTAAATTAAGCCGAAACCTATTTATTTTATACATACAAAGAGACTGTGTAGCAATTATTAATATTTTCAAAAATCAAAATTAAGCATAGCATATCTTTAATGCAACTGCAAAGTCATGTTCTTGGCCAACAATAATTAAATTAACCTAGTCATGTTCTTGACCAACATAACATAACCTAATCATGTTTTTGACATGACAGTAATATACCAGAGTCATGTTCTTCGCTATCATCATTGTCTATGATGATTCTGCGTCTCTTAGCCTGACTTCTCTGAGAACGTCTACCTTTACCTGGAGATTTACTGGGTGTTTTCTTCACCTTCAAAATAATTATACAGTATTTCACTTATTTTATAGTGTTTTTAAAATGGAAAATTAAATACCTGTGAAAACTAAAGAAATCATAATAACCTTAAATGATTCAAATATTTTTCTACAATCAAAATGAAATGTATCAAGCAGTTTGCCTGAAGATTGATGTCATAGTTCCTTGACGTACTAATTCCTATTATAAATGAAAATATATGTGAACAAGAGCTATCAGTATGAAAGCATGCTCGGCTATTCTCCGTGCTTGCTATATTCTCAGTGCTTGCTAGTTTAACAAGAGCCTGGATAATGTAAACTTTTGTTCAAAAAGGGTCATAATTCTGTTAAAATCCATGTTCAGAGTTATGGACCTTACATAGTGACCTATTATGCTCCTGAATAAGTGTGTGAAGTTTCAATTCATTCCCTTAAGTAGGTCTGGAGATACCAACTTACATGCAAAAAGTATGACTACAACACCAATATCAATGCCTGATTGATCATTGAGTACAATAGCTCTATAAGTAAGACAAGATTTAGGGCCCCTTCAAGAATCATTTTAAGCACAAGTAGACATATCCGAGTAGAAACACAATTTAAGGGGCATTTAATTTCAAGTCAGAAACCCTAACCAATAAGCGAATTACCTTTTTCTCATCAACATCCATGTTTTCTTTACTATTGTCTTCTCCACTCATCTCACCATCAAACATGTCAGCTAAATTATACAATTTTATACATCAACAACAACTTTCAACATTGCTAAATATGAGGTTTACAGTTAAAAAATATCTATCCATTAACATATTATTAGTTTCTGTACCATTTTTTTTTTTGGATTACACACAATAAATCAATTCTATAACAAGAAACAAAAAATCTTTTAATGTCTACATGCTGCGAGATTTTTTTTTTTTTTTTTTTAAAAGTAAGTTAGCACAACTTTTAAATTTGAAAATTTCAGCTTAGATTCTTCACAGGTTTGTTTCTTCATTTTCAAGATTAAATTAGGAAAAATCAACACATTTATCAAACAAGAAATGGCTTACATTAAACCTCTCTTAAAGATCTTGAAGATATACTTTGCTCATTTTTAAGTAAAATATTTTTATTGCAGAAATGTTTTGAAATCTATATACTTCTTACTAAATATATCTTTTTGTTCAAACTATGCACGAGAATCTGCCTCTTAAATTATGTATAAAGTCAAGCAGAAGCTGGTTGTTTCTTTAAAAACCTGCCAGTTTTTTTAATGACACAATATATTCATTTTGTGTCAACTGTGTAGGATTTTAAGCATACCATATCTACTTCATGAGAAGTCAAAACATGTTTATTTTAAATTTACAAAAGATCGAGTAGCAATTATTGATAATTTCAAATATATCAAACTTGAGCATAGTATATCTTTAAGCAATTGAATTATTGACAATTTAACCAAAGTACATGTATTATTTATAGAAACAATATCATTTCTCTCACCATCAAGATCCATTTCATCTTCATCATCTGAAGGTTGCAGTTCCACCACCAGACCTAGCCGATCCTCACGTGATAGTTTCAATGCTTCGTCAGCTTGTTCAACACCCTTTACAACTGGCGCACTGTTTGTATGGAACATCCCTCCTCTCTGAAACTCTTTATCTTCAGATCCTTTGTACTCATGACAGTTCCTGTTGTTGTTGTTTTTATTAATCAAATAAAAAATTTTTTTTTAATCAAATAAGAATTTTTTTATTTATCAAATAAGAAAACTGTTTAGAATTTCAACTTATTTCAAGGAACCTTCATCTTGCTGAGATTGTCAATATTTCACTAACTCAAATATGCTTTCTGGAACTGAGTGTTCTGCATGATCTAAATATGATTCTACCAAATGTTTATATTAAGAGGATATTTTTTCGTTTGCGTGAAATATGGAATATATTTTCACGAAACATGATTAAGTGACACATATTTTCACGAGCCGGTACGGCGAGTGAAAACATTTGTGGCACTTTATCATGTTGAGTGAAAATATATAACATATTTCACGAAAAACGAAAAAAATATTCTTTTTATTTATTTTCATTATCAAAGAAAATGGTAACGAATCCCCTTGTTTGCTACCAACTGCAATTGTACAGCGCGCAGTAATTTATGCGTAAGCACGCGCTATTTGGCGCTACATTGTGACGTCATGTAAACAACTCTTTAAACGTCTGTACAGCGTTAATTACTGAATTAAAGATATTGGTGTTCGGATTAATTTTCTTAGTTAGACCATTTTCTATCATGCTAGATAGTTTTCAATACAAAATTCAAGAAAAAGTTGTTTTGTATTTATCAGATTTTTCAAACAAAACGGCGAAAGAAGTCCCTTAAAATAAATATGAGTTTTGCCTCCGCCCACTTTCATATTTATATTTCATATTTATTTTTAAAAAAATATGAAATATATTTGACTGATATAGCACCATATTTCATGGGTAAAATTAAATAAACCTCTTTATCTGTGTTAGCCTGATTTTGAAACATTACTAGGCATGATGCAAATAACAATTCTGAATGTCAGATAACATTCAGAAAGTCTAAGAATGTGTTCTGCAAATATGCTAAGGAGTAGCTTTTGATGATCTATTTCAATTTAGAGAAAAAAACTTGTGTAAAATCAATATTTACAAATAAACAGACAAGTACAATTGATAAAAAAGTGTTATTAGTACTAATGAACTAATATTATGAACTAGAGAATTGGTAAAATATACTGAAACAAGACATTTCTTACTTCTTTTTGATCCATGCTCTAGAAACAGGGTTGTCGAAGAATTGTACATGTACTTGAGGGTTTTTGCCACCTTTAAAATGTGTATTCTGTGTAGGATGATTACACACTAAGCTCGGCCACCATGGATATCCTTCTAGTTTACACCACAATAAATCACCTACCTCATATCCTGAAAATGCAAGCAGACATTGCTACCTCATGATATAGATGTTGTGATCTAATTTGTTTGTTTCTTTGTTTCATTTTACGCCTTTTCCAAACAGTATTTCAGTCATATAGGCGGGTAGTTTCCTAACCATCGTTCCTGGAGAGTTACACCAGTACTAGACTACCTTCCTCCGCGCTAAACTACCAAAGCATCTCCCGGGGATCGAACCCACGCCAGAGAGGTAACTGGATTAGAAGTCATTGACTAACCCCTCTACCACAGAGGCGGTATTTAGAACTGTTCATTAATAAGGAAACAGAATGTGTAAGCAGCTGGCTAGCTTAGTTGCAATACAGTGTTTTGAGAGTTTGGTGTTCGAGTCGTTATCAGGCTGCAGTTTTTTCATAGCCTATCTGTGTCAGTGTGACATGTTGCCCAATGGGGGAACCATGATAGTATTAAAGCTGCAAATCAATTTCTCTTATAACCATTAGAAATTCAAAGACTTATTTCAATATAGCTGGACTGAAGTGTATGTCATGATCTAGAACTGTCCACTTACTAGGGGAGAAAATGTGTAGGCAGTATTCATTATTTTAAAAGATTCAAACACCATAACTTATCTGATTATGATGAGAAATGTCAAACAAGTTGTGTCATATATTATTTGCCTGAAATCCTATCGGTGACACCTCAAGTATATTTCTGGTAAGATGTTTCATGCAGGTATCTCCAACGAATATGCAGTGTCATGAATGTCTTAACCCATGGGTGGCTTTGATCTGCTTTAGAAAATATAATGTAGCCTATCAAACTAGCATTTCTCTAAGGAGTGGCTAGCCGTACAGGCCCGAACGGCTAGCCAAAGGTTCTAGATAAATATCGAACATAAAAGCATAATCAATTAATAAGCCTTAATTAAAGCCTACCCAGGAACTGACAATAGAATTTTAAAATGCGTTTCACGGAACATGCAAACTTTCCTTAATGATGAACAAACTTCTATATGGTCGGTAATTGAAGCAATTAGCAGATCCCAACAACAATTTTTTTTCATTTTAAAGGTGTCGAAAATTAAACTTTATTAAACAAAAACGGATTTTCATCAAAATCAAAATTTTGTAAACTATTTCAATTGATGTTATTTAACTGCGATCAAACGCTATTTTTTCTCAACGTCTTGAGATGACAAAGATCGATATTCGTAATTTTTTTACTGTAGCCAACAAGGCGATTAATCTCTAAAAAGTAAACATACGAAGACAATTGCTGTTTCTTGGTTAAAATCCTCGCTTAAAGTCATAAAATAACATATGCATTTTCGACTTCCATCTAATTTTGAAAATGCCGTACGGCTAGCCAATACAGTGTGTCCTTGCTAGTCGTACGTGACTCACGTACGGCTAGAACTTTTGGCTAGCCGTACGGGCCCGTACGGTTTGCCACTTCCTTTCTCTAATGCAGATCAAAGCTTCCATGTTGGTAGTCCAATATATTAGACGTTACAGGCTTGTTATAGTTTTTGTCGGTCAAGCCTGACGTCTAATAGTTATTGCTCAAAAACGCATAGCATCATAAAAAATTCCAAAAATGTCTATTGTCCTGCCTTGCAAGCTTTATTCAAAAGATTATCATATTTTCTTTCAATTTCATGCTCAATCATACACAAAAACTGTCAAACGATGTACTTATCAATTTAAAATAAAATATAAACATCAATCTGTTTTTGTCTATCAGCCATACTGGTTAAACAAGGTGCTTTACAGATTGATTCCAAATTTTTGAACGGAAAAATATATTCAAACACACTGACGGTGCATGGGCAATTATTTCGTTAAAAAAATATTCCGTTAGATTGTTCTGACTCAGTTAAACGCTTGCATTTGAATTAGCCAATCAGATTTCGCGCACTTTACGGCCGCCATTTGTTTATCAGCTGTAAAAGGAATTGAAATACATGAGAGGATTTAATCATGATTTTTCGGATGTGACAGTTTAATTATTTTGACAAAAGGTATTTATTTTTTAGTTTTGTTCATAAATAGGTCAAAAAATATGTAAATACAGTATTATACACGCTGTCTTCATTGTTTTTCGTTCCGCCCGATTTTCTGGCGGAACATGCTATGGGTTTTTGAGCAATTTCGATATGACGTTGCTTTGCCCAGAAGCAAAAATATCTCAAAGCGACGTCATATTTATAGGACTACCATGTTGGGAGAAATTTGGCAAATCAACATTAATTTTGTTAAATAAAATTTCCAAGACTTTTTGATATACACAGTTTGGGTGTTGACTCTAGGACAGGCCTGGACCAATTTAGGGCATACGGCGATAGTTAAGTGATTTATCCTTACCAATTTTATGTGGAGGCTGTGCACTCGGTGATACTTTGGCCTTGTTAGGAGACTTCTTTGGAGCAAGGACATCTCCTGTATTTTGATCGCCTTCTTTTTCTTTAGGTGTCGATCCTTTTGCAAAATATGAAAACAGTGTGTTCTTTTGCTTTGCCGGGGTTACTTTTGGTCCCATTTTATTTACATTTACTTTTTAATCGGTAATAATATCAAGGATACTACATGCATGGGAAATTGTGGAAATTATCCCGCGAAATGTCCGGTGTATACGTAAGAAATTAAAATCATAATTTATAACTATCAAAGGGGTCGTTTAAAAAGTATCAATTACAAGTTGCATGTCTGCACGAGTTATATAGCTATTTCTTCTTCTACCATTTTGTGGCTCTTTACTACAATCACAAATCTCCGTGGTACCATATATACGTTTAAATCTGTACATTTTAAAGATTCCTTTAATTTTTCATTTACTCTGGGGAGGTAGATATAATTATGATATATACGTACCTGCTCTGGGACACATCGATCACAGAGCTATTTTGTATTATAAAACACATTTTATTTTATAATAATTTATCCTAGATTTAACAGAATTGTTATGTGAAGGGTTGTTATATACGGTGACACAAAGGTGACATATGTGTCACTGTGTGTGTGTGTTTCATTTATCTCGTGCGCACGAGATACTATAAGTCGTGTGGCCAGGAGTTACTAAGTCGGGCCTGCGACTTAATTATCTCGTTCCCACGACTTAATAACTCGTGGCCACGACATAGTATCTCGTACCAACGACTTTATTATCTTGTGTTCACGACTTAGTAACTCGTGCCCACGACTTACTTAACTCGTGGCCACGACATAGTATCTCGTGGTCACGACATAGTATCTCGTTCCCATGTCTTACCTATCTCGTGGCCATGACTTAGTAACTCGTGGCAGCAACACATAATCTCGTGCGCACGGGATAAATAAAAACACAAATATATCACCTATGTGTCACATTTTTGATAAATATTTCTAATATTGATTAAAAAAAAAGATATTGATAAAATTCAAAGTTATTTCATATGAACATCGATATATCTGATGAATAATAATATTTGTTCTAGAACACTTTAATATCTGCTATGTGCAGCATCCGTATATATATTTTTGTAGTTTGTTTTCATGTATGATATACTGAATATGCGATCAACATATCATTTATGGTAATACAGGTATCATCTGTTATAGCGCGGATTTATATTAAATATAATACATAACATAAATCCGTGGTTATAGACAAACGGGTTTTCTCAATTATATGGGAAGATGCTTTGGTAAGAATTATCGCCAAAATTGCTAATTTGGGAAGTAAAACAGCTTGTGTAAGTTCAGATGTTTGGGAAAACTGGATGATTTATAAAAAAATTTCTTGGGAGGAGGGCTTTAAATGTCCTCTGTTATATAAAGTGAAAAAAATCGCTGTAGACCAATTCGCTAAAAAAAATCGTTGCAATCTACAAACAAAAGAAATACGGAGCCGTGAAGTGCAACACTCGTGGAATAAATTATTTTGAAACGTCCCTTCCAAAATAATGTTCGGTATATTCCGTAGATTACGGAAACAATCGGAATGTGAAGTAGGTCAATATTATTATTTGTTTGTAAACACCAACAGGTTGGAGGAAATGGAGATACTGGATGAAAATTCAAAAGTAAGTAAACTATCGTTGTTTAGATATAAGATTTGTTGTCAGTTAGTTAAACTATTAAATATATTTTGTTCATGACCTTAACTGCAAATATAGGAGATGTTATTAATCGTTAATTGTTCAGCAATGTACATGTTGTGTGGTAGAAGCTGCATATTTACGTGGCCTTTGGCAAATTAACTGCATACCTTAAGATATAAAAGGTGTGATTTTCAAACATATAAATTAATGACAGACTGACTGATACACAAAAAAGGTGTATCTAATTTTTAAATGAATTGTTTACCTGTATTGATGCTGTCAAGCATTATCAAATATACATGTACATTAAACAAGATTTTGGCAACTTGCCAATACACAAGATAAGTGTATTACAGTACAATAGTAAGAGTTATAATTGTGTATTGCAGGTTTAAGGAGATAGCAAGATTAAGTGTGATTAAACTAAGTTTATTTTAAATTCTTTTAAGATTCAATACAAACATTTTATTGTAGTAATACTTGAATCCATACATGTATAATCTTGAATAAGAATATATAGTTTTAAGCACAGGTGCTAGTGGCATTGATTTGACCTAAAATGTGTTTGACCTTGTTATTTATACAATAAAATATCAATATATTAAAAAAAAAAAATTAAAAAAAAATTTTTTTTTTCACTGTTATATTATTATAGTCTATAATAATATAACAGTGAAAAAAAAAATTTTTTTTTAATTTTTTTTTTTAATATATTGATATTTTATTGTATAAATAACAAGGTCAAACACATTTTAGGTCAAATCAATGCCACTAGCACCTGTGGTTTTAATTACAGATCAACATGTTATTATTAACTGATACATTTTCAGCATAATGGTAAAGGATATAACTTGCATAATGGAAATAATAAATAATCTTTGCATTCTTAAAATATTAAAGATTGAACAGTAACTGCATATGACTATATGCATTCATGTACAATTAAAACATTTTTAGCATAATAATTAAGGATATAATTTGAAAAAATGAATATATCATTTTGTTATGAAAATTTAAAAGAAAAAAATCTTGAAAATCAATTTTATTGTGGAAATTGACCACAAATTGAAAAGTTTTTTCACTAACCGAATAAAAATGTATTATCAATTTAGTACCAAGTATATTTACATATGACCTACATGTATTGCATAGTTTTCCATTTTAATTGCAATAGTATTTATGAAAGAATTTCAAATTTTATGATTATAGGCATTAGACCTCAGTAGAACCCCTTTAAGTACAATATAAACTATTGAAACTTTTTCTTTTTTGTTTGTTACAGTTTCCCCCGATTATTGAGTTGAATGTGGGAGGAAGGTTTTTCACCACTACACATCTAACATTAACCAAATGTCCAGATAACATGCTGTCAGCCATGTTTAGTGGCAAATACTCTGTAATCAAAGACAAAGATGGCCGGTTTTTCATTGATGCAGACGGCGAGAATTTCATACACATTCTCAACTACCTCCGGTACGGAGATTTACCACCAACCCAGGTCGCTGAAACAGTCTACAGAGAAGCTGCCTACTTTGGAATCCACGGCCTCGTAAAAGAATTAGAGAAATTTCCGCAAATTTTGGCTAAAATTCAGAGAAACAATTTTAGAAGCCAGTTTCCAGGTTATTCAGAATGTTTGGATATGATTATTAAAGCTGCGGGTGTGGAAACCACCTCTCAAACAACTGATGTCAAAGTGCTTATTTTTAGTAAAGAAGTTGTCCCACAAAATGAAAAGTTTGATATGAAACACGTGTGTGCATGTGAAGGTAAAAAAGAACTAAAACACGGCCCAGATGCCAAAATTGGGCCATGGAATAGGCCTAGTACTGAAAAAGATTTGTTGAATTGTCTTGTGTTTGATTTAGAATCACAAGGATTTACAGTTACTTCAAGATTTCACGGGCCATGTACATACACGATTGACAGGATATGTTGTAATAAGTCATTTTACAACATATGTTTCCATTGGTGGAAATCCTAAACATTGATTTCCGCACAAGACATCAAAAACAAAAAAAAAAGTAATAAAGAATGACAATGTTTTGTTTAAGTTTACTTTTGTTATTATGAATGATTAAGAAAAGAAAAATTTTCAATTAAGGATTTTAATGTTATTGTATCTCGGCTTTTTTAAGAGTATATACTTTGTTAGCGTATATAGTATTTATGTGAGTGTTAACATCTTTTTTTGCAAGCTTTAATTGTACTTAGAATATATATAAATAAATGTATTTACACATTTCAAGACAGGAGAAGTGAAATCAAAATCTCAAGTATTTTTAACTGTTATTACAATACTATTTCTATTTTGAAATAGAAGTACAAATTTGTACGTCACTCAACAGTTACATGTGAAGAGTCCAGGGAAATCCCCATAATGTGCATCTACCTCAGTTTTTGTACTCACATGTACGTATTGATTTTATTGTTACGATTTCTATTTTTTATTTATTGATCAGATATTTTTAATCCTTTAATATTATTCCTTTAATATTAAAAATTTTGAATTGTTAACCACTAAGTCTTTTCTTAACAGCTTCTGTAATTTTTATCAGTATAACGTAGACCCTGGCATGTGATGTATTTTTCATCATTTCCAAAGAGCTTATGAATTGTACACTTCGGTGGTACATGTAGATTAGAGTCAACAATTGCAACTCTATTCCAAATGCATGTAAATCCTATGTATATAATACTACAGTCAAACCTGTGTTACATTCCACCTCTGAATAAAGATAACCCTGCATAATAAAGGCTATGTTTTGATAACCTTTGATCATGACCTCTTAGTAAAGACTACTTGTCTATATAGACCATAGTTTGTCTCTCCTGCAGATGACCTTTATTCACAGGTTTGACTGCATATAAATGAGCCGCGTCACGGCAAAACCAACACAATGGGTTTGCGACCAGCATGGATCCAGACCAGCCTGCACATCCGTGCAGTCTGATCAGGGCTTACAAACTCTATAACAAGTAGAGAAACTGACAGCGAACAGCATGGATCCTGATCAGACTGCGCGGAAGCGCAGGCTGGTCTGGATGCATGCTGTTCGCAAATCCATTATGTTGTTTTTGTCGTGACGCGGCTCAAATATGCTTTGCTGAAAATTATGGAACACAAGGCAAAATAAAACTTACTATTAACTGATAAAAATTAGTTTATGTTAATCCTACAAAACACCAGTAATGAGCATTTTAGATAGTACTATAATTATGTCAAAGGAAGAAAATTAACAAATTGAATACTTGGAAAAAAAATCTTTTCTATCCCTTATATGTAAATCTTTGCATGTGTTGGCTAATGTTGATTGTGCCCTGTTAATAGTTCAGTCAGCATTTATCTTTAAAATTTTGAAATTTTTCTTGAAAATTATTAATTGTCTTGTCCAGATTGAAAGATGAACAACTCTAATAAGTGTAGGGTTAATTACAGCTCTAAATTGTAGAGTCTACAAAAAAGAAATATATATATATGTTATCTTAGATTTAAATTTCTCTTATTTACATTTCTTATCATATATTTACTACTGTATGTAAACATTATACTTTTGTAAAAAATAAAATTCACTGTTTGATAAGAAAGTAAATTTTAAGAGTTATCTGAAAATACTGATAAGCGCGACAGTTTTACTACAGCTATAATTTATAGTGTTCTGACAGTATTGTTCAACGTTTATTTAGTTTTTTATTTTTTCAAATTTATATGACGTTCATGTACTAAAATTCAGAGTTTTACTTCTTTAAATACAGTATGTACCTATGTTAAATGTGTTCCATTTTAAGGCACTTTTACACACCAGTTAACTTTTTTTCTCTTGCTTACAAATTGTGGTACAGAACTATGAAAGTGTTCATGTTTTGTTTTCAAATACATGTATATAGAATATGAACATAATTTCATCTGTTTGTTCGAAATTTTAATCAAAGATTTTAATTTTATTTTTGTTCTGCTTTTGATACAGTAGATTTATGTAGTTTTTGCTTTGTTTGTTAAAGAAGCATTTGATTTTATTCAGAGTTTACATTTATTGTAGTGTTTTAGAACCTGTTAGTGTTAAAAGTTATTAGCTCACCTGTCACAAAGTGACAGGGTGAGCTTTTGTGATCGCTTTTCGTCCGGCGTCCGTCCGTCCATCGTCCGTCCGTCCGTAAACTTTTGCTTTAAATGACATCTCCTCATAAACCACTGAGCCAATTTCATCCAAACTTCACAGGAATGTTCCTTTGGTGGTCACCTTTAAAAATTGTTCAAAGAATTTAATTCCATGCAGAACTCTGGTTGCCATGGCAACCAAAAGAAAAAACTTTAAATATCTTCTTTTAAAAAACCATAAGAGCTAGAGCTTAGATATTTGGCATGAAACATTTTCTAGTGAGTGTCTACCAAGTTTGTTCAAATAAAAGCACTAAGGTCAAAATTGGCCCCGCCTGGGGGGGGGGTCATTGATTTTCCCTATATGCATATAGTAAAAACTTAAAAAATCTTCTTTTAAAGAACCCAAAGAGCTAGAGCTAAGATATTTAGCATGAAACATGTTCTAATGGGAGTCTACCAAGTTTGTTCAAATAAAAGCCCTGGGGTCAAAATTGGCCCCGCCCCTGGGGGTCATTGATTTTCCCTATATGCATATAGTAAAAACTTAAAAAATCTTCTTTTAAAGAACCGTAAGAGCTAGAGCTTAGATATTTGGCATGAAACATCTTCTAGTGAATGTCTACCAAGTTTGTTCAAATAAAAGCCCTAGGATCAAAATTGGCCCCACCCCAGGGGGTCATTGATTTACCCTATATGCAGTTAGTAAAAACTTAAAAATCTTCTTTTGAAGAACCCAAAGAGCTAGAGCTAAGATATTAAGCATGAAACATGTTCTAGTGAGTGTCTACCAAGTTTGTTCAAATTAAAGCCCTGGGGTCAAAATTGGCCCCGCCCCGGGGGTCATTGATTTTCTCTATATGCATATAGTAAAAACTTAAAAAATCTTCTTTTAAAGAACCATAAGAGCTAGAGCTTAGATATTTGGCATGAAACATCTTCAAGTGAATGTCTACCAAGTTTGTTCAAATAAAAGCCCTGGGGTCAAAATTGACCCCGCCCCAGAGGGTCATAGATTTTCCCTATATGCATATAGTAAAAACTTAAAAAATCTTCTTTTAAAGAACCCAAAGAGCAAGAGCTAAGATATTTAGCATGAAACATCTTCTAATGAGTGTCTACCAAGTTTGTTCAAATAAAAGCCCTGGGGTCAAAATTGGCCCCGCCCCAGGGGGTCATTGATTTTCCCTATATGCATATAGTAAAAACTTAAAAAATCTTCTTTTAAAGAACCATAAGAGCTAGAGCTTAGATATTTGGCATGAAACATCTTCAAGTGAATGTCTACCAAGTTTGTTCAAATAAAAGCCCTGGGGTCAAAATTGACCCCGCCCCAGAGGGTCATAGATTTTCCCTATATGCATATAGTAAAAACTTAAAAAATCTTCTTTTAAAGAACCCAAAGAGCAAGAGCTAAGATATTTAGCATGAAACATCTTCTAATGAGTGTCTACCAAGTTTGTTCAAATAAAAGCCCTGGGGTCAAAATTGGCCCCGCCCCAGGGGGTCATTGATTTTCCCTATATGCATATAGTAAAAACTTAAAAAATCTTCTTTTAAAGAACTCAAAGAGCTAGAGCTAAGATATTTAGCATGAAACATGTTCTAATGGGTGTCTACCAAGTATGGTCAAATAAAAGCCCTGGGGTCAAAACTGGCCCCGCCCGGGGGGGGGCATTGATTTTCCTAATATGTGTATAGCAAAAACTTAAAAATCTTCTTTGGAAAAACCCAAATAGCTAGAGTTTAGATATTAAGCTTGAAACATCTTTAAGTAAATATCTACAAAGTTTGTTAAAATAAACGCCCGGGGGTCAAAACTGGCCCTGCCCCAGGGGTGTCATTGTTTTAAACTATATGTGTATAGTAAAAACTTTAAAAATCTTCTTTTAAAAAAGCCAATGAGCTAGAACTTAGATGTTTAGCATGAAACATCTTCTTATGGGTTTCTACCAAGTCTGTTCAAATAAACAAATAAAAGCCCTTGGGTAAAAATTGGCCCGGGGGTTTGGGGGCCTATATACAGGTGAGCGACCTCAGGGCCATCATGGCCCTCTTGTTTTGTTCATGTTTCCGATAAATATTTGAAATTCCTCTTGCTATCTACAGAATAAAGGAATAATTTTTCAGAGAAGTGTACCTTTGTTTATTTTTATATTTCATTCACAACTTTTTTTAGTGAAATACTATACACAGACTTTACTACCAGGTTTTACACACGGATATTTCATAACAAATTTTTCAAGTTTATCTCTTTTTATTTTCTTTCATTCCTACACAAGAAAATTCATTCAGCAAATCACTTTCTTTTTTTCTTCTTCATATGTGGTGCTTTGCTCTGTCCTTTCCTCTTTACTGGTCTAAAACAAAAGGCAGGATATAAAATTATTACAGAAATTCACTTTGTAAAATTACATCTGTATCTTTAGAATCAAAGTTAAATATTATCTTTTCATATGTGTGAATATGGTAACTTTGTTGCTTAAAATGCAAGGATTAATGGTTTAACCCTGAGCCTGATAGTAGCTACAGAATCTACTCATACCACCAGTGCAGACTAAGATCCGACCGCACAATCTGTCTGATCATGGTCTGCACTGTTCGCTATTCAGTCATCACATATTTTTAAATTTTCCTTAAAAGCAACAAATGGTTTATTCAGATTGAAAGATAGACCAATCCATTTAAGATATTCAGCGTGACCAGAGTTACATGTAAATATAATGCCAAAAAAATGGTGAAAAGTTATTTACATGTAAACAAGTCATGTTTGAAATAATAATGCAAAAAGTCTAAAGAAATGAATAAATAAAATCAAATTCTGAGAAGAAAGTTTTAATTTTCATATTCATGTTAATTAAATATAAACGTACAGTACTTATACATGTACCTTTTATTAGAAAAATTCTCAGACACAGATTGTCTTTCCGGACATTCTCTTCTTTTATGGCCCATATCACCGCATATATGACAACCTAAAAAAACATTAACAACAAGCAGTTATCATAGTATTGCAAGCAATCCATAAGTCCCCTACCGGTAAGAGCCCAAGCGGGTTACACGACTTACCGGAATCGGCCGAATTACCGGAATCGACCGGAATCGGCGGTGAATTACCGGAATCGACCTGTAACTTTGTAATAATTAAACTTTTTAAGTTTTTTCTTGCAATTTTATAAAGTATAAACAATATCAATGATTTATGAAAAGATTTTTATGAATAAAATCGCTTTTGATTAATTTAACAAGAGATCTAATATCGGCGAGCTACTGCCAAACTGCCCGTGACCGGAATCGGCCTGTTATTTCGTTGTTTATGCAACTTTTAATGTTCCTTTTGCATGTTTTTATAAAACCTAAATATTATCATTAATCTTCCTAGAGATTGTGGAAAAAATTCGCTTTTAAATAATAATAATAATAAACAAATATTTATGATCAGCGACAACGGGCAAACTGCCGGAATCGGCAAAGGATTACCGAAATCGGCCTGTAATTTGCTTATCTATATACTTTAAACAAAATGTTTGCACCCTTGATTATAAATAAACAATAGCAATGATATGTAATCAGATTATTGTCAATAAAATCACTTTTTTATTAATTAAACAAGATATTTAATATCGGCGAGTTACTGCCATACTGTCGGAATCTGCGAAGGATTACCGGAATCGACGTATAATTTAGTCTATTGTACTTTTTAACGTTTTTGTTGCATTGTTAATATTCATCTTATAAAATATAAATATTATGAAAGATATTTAAAAGTTTCTTTCTTTCTTTTATTTTGTAAATTTCAATTCGCCTTTGGTTAATAAAGCAAGAGATCGAAGATCGGCGAGTTACATATACTGTCATACAGCCGAAATAGGCGAATGATTACCGGAATCGGCCTGTATTATTGTAATTTATGGACTTTGCAAGAAAAAAATGCAAACAATATAATAGATATCTAAAAAGATTTCTGTAAATGAAGAATCCTTATTAAATAATAAGCTATAGATCTAAAGTCGGCGAATTAATTATTACTGCCATATCGCATATATGCAGTGTCAGGGCTATCGGAGAATTACCGGAATCGGTCTGTTTTTCCCCACCAATATTTCAACGTTTAAAAAATAACCTTGACTTATTTTATTAAATACAAACAATTTAAAAGATTTGTATAATGTTAATTGAAAAGAAGCAAAAGATTTATGAAAAATTGCTGTTATAAATAGTAAAAAGATTAATATTGAAGATCGGCAAGAACGGGAAACCTGTCGGAATAGGCGATAGATTACCGGAATCGACCTGTAATTTGGTTATTTGTGAACTTTTTGAATATTTCTTTTGCATGTTTTTATAAGATATAAACATTTTCAACGATATTCATTTTTGTAAATAAATTCGCTTTTGATTAATAAAACAAGAGACCTAAGATCGGCAAATTACTGTCATTCTGCCGATATAGGGGAAGGATGGGCGGGATCAGCCTGTAATATAGTTATTTTTATGTTATTTTATTGAATGCAAATAATATCATTGATATACGAAGATTTTTTTGAGAAATAAAGATCACTTTTATATTATAAACTAGATATCTAAGATAGAATAATTACTATCACAGTGCCTGAATTAACAGGTAAATACCGGAATTAGTCTGGGTTTTGTTTTTTTTTGGTTATATTTCAGCGTTTTAAAAATATCTTGCCATGATTTATTAAATACAAACAATTCAAATGATATTTGATAATATTTATTGCAATTGCTATTACATAATAAACAAGGTGATCTATGATTTCTTCCATACTACCGAATAGACGAGCGATTACCGGAATCGGCTTCACTTCGTCTAGGATTACTAGAATCGGTTCTAATTTTGTTATGAATGTGAACTCAATAATATTATTATCATTTATTTTTGCATGTATTTACAAACATTATCATTGATCTTTTATGGAATAATGCAATATCGTCTTTACATTATATTTTCAGGACATTGCTAACAGAGGATTGTTTGAAATGACGGATAATAATAGGTCAGTTTTGTCTTTCTTTATGTTTGCATAACTCAATTCTTGATTTCATAAAGTAGTCGATTTATAATTACATGCAATAATTTTTATTTGAATCTTTATTTAAACAATACAAACCTCATTAAATATTCACATGAAATCAATTTTTTACCAGGCAGTTACTTGACAGTCCATGGTCATTCTGGAGTATCAAATCAATTGTCGTCATTTGCGTTATTGGTGCACCATAAAAATATTACAAAGATTGCGAATTAGTCAATCGTTGAAACATAGATTCTTTAGTCTTAAATAGTAAACAAATCATATATACCCGTAACGTATAAAACAGTGAGATATGGATGTTAACTATATGCGCACAGATGATACTGTCACTTTATTGGAAGTAAACGAGCTGTATATTGGGAGCTGTGTATTGGGAAGTGTGATATACTACAAAACAGTGGGGTGCCAATATACGGTATGCTGATATATTTCATAGTGGGAGAGACTATCTGTTAGAGAATGCCTGTTGTTCAGCAAGCTGTAGATGAATTAAGTCATAGGATTTATTGAACTTCATAATTTTTAAAGACTTAAGATTTAGTCAATGTAAAAACAAAACAACAATATAAACACCCTGTATAGATCTAAAGATTCTTTTCAAAGTTTAGCATAATATTTAACCGTTTGACCCATTTAATTATTAATAAAAAATGGAAGAAGATCCTTCAAAGTAAAGGACTATGATATATACATGTAGTTATCTATGTCTCTGGCTTATGACACTGAATTAATAATGACATTTTCCGCGAACATCCCAAATAAACACACAATAGTTTTTTAATGTGATGTATATATATTTTTTCATCTTTGATTAAATATAAACAATGATATGTAATCAGAGTTTTGTAAATAAAATCTCATTGATAAATGATTAATTAAACAAGATATTTAATATCGGCGAGTTACTACCATACTGTCGGAATCGGCGAAGGATTACCGAAATCGGCGTATAATTTGGTTATAAATGAAGATTAAAAAAAAAGTTCTTGCATCTTTATACAATATCAATGAAATGTAAAAAAATGTAAATAAAATCGCTTTTGATTAATTTAACAAGAGATCTAATATCGGCGAGCTACTGCCAAACTACCCGAATAACAATCCTTCAGACAGTATGACAGTAACTTGCTGATCTAGTTTAATTAATAAAGCGTGATTTTGTTTATAAAAATCTTTGTACATGTCAATTCTTAAAAGTTCATAAATAAAATTACTGGCCGATTCTGGTAATAATTCCCCGATTCCAGCAGTATGACAGCTGGGACATACGATATATCGTATGCCCCAGATGACAGTAACTTGCTGATCATAATTAAATCTCTTGTTTAATGAATCAATTGTGTTTTTTATAAAAAAATCTTATTACATGTCATTAATTGTTAATATTTTATAAAAGTTTAAAAATTCATGAATAACAAAATTACAGGCCGATTCCGGTAATCATTCCTCGATTCCGGCAGTATGACAGTAACTAGCTGATCTTAAGTATGTTGCTTAATTAATCTTAAGCGATTTTTATTGATAAAAATATTTTTACATGTCATTAACATTGTTTATATTTTATAAAAGATGCAAGATTTTTTTTTAAAGTTCATAAATAACAAAATTACAGGCCGATTCCGGTAATCATTCCCCGATTCCGGCTACAGCTTGCTTAACAATACGCTTTCTCTAACAGACAGACCCTCCCACTATGAAATATATCAGCATACCGAATATTGGCACCCCACTGTTTTGTAGTATATCACACTTCCCAATACACAGCTCCCAATATACAGCTCGTTTACTTCCAATAAAGTGACAGTATCATCTGTGCGTATATGGTTAACATCCATATCTCAGTTTTATACGTTACGGGTATATATGATTTGTTTACTATTTAAGACTAAATAATATATGTTTCAACGATTGACTTATTCGCAATCTTTGTAATATTTTTTATGGTGCACCAATAACGCAAATGACGACAATTGATTTGATACTCCAGAATGACCTTGAACTGTCAAGTAAGTACGATTTAACTGCCTGGTAAAACATTGATTTCATGTGAATATTTTATGAGGTTTGTATTGTTTAAATAAAGATTCAAATAAAAATTATTGCATGTAATTATAAATCGACTACTTTATGAAATCAAGAATTGAGTTATGCAAACATAAAGAAAGACTAAACTGACCTATTGTTATCCGTCATTTCAAACAATCCTCTGTTAGCAATGTCCTGAAAAAATATAATGTAAAGACGATATTGCATTATTCCATAAAAGATCAATGATAATGTTTGTAAATACATGCAAAAATAAATGATAATAATTATATTAATTAAGTTCACATTCATAACAAAATTAGAACCGATTCTAGTAATCCTAGACGAAGTGAAGCCGATTCCGGTAATCGCTCGTCGATTCGGTAGTATGGAAGAAATCATAGATCACCTTGTTTATTATGTAATAGCAATTGCAATAAATATTATCAAATATCATTTGAATTGTTTGTATTTAATAAAATATGGCAAGATATTTTTAAAACGCTGAAATATAACAAAAAACAGACTAATTCCGGTATTTACCTGTTAATTCAGGCACTGTGATAGTAATTAGTCTATCTTAGACATCTAGTTTATAATAAGAAGGGACCTTTATTTCTCAAAAAATCTTTTTATATCAATGATATTATTTGCATTCAATAAAATAACATAAAAATAACTATATTACAGGCTGATCCCGCCCATCCTTCCCCTATATCGGCAGAATGACAGTAATTCGCCGATCTTAGGTCTCTTGTTTTATTAATCAAAAGCAAATTTACTTACAAAAATGAATATCGTTGAAAATGTTTATATCTTATAAAAACATGCAAAAGAAATATTTAAAAAGTTCACAAATAACCAAATTACAGGTCGATTCCGGTAATCCATCGCCTATTCCGACAGGCTTCCCGTTTTTGCCGATCTTCAATATTAATCTTTTTATTATTATATAACAGCGATTTTTCATAAATCTTTTGCTTCTTATTTAATACCGATTTCAATAAACATTATAAAAATCGTTTATATTGTTTGTATTTAATAAAATAATTCAAGGTTATTTTTTAAACGTTGAAATATTGGTGGGGAAAAAAACAGACCGATTCCGGTAATTCCCCGATAGCCCTGACACTGCATATATGCGATATGGCAGTAATTCGCCGACCTTAGATCTATAGCTTATTATTTAATAAGGATTCTTCATTTACAGAAATCTTTTTAGATATCAATGATATTGTTTTCATTTTTTTTCTTGCAAAGTCCATAAATTACAATAATACAGGCCGATTCCGGTAATCATTCGGCTATTTCGGCAGTATGACAGTATATGTAACTCGCCGATCTTCGATCTCTTGCTTTATTAACCAAAGGCGAATTGAAATTTACAAAATAAAAGAAAGAAGAAAGAAACTTTTAAATATCTTTCATAATATTTATATTTTATAAGATGAATATTAACAATGCAACAAAAACGTTAAAAAGTACAATAGACTAAATTATACGTCGATTCCGGTAATCCTTCGCAGATTCCGACAGCATGGCAGTAACTCGCCGATATTAAATATCTTGTTTAATTAATAAAAAGTGATTTTATTGACAATAATCTGATTACATATCATTGCTATTGTTTATTTATAATCAAGGGTGCAAACATTTTGTTTAAAGTATATAGATAAGCAAATTACAGGCCGATTTCGGTAATCCTTTGCCGATTCCGGCAGTTTGCCCGTTGTCGCTGATCATAAATATTTGTTTATTATTATTATTATTTAAAAGCGAATTTTTTTCACAATCTCTAGGAAGATTAATGATAATATTTAGGTTTTATAAAAACATGCAAAAGGAACATTAAAAGTTGCATAAACAACGAAATAACAGGCCGATTCCGGTCACGGGCAGTTTGGCAGTAACTCGCCGATATTAGATCTCATGTTATATTAATCAAAAGCGATTTTATTCATAAAAATCTTTTCATAAATCATTGATATTGTTTATATTTTATAAAATTGCAAGAAAAAACTTAAAAAGTTTAATTATTACAAAGTTACAGGTCGATTCCGGTAATTCACCGCCGATTCCGGTCGATTCCGGTAATGCGGCCGATTCCGGTAAGTCGTGTAACCGGCCCAAGCAACATTCTGAAGGGCCATTGGCATTCACTTATGTTCCTATTTTAAGTAAATTTGTTGAAAAAGTTCTTTAAAAGTGATCACAGGAAACAGTTTTTATGAACAGACAGACAGACGGACTGAAGGACACTCTAAAGTTATTTTTTAAACATCATTGTTATCAAAATATAACATTTTAAAAATCCTATCATGATTGAAGAAGTTGGAGTAAAAATTACCAATTTCTCAAAAAAAAATCTAAGTTCAAAAGAGGCATAATTCTGGAAATAGTCTTGCTAGAGTATTGAACACTCACAAATGTTGAATGATAATAAGAAACATTTATATGAAGTTTGAAGTAGATACATTCAGAAAAAGAAGTTATTAAAAAAAACAATGATTTTTTCATGAAAATTTTAAGTTCAAGGGAGGTAATTCTGATAAATTTTGTGCTAGAGTTGTAAACCTTGTCACATATGATGTGGTTGATGACAAGCAACTTATATATAAAGTTTGAAGAAAATACCTTAAGAAATAAAGAACTTATAGTGAAAAAACTTAAAAACTAGAATCAGAAATCTTGAACTTCAGTCTATTTGTTGCCATAGCAACCAGAATTTTCAACATAGGAAGATAAGAAAAGAATGTGCATAATTTCCATACTGCCATCTACCCATATGTCAAGTTTCATAAAAATATTTTCAGGACTTTTTGCGTTATCACTGGATCCAGGTTATGTATAAAATTTGCCATATTTTCAGTCTATTTGTTGCCATAGCAACCAGAATTTTCAACATAGGAAGAAAAGAAAAAGACGTGCATAATCTCCATACTGCCATCTATCCATATATCAAGATTCATAAAAATATTTTCAGTTCTTTTTGCGTTATCGCCGGATCCAGGTTATGTGTAAAATTTGCAATATTTTCAGTCTATTTGTTGCCATAGCAACCAGAATTTTCAACATAGGAAGAAAAGAAAAAGACGTGCATAATCTCCATACTGCCATCTATCCATATATCAAGTTTCATTAAAATATTTTCAGTACTTTTTGCGTTATCCAGTTTTGTGGACGGACGGACGGACTGACGGACTGACAGACAGACGGACGGAGGGTAAACCTAAAGTCCCCTCCGGTAAACCGGTAGGGGACTAAAAACACCTTTTCAGCATAACTCGTCAAAACAACAATTTCATTGGTTATATTCAACATAAATAAACAGGAGTTGTTTTCGGCATGTTTTCGGGAAGGAACATTGGACTCTTTCATGTCAGAATGCTATCCAGCTAGCTTACTTTACATCCTTGGTTCTACTGGGGCTGCCCATTTGTGCCTAAAACAATGCACCGTGGGGCACCTGAAAAACAGGAAAGTTGCCAAATGACTTTTACTGCATTGGTGCGTAGTAAAACCCAACAAACAGCTTTTATATCATTATAAGAACACTATGACAGCCATGTCATCATTACAACATCAACACTGCTGTATAAGGGAACAAGTTAGTTCTATAAAGTGTGAGTCAACCATGAAAAAGACTAAAGTATATCTTGATGCCTTTGGTTCCGTCACACAGTCATTAGACCATGAATCCTTTTATTAACAACTTCATTTTTCTGATGTTCTTATCACAGCTCATCTTTATCTAAATAAAACAGCTGATTTTCAGTGTCTTTATCCAATAGTTTGCCTTCATTCAAGCATTTTACCTATACAATATAATATTTTTACCTTTAGACACAGATTGACCACATTTATGGTCTTGTAGATCACATATATTACAGGTATCACAATGAACACGTGATGGTTTCACACATCTGTTACATTTATCACAGTGAGTATATGTATTCCCATCCTGATACAGAAAGAAAGAAAATTTTGAATGAGCTTATACATATCAGAAAATGTTTTGAATGAGAAAAAGATAAGATATATTTTACATACAGTGTATACATTCTTGTTAAATGTCAAAAAAGATCTAATTAATAAGATTTAGCATTGAATCACAAATGACTTTTAAAAAAAGATCATCCAAGGCTATATATAGAATATTATTTTGACTATCAACCTTTAAAGAATAACCTCAATCTTGTTTCTACAGTGCAAAACATTTCTTTATTCTTTGCCAAACAAAACGGGACTATAGTGTACACAACTAAGTTTACATCAGAGAATCTTACAATGTAACTATATTACTATACATAAGTTGAGTTGTTGAATGTTAGTAAAACATAGACATGATCTTATATGGTAGCTATGAATACAGTCACACTATATGATATACAGTCATATTAAACATGTATAGCTTTTCACTGGTGGAAGAAGTTCATAGATGCCACATAAAAGTGGATTCAAAGATGCTACATTAAAGTAACAATCTTGGTACAGGTTCATAATGCAATGCCTTGTGCAAAATATCTATGCCCAAGCCCAGTTAGGTTCTAGAGAAGAATTTTTTTTTACTATTATTTCTATCATTCCATGGCAATTAGATTTCTGCACAGGGTCAAATTGTTTGAACAACTTTGCAAGCCCTTTACCCAAGGAACAATCCTGGCAAGTTTGGTTGAAATCAAACTTGTAGTTTTTAATTTGAAGATTTTTTTTAAGTTCACTATATAATCTATATAACAAACAAATACACACATGCAAACACCTACACACACACAGTGGTGAATCGCTCTATGCCTCCACATCACAGATATGGCAGTGGCATAAAAATACAAGACATATCAGATTATATACAAACCTTGGTAGGACATGTATTACACTTTTTACAATGTTTATTTTCTTCAGAGCTGTAGCGCTCACATTTCTCACAGTACCTGAAACAATCAACAAGAACAAACAATGGTTCATTTCATATCTTAGGCATAAAGTTTTACTTTCAAAAATCAATTTTACGGCCTTAAATATCTAAAGCTTTATTTTACATCAGAGATGCAATTACTCACTCAGAAATACCAAACTGACTACCTGTTTACATGATTAACAAGCCACATGCATACATAGTTTTCACAAGTTTATGTGTTACAATTAGGATCACATCTTTTGTTCATTTGTTTATGAACATCTGTTTTGTAAAATTACAGACAAATAAAGAGGTGTACATGAGACAGCATGCTTCGACTTTTCTCAGTACTTGACAGCAACAAAAGGGGCCAAACTCTATAAAATGTTAAGTCAGAGCTATGCCCAATCTTGTTAAATAATCATTCAGCGTGATAAGCGTGAAAGTTCAACATAATCAGTAAAATGTGTAACATAAGTTTATTTTTACCAATATCCTTCTGACGCTGGTAGAATGATCTGTTTAGCTGGAAGGTTTGTAAAAATTCTAACTGGTGAACCCTTCTTCCTCCCTTTCTCTCCTTTAAACAAGGCATGGTTATCATAATCCACCTGAATATAGAGCAGCATTTTCCTCAATTAAATACAAAACAATGTTATAAGCAGAACAAACCCACCTCTAAAAACTTTTATTTTTGATTTTAAAAATTCAATTTGGAACCATCATTCAAGATTGATGCAATTCTATACATCACTTATTTCATGTCAGTAACAACATGAACAACCTAAAAAATTTGTGAATAAGCCTTGATGCAAGTCACAGTTATCACATCGTCGGATACCCACGGCCGAACCATTAACATTTATTGATTGCATGTTATGTGACATGTTTATCAATCGTGGGTATCCGACGATGCAGTTATCACAAAACATCTAATGAAGTTTAAATTTTGATCCTAATCAATGTTCTATGATATATTAGTAAAAAAAAAACAACTAATGTTATTTACAACAAGTGCCCATTTACATGCACTTTTTCAGGCATGAGCAGACATTAAATGCTACTTAACATATTTTCAGGCACAAACAAGCACATGAGTTCAACTTCCATTATTCCAGCCACAAGCAGGCAGAAATAACTTCAGGCATGAACAAGCACTTGAATGCAACTTGCATTATGCCAGGCACCTTAATGCTAACTATATTATTTCAGGCATGAAAAGGCACTTGAGCTAAACTACAGCCTATCATCTATCTATGTAACACCCACACATGACATACCAATGTCCCTCTGCAAAATCTGAAATCCCCAGTGTTGAGAAAAGGTCATTTAAAGTCAGAAACCTTATTTGTGTACAAATTCTTTATTACCTTATAATCTAGCATTGTGTAACCAGAGGTAGGTGTAACCACTCTCTGTTCCATAAAGTATGGGAAAAACCAAAACACAGGCATCTTTTCTGTGTCTGTACATTCTATCAAAATAGAAAAGGTTCAAATTACTAAAACAGTTATTTACTAAAACATTTTAACTTACTACAACAGTTCAATGTACTAGTTCAGTTTACTAGTACAATTTACTTAAACTGAAACTGCTAAATTTGATAAAACAGTTTACTAAAATAGTTCAAATTACTAAAACTAAAAGTAAAACAGTTCAATATAATAAAAAAGTTAAGTAAAATCGTTCAATTTAATATCAAAGCACAGAAGGCGCTGAATTTGTTTGGGTCTCAGAATGTCAGAAAGGTGAAGGTTGTGACATTATAAACCAATTTGTTTTTGTATAGTGCCACCAATGCTTTCCAGTGTTTTAACTGTAGTAAATTGGCTATAAGACTAATTGCAACACTGATAGTCAATTCAATGTTTATTTGACTTAAATTTTTTTTTTAAAAAATGAGTTGCCTCAACTGCGATTTGAACTCCAGACCTCTCGATTCATAAGCGAGCATGCAAACCCCTCGGCCAAGGTGAAGTTACATGTTAACGGCCAGAAGAAAACCATATCATTTTAAATTAGGGTTTGTAACTCTTATTATTTCGACGCTAAACCTGTTGTTTAACACAGATGTAAAAAATCATGGAGCTTACTGTAAGCATGTATATATATAAAGAATGAAACAATATTAGAAATCTTCGACTATTCGGGAACTACTTTGTTTGAAAATTAATGCGCCTGTCATTTGACAATCTTTACGCATTGATCTCCCCTGAATTTTTCGGCGTTAGTGTACATATAAAGGGAAGTAAACGCTTCAAAAAAGTGGACTACTTTAGGCATTTGCAATTAACAGCATTAGGCTCTGAAATTTCGCTACCATTATTTGTTTGGTCTGACGACCCAAACAAATAAAAACAATTCAATTTACTTCCTACATGTATAATCAACATTTTTCTGTAATTATAGCATATATCAAAGCACAATGTATTGCCGTTTGAGCTGCAACTTAACTACTATCAAAACTACCCAATGACCTTTCTTAGCAATATTGCACATTTAATATAGCATACTATGATACTAATAATATCAAATATACTGTGACAGATTTTCAATGTAGAAATTTCTTTGATGATGCATAAGCTATAATAATGATTGTGATATAAATCAAACAAATCAACTTGTTTTAAGACAAAAATGTTTAAGATTTAAAAAAGGGAATTTTTGGGACCAACATAAACCCAAATTTTTCCCGAAAAATAAATTTTCCCAATCAGCCCAGAAAGAAAAATTTAACCCTTCAAATTTCCCCTTTTTCCCCTTATTCTATTTATAGTAACAGTGAGGGGCATCCCCCAAAGACCCCAAAGGAGATCTTTTCACCAGGGGAAACTTTCCCCACTTCCCCTTTTATAAATTTCACTTAAGTCTGCTTCAAATTCTCCCCAAAAAATGATTTTTCAGCAAAATTTAACGGCCAAAAACGTGATTCAGGAAATACCTGAAGCTTTAATTTGAAAACAGAAAAAGAATGGTTATTTTTAAAAATTTGCATGTCAATGCTTGTAATAATTGTAAAATTATGAAATTACTCAAGATTTTTTAAAAACCTAGAAATTTGTCCAAAGGTCATGGATGTCTTCAAATTCCGTGGTTTTTGTTAGTCTACAGCAGGACAGCATGACAGCCAGATTGAAAAAGGCAAAACAATCCCCCTCCTCCCCCTTCAGTGGGAGCATAATTTTTTTTTTTAACAAAGGTCAAACAGTTACTAAACAAAACATACTGTATAATATGTACGTTGAATTTACAAAAAATTCATGAAGAATAATTAACAAAATAATAACTTTTCATTAGAGAAATTCCCTAACTCCAAATTGGGACACTGAGTTGAACTAGACCTGCCCACCAAGAAGGAAAATAATAGTCTGTAACACTTAATATTCCTTTTAAACTAAAACCCAAATGTTTTAATAATTAAAGGGACGGGGTTCATTTTTCAAAAGGGAAAAAATTTTTCTTTATTTTTAAAGGGAAAAAAAAAACTAAAAAAAACATTGAGGACCATGATCAGCGGGGCAAAATTGTCCCCTTTATCATTGGATTCTATGTCAAAAAGGGTTTTTAAATCACTTAATAGTGGGTAGATGCTTTGGTAAATTATAAAAAATACATAAAAGAACTGGGGAAAACTCAAAATTTTCTATGATCTAGTTTAAACCCAAAAGGGGCTTTTGGGAGATACCCCTTTTCTTCATGGGGTTTTTGAAATTTGCCTCGTAAATTCTGAAAAAATAGTAAAAACCTTTACTTTTTTTAAAATTTTTTTATCATTTTTTTGTATACCCCAAATGTGGGGTTCAAATTTCATTATGAAAAAAATAAACAAACAAAAAAACACAACAATTTAAATTGAGAAACTTGTATTTTGATCCCCTGGAAAAAAAAGAAGAAGCATTTCCTAATCTACAGATATCCCCCTACTAGGACCTGCAGCTGTATGTTTGTCAAGGTGGCTTACTTTTTTGTACTGTAATAACTTTTTATATAAAAGATTTTTCTGCTTTGAAGTCACTGTTACCTTGAAGTTTGAACTGTTCAAAAATAATCATTTACATGTTTTTACAACTTTTTTATGTATGTACATTGTAATGTGAAGACATGGGGATAAAATAGGATTATTATTATTTATAATGCAAATCTTAACATGCTTTAAATTATTTCATCGTTTCAGTGATTTCAAATTTTTTTCTATTTATAGCAGTAACTTGAGTATTGTAACAGTTTTTTCGGAAAATTAAAACATTTCTTTAAAATTATATCATTTTTACCTGGGACATCCAACACATAGTATATGAGTCACATGTAGAGAGTTCAGTGTGTCAAGTATGAAATCAACAGTGGAGGCCGAGAAGAGGTATTGCTGAAACCAGAAATCATCAGTATGAGATGAGGTGGTATGTAAGTACAGGTACAATCTGTGAAATAATCTGTGAAGAAAGCAATTTGGTACAAAGCCTTTTAAAGTTTCAAGTTCAACTTTTTACCAGTCTTGTGTCAAAATTGAGAAGAATAGCACTAAGACGTCTATTCTATTTTTTTTTTGGTACAATTATCAGGTTATTAAAGCAACATGTCTACAGATTTGCTTCATTTCTTTTTTTTTTAAAGAAAACCTAAAAATTGTACAAATGAGTAACAAGTCACCACTTAGTAAGGGTCACGCTCAACATGTTCTTATTTCCAAAGTAAAACACATCCGAGAAGAATACTCCTAGAAAAGAATACTATTAGAAAACATAATTATCTTGTAGAAAGTATAACTAGAATTTCATATATGACCTTGATGGTCAAGGTTATTCAAAGGTCAAGGTCACATTTGAAGTAATCATCATGTCAATTTTTTCATACACATGTATGAGTTCTTTTGTTCGAGAATGAATCAAATACATAAATCTAAAAAATTTAAGCAAATTTCAATAACTTGACAGAATAGGTCAGAGTCATATCAGAATATTTCAACATGATGATTAGTCATATATGTTCTTTTGTCCCAGTATACTTCTTCTTAGCTTAAAACATACTGATTGTGTTGAAATACAAATTTAAATGAACTGAAGGAATTATAAAGATCCATTAATATTTGTGTCGCAGAGATACATTTTGAATAATACATTACTGCAAATGTTTTGTTGTTTTCTAAAGGTGTGAAGAGCTCAGTTGGTTTAGCTAACATCTTATCTGAAATGTTTGACCTCACAGTGTGACCTTGACCTTCATGAGATTTCTGTTCACCTGGTAGCAACATCAGTCCACAGTTGGTACAAAAATGCCTCTCAGATTCTTTCAATTCTTTGAACTCACAAAATCTTGAAAATAAATAAAAACATACATGTATTACACTAATGATGATGAACCAAAGTTTATAAAAGTTTATAAAGTTACATGCCTAATGGTTTAAGCAAATGAAAAGGCAGAAAATCACATTTTCATTTAACAACTGATTAAACCTTGAGATTGTAGCAGGGGCGACAAAATCAATTGCCCCTATTGCCCAGGTTGCCCTGACAAGTGAAAATTGTTCCAGAATTTAGATTACAAAATTAATATCATATAGACAAGTAAAAATATTTATGTTTCAGATAAAACGAACAAGTAAGTAAAAATCAGATTTCGCCAGATCTGTGTTGCATTTTTTAACTAAAGAATAACTAAAATATGTGCACTTTGTATGTACATTTGTACCATGTTTTAGGTTTTACTACAATTTTAACATGTTTTAAGTCATATCTCAGCGAATGATCCACCTTACCCACTAACCAGTATTCATCAACTTCTTTGCAAATGACTGACAACTAATTACACATGATTTTTTTAATAAGCGGTGAGAGACAAATGACCATTAGACTCAATATGGCAGATCAATTGTTACAGAAAAATTACACCTTGCCCAAGGATTGAAACAGTGATCCCTGGATTACCAATCAGATGCCTCTCCTACTGAGCTAAGCGGGAGAAAAATAGGAAATACTTTCTTATCTTACAACAGATAACTTTTCTAACCAAAGTTGCTCTTGGCAGAAGTTGCAATATTTAAATAATTTTGTCCATCCAATTCACTTATTAAAGCCTAATCATGCCTTAGATACAAATAATTTTTTAGTTTTTTTAAAAAGGCAAACATGAACTTCATAAGATTTAGATAATAGTGCAAGACAATGTTAGATGATTATTTCAAAAAGAAAGTAGCGCTTAATATAAAATAATTTATCCTAAAAGTAACAAAATGTAAATAAAGTATTATTTTGACTTCCATACAAAATACTGAATTACTATAACAATACTCCTTGCCAAAAACATCATAAATCAAAGATGGTTCACATAATTGGCAAATGAATTACTTTTTGGCAACAAGAGATGTACACCCAAAAAATAAAGCCTTTGAGAAATAAGAATAAAAAAAATTCTGAAATATAATGGGCCTTTAAGTGAACAATTTTCAAAACCTAACATGTATAAGTAACACAGTAAGATAAAAACTTAGATTATAAGCCTACCTTTTCCTCATTTCAGCATGGCTATATGAGGGCCACAAACCAGTCTTTGTATTCTGAAATACCCGATTGTCCTTAGAGATTTTAACCTCATCAGCCCATTTGAAGAAAGGACAAGCCTTGCGGTCTCTGAAAGCTGAACAGGCAAAGAAGTGTCTCTCGGCACCACATTTCTTGTCAAATCTTGAGAAAAGTAATGCAGGACCTGTTTGTAAGATAAAACATTTGTACACTAAAGACTAGTTCATCAATTTATCATGGTTCAAATTGACTGTATTTAGTACTATTTACATAGAGATGGATTGCATTTAAAACATTGAGACCTTGATTACATATGCATTAGCCCACAGGAACTTGAAATTCTGTCAAATAACCAATATTAATATCCAAAAGTACCCCCTATGGATATTATCATTTATATTGATAAAATTTCAAGCTCCTGTGGTATTAGCATAGCTGTTATTATACTTACATGTAAATGTATTCTGTAAACAATCAGTGATGACAATGTAGATTTATTTTTTTCGATTTTTTCTTTGATTCGATATTTTCTACTTCAGTTAATTGACTTAATTCAGAAATAAAAATAAAATAGGATAAGGTTTCCAAAAAAAATATTTTTTTAAGTATAGGATATCGACCGAGTACAAGGTCTTTCTTTTTAGGAAAGACCTGGTCACGAATTTGATGTGACACCTCGAGACTATAAATATTTGTCCATATAGTTTTTGTCAAATTGCTTGTGTAAAATAATTACACTATATATGAACACACCCAAGTGTGTCGGACCCCTTTGAATAAAATATGTAATGTCAATATCCTTTCCTATGCATCATTTTCATTTTACAGCAGCAGACATGTCTGTCAGAAACTTAACTTTTATGCACACAAATTGATGACATCATAGGCACTTCTAGAAAAAAATAAACAGCTCATGAATGAAAGGTTTGAGAATACATGTAGCCTTTTGTAGGTTGGGTTTGAGATTAGGGTACTTATATGATATATTGCAATTTCAAATGCATTTCCGTTTTCTTTCCTTAAACTAAACTGCAAATAACATGAAAAAACATGTAAAAAATCTCTTCTTATCCGGAAACCTGTCTAATCCGAACTTTTCTTCTGATCCGGACGAGTTCGGATTAGACAGGTTCCACTGTAGTTATAAGTTGACGATAACGGTCGCGAAAACAGATTACATAGAGAAAATTAACTCGTTCAAAGACTATGATTATAGAAATCATTTGTGAAAGCAGATATGTATTTGAATTTTATTACCATGTTCACATTCTGGTATATTCTTAAACCCGTGATCAGTAACTATATCAACATTTCCAGAATTTACTGCCATTTGTTGCAATTTTCACGCAGTGTAATGATAAAGGGAAGTAACCGCTGCGAACAGTTTTTCAAACTCCGACGCAGTTGTCTCCCTTTGCTTTGCTACACAGACACGTTACAATTCTGCCAAGGGAGGTAATCAGTGTGAGGAGTTTGACAGTTTTTAGCAATCTCTTGAAACCTACGCAGTGACCTCCCCTTATCAGTACAATTGGAGTTTGAGTTTTTAGAGGCATCAGTCAATGATGTACAGCATAAAAAGTGTTCCACAAAATATACAAATGTACTAGATGGCATATATCAATCAAAACGAAAGTGTTACATTTTGAAAATAAGCTTAGATATCAGTATCAGTTTAAATGCTAATATTATTTCTTACAGATTTACAGTAGAGCTCTACATTAAGTAAAATTTTTGGGAAACTAATTTTATTTACTCTAAATAAAGCTAGCCTATGGTACACATATACATGTAGATCTTTTTAAGTAATGGGACTTAATTAAATTGCACTACAAGTATATTTTAAAAATATAACAATAATCATCGCTTGTCGTTAAAATGGTTATACAATTTGAGAAAAAGACAAAGTAAAAACTGGGACATAAGATAAGTATCTTAATTATGTCCCAGGTAAAAAGGAAGAGACAAAAAAGGGGAAAAGTAGCAAAAATGAAATAAACAAAATAAACAAAAATTTTCCCGTTCAAAAATGGAACTAGCTTAATTTGAAAAATGTCAAAACTTTTCACTCTTGGACTTCCATAAAAAGTTCGTCGATCATACCTAAACAGTCCTTTTTCAACTAGGACAGGAAGATACTCATAAAAGTGACATTTTTAAAGCAATGGCAGTCATAATCAGTGGTCGTTTAAATTCTCTTTAAGTATAAAATAACTTAAGTGATCTTAAAGATATTACAATTTAGAAAAAAAAAATATGCATGTTAATTAGAAATTTAATACACGAAGCCATTAAACAACAACAACAAAAAAGCAAGTTGCTTGATAAGTTAGTATGCGATAGATATACTGTGAACCAGTCCATGACAGGAGCCGTGCCAATATGAAATATCTTCCAGTTCGACTCTGTGTGGTAGAATGTGACATAAAATTATAATTAATTGGTTGTTCATTTTTGATACATTAATTGCCTTTGCATTTCTTTTATTTATTTATTTCATTTTATTTTATTGATTTACTGTATTTATCACACACCAGTGCCGATTTTGCGACTCCGTAAAAATGGTATTGCACGGCCGTGCATATATTTTGACGTGACGTCATTAGCGTTATACAAACATAGTGTAAAGACGCGCTAAAGAATACATTTAAAATTTTGTAAAAGGTTATTAAGAGTTCAACCTAACACCTGTAATGCTAGTGTATACGGCGAGCTGGGAAGATATCCCTTATATATTCATAGGTTTGTAAGGATAATAAAATACTGGTTAAAAATTGTAGAAACTGATAACATAATCCTTAAGACAGTATATAATCAAGCTTTGTATGATAGCAACAATGGTCATAAAAACTGGGTTTCAAATGTAAAAAAGCTTTTGAATGATTATGGATTTTCATATGTTTTTAATAATGTTAATATTATTGACAAAAAATATTTTTATTTTGAATTTAGAAGTCGCGTTATTGATTCTTTTAAACAGGAATGGTATGCTACCTTAGATAATAGTTCTGTATTGTATATGTACAAAAATGTTAAATGTAGTTTTGAGTATGAACTTTATTTGGATATCTTGCCAAGATGTTTTAGATTTTATTTCTGTAGATTAAGAATGAGTACTTTGTCTTTGAGAATACAAACTGGCAGATATTCTAGAAATAGAATTGTTAGAGAGGAAAGGTATTGTTTATGTTGTAATGCCTCAGACATTGAAGATGAATTTCATTTTGTTTGTATATGTCGTTGTTATGCAGAGTTAAGAAAAAAATATTTGAAAATTAAATATACCAGAAATCCATCAGTTTATAAATTTTTACAATTATTGAACTCAAATAGTAAATATGAATTAATTCAGTTATCCAAATTTGTTAAAGAAGCACTTGCTTTGAGAAACACACTGTTAAATGTTGAGCGTTAAACATCATTATTGCTCATTCTCCTGTTTGTATGTCTTTACTTTTTTAATTTGTAGTATACATATTTATTATTTCATTTTCTTGTTACTAGATGAATTAAGATTAAGAATTTTGAAAATGTCATACTTGCTATTACCATTATATTGACGTTATGCTTGTAAATATTATTGTATTATAGATGATGTACTATGTACAAATCTTAATAAAGTATCTGTTCTGTTCTGCTAAATGTTAGCGTTATACTATAGTTGCGTCAATGAAAAAATGACTCTTATTTCACTTTAAACGGTCTTTATTTTGGGTATGTGATAAATAGAATATTAAATTCGTGTAAGTTCATTACTGAATTTATTGCACTCGTTGAATAAAATAATATTGGAAGTGGCTATAGCCGTACGGGCGTCACGTACGACTAGCCAGGACTCACTGTATTGTCTAGCCGTACGGCACTTTTCAAAGTTAAATGGAAGTCGAACATGCATATGTTATTTTGTGCCTCATGATTATGATTTGTTGTTTTATTTGTATGAAAGATGAATTTTTGTTAATTAAGCACATCACGGATTTATATAAATCCGTGAGCACATACATGTACATCGAATAGTGGAATAAATAAAAAGAACATTAAAAAAAGCAAAAAATAATTGTATAATTTTCAAATACATTAGATAAATTTCGAACATAAAAGCACAATCAATTAATTAGCCTTAACTAAAGCCTACCATAGAATTTTATTAAAATGCGTTTCACGGAACATGCAAACTTTCCTTAATGATGCACAGACACTTGGAGTTTGGAGCTCAAAACGCCTTTAAAATCCAAATAAAATGCATATTTGTCAATCCCAGCACATGTACTGATCATATATATATATATATATATATATATATATATATATATATATATTATATATATATATATATATATATATATATATATATATATATATATATATATATATATATATAAACTTAACCCATTACTTCATATATACACGCCTTTTAACGCCTTTTTCACCCCCCCCCCCTTTTTTGTTGTCTCAAATGATGAAAAAATGCCTTATTTAGGCCCCAAACACTTGTTTTTGTTTGAGAAATGTTGTTAAAAAAAGTGACCTCTTTTTCGGCGCGGCCCCCCAACCAAAAGATACATCAGGGGGTTGCCAGAAGGGGGATGTGCCCCCTTCTGTTTGGGGGGTTTGAAGGGGGGCGGAGTCCCCCTCATCGCCAAGAAAAATTTTGGACGTGTGAGAGGCTGTAAATGACCCCAGATTGATCATAAGGTAACGTGTAACCAACGCTGAAAAGCATTTGACTCTATCTCAATCCATTGAGAAAGTGCAGCACTTTGAAATCAATTTTGATGGAAAAAATCAACGCAAAATAGTGATTTTTGGCAATTTTGAGATGTCCCCTCGTTGCCATGGTAACAGAAAATTTAAGCCTGAGCATGTTGTTGCAAGTGCAATGGTCCAGTCAACATTTGTGCCAAGTTTGATTAGTGTTGAAGCAGTTTTTATAGTATTATAGCAATTTGAACTTGTAACGGGAGACTTTTCAATGAAAACAGCCATTTTTCACAAAAAGCTCATGAAGTAATGGGTTAATGAAAAAAATAAAAAAATCTACAAAACAACAATTTTTCTTCAAATTTATATGACAGGCCATGTTTAAACATGAAAAAACGCGATTTAGGGTAATTTCAAGTATTTTCATCATTTTCAGTTAACCCATTACTTCATATACACGCCTTTTAACGCCTTTTTCACCCCCCCCCCCTTTTATATTGTCTCAAATGATGAAAAAATGCCTTATTTAGGCCCCAAACACTTGTTTTTGTTTGAGAAATGTTGTTAAAAAAAGTGACCTCTTTTTTTCGGCGCGGCCCCCCAACCAAAAGATACATCAGGGGGTTGCCAGAAGGGGGATGTGCCCCCTTCTGTTTGGGGGGTTTGAAGGGGGGCGGAGTCCCCCTCATCGCCAAGAAAAATTTTGGACGTGTGAGAGGCTGTAAATGACCCCAGATTGATCATAAGGTAACGTGTAACCAACGCTGAAAAGCATTTGACTCTATCTCAATCCATTGAGAAAGTGCAGCACTTTGAAATCAATTTTGATGGAAAAAATCAACGCAAAATAGTGATTTTTGGCAATTTTGAGATGTCCCCTCGTTGCCATGGTAACAGAAAATTTAAGCCTGAGCATGTTGTTGCAAGGGCAATGGTCCAGTTAACATTTGTGCCAAGTTTGATTAGTGTTGAAGCAGTTTTTTACAGGATTATAGCAATTTGAACTTGTAACGGGAGACTTTTCAATGAAAACAGCCATTTTTCACAAAAAGCTCATGAAGTAATGGGTTAATGAAAAAAATAAAAAAATCTACAAAACAACAATTTTTCTTCAAATTTATATGACAGGCCATGTTTAAACATGAAAAAACGCGATTTAGGGTAATTTCAAGTATTTTCATCATTTTCAGTTAACCCATTACTTCATATACACGCCTTTTAACGCCTTTTTCACCCCCCCCCCTTTTATATTGTCTCAAATGATGAAAAAATGCCTTATTTAGGCCCCAAACACTTGTTTTTGTTTGAGAAATGTTGTTAAAAAAAGTGACCTCTTTTTCGGCGCGGCCCCCCAACCAAAAGATACATCAGGGGGTTGCCAGAAGGGGGATGTGCCCCCTTCTGTTTGGGGGGTTTGAAGGGGGGCGGAGTCCCCCTCATCGCCAAGAAAAATTTTGGACGTGTGAGAGGCTGTAAATGACCCCAGATTGATCATAAGGTAACGTGTAACCAACGCTGAAAAGCATTTGACTCTATCTCAATCCATTGAGAAAGTGCAGCACTTTGAAATCAATTTTGATGGAAAAAATCAACGCAAAATAGTGATTTTTGGCAATTTTGAGATGTCCCCTCGTTGCCATGGTAACAGAAAATTTAAGCCTGAGCATGTTGTTGCAAGTGCAATGGTCCAGTCAACATTTGTGCCAAGTTTGATTAGTGTTGAAGCAGTTTTTATAGTATTATAGCAATTTGAACTTGTAACGGGAGACTTTTCAATGAAAACAGCCATTTTTCACAAAAAGCTCATGAAGTAATGGGTTAAAACAAGCCGTTTTGAAAAAAAATTCATATTTCAACATCTATAATAATTATCCCGAAACAACCAATTTTCAATCACAACCTAAATTCAAACACATTCTTAATTCTGTGGCACTGATGTCATGTCTGACTAAATTGCTTAAAGTCACATGTTTATTAACTTCAAAACTTTCAGAAATGCCATACTTGATTAATTGTAGGATGTTATCAGTAAAACAATAAGAAACTGTTTGTTTTAAGTGACACAATATAGATTATTCAACTTTAACTATATCAAAAAAGTCACTTGTTTAAAATAGTGGTATAAATTTTTTAAAGCAAGTTATTTTTTTTATAAAATATTGGCTACAGAGTTTTACCATTTACCTCAGTCCTAGGTGTATTTAAAACATTAATTTATATGATGTACCACTAAATATTCATCAGACTTTACATGGGGGTCCTTATTAATAAAATCTTATATTGTTTTCTAATTTTTTCGTGTGATGATTGTAGAATAATTGTTTTGTAAGCGATACCAACTGGCAGATCTAGACAAGTTTCAATATTTGCTAATATTATAAAGTGGGAAAGGTAAAATGGCTGTAAAGATTGGATGCAGTTATCATTTTGCACCCCAAATAGCATACTAAGAAGTGACACCTTTAACTGACTTTTTATACACATTAACAGTAGTCATACCAATGCACTGTACTGTACATATGTTATAACATTTAGTGTAAGTTTCTTAAAATCTTAAAAAATATGTTGAAAATCGTTGAACAGACTGTTGTGAAATTTTATACAATTTTAAGTGGCCCTGATTTTTCTTGATCAAATTTTCCATGGTGATTACCCTGCTGTTTGAATTTAGGTTAAAATATTCCTGGGAGTGACCCGAGTGGGTCATATTGTTTTTATTGTTTTTCTAAGAAAGTTCAAGACTTGTTGAAAATGTACCAATCTTAAAATGAATAAGTGTTGATAGATGCATTAATAGCTAAAATAAATTTAAAGTATAATTTCCCCTTCCATTTATTATTGGCTAAAAACGGCTTAACTGATTGAATATTGGTTGTCCCGGGATATCTATATAGATGTTGAAATATGAATTTTTATTTAAAACGGAGAGGCTCGCATAATATAATTTTATTCAACTCGTGCAATAAATTCAGTATTGAACTTACACTCATTCAATACCCTCTATTTATTATTTATTTTTTTGTTTTATTTTTTTATGAAAATTGTTCTAAACAGGGCCGACAAGTTGCAAAGCAAGTTTCCATACGATTGTGGTCTTTGACCAATGACCTTAATATCAGGTCAATATACGATATGGGTTTTCCGCTATTTCTATTTTTATACTGTTGCCACCTGACGTAATATTTGCGGGCAGGGGAAGTTTACTAACGCATGCGCAAAGGTAACTTCCCAGGACAAAAGATACATGTGAAAGAATTAACTACGCCACATTTTTCATCTACGCTGAGTTAAAAAATGTTTAACTTAATATACTACCGATATATTCTAAATATAAACACTCGTGAAGTCAGGCTTGTAATATATATTCATTGAAATTATTGTGATATTCAGAATTTGACAATTTGTAATCGTATCATAACGTGCTTTGAGCAGTTTGCTTGTTGTGTGGATTTGTCAATATTTATACGATCAGCTGCTCGAAAGTGACTCATGTTTACAAACATTTAGTAAACAGTACTGTACAGTATAGTATAATGTAGTGTTGCAGTAGAAAAGTGATTTTTTTAATGTGACTACTTTTATCTTAAAATTTTGTGTGCAGGTGAAACTGAAAGGTTTGTTTCTTGAAATTTAATAAAAGATTTGACTATAATCTGAATAGTACAGTACTTATCTGATGCCAACTAATAGTATTATCTTATATAATGGGATGATGGCTACAGTTGCACCATCCGAAAGGGAGTACCCAGGAGGCTGTGTTAATCCTCGTTTGAGGCGAATATCAATGCACCTTGATAAACTGGAATTGCCTGATGACAACAGAAAAAATCCATTCTTTGAGAAAATTTTACAAGGTTCGAAAGTAAGTGCAGAGGAAACAAAGGAAGAAGGGAAAATATTGTTCAAAGATTTTATTGTTAAAGAATTCGAGGAGGAAGGCTTGGACACCCCAGATGTAATACGAACAGAACTAGAGAATATTTGGTAAACTTTCCTTTATATAATTATACAGTATTGGGCGTTTTCCTCGAGTGTACTTACTATTGTAAAACTGAAAAGGTTTCATTACTCAAGCTGATTCAGAAAGGTTGTATATACACAGTCCAACTCCTCTAGGCTGAGTGTGAATATGCAACTTAACTCAATCAAATCGAATGATACAGTCCTACAGAATATCACCATGTGTAATTTTACTTTTTATTTATTTATCTTTTGTAAAATATGTAAAAAAAATATGATCAAAATTAAAGGAATTATTGCTATGACACTGAGAGTGATGACAATGTTACATTATAATACATGTAAGTCTCTAATAGTAATACCATATAAAACAAAATAGTTAATCTTAACCTAATTAAAGTGACATTATGTCCATCCAAGGGTATATAGTGATTGAAGAGGTGTTAGTCAAAATAATTATGTTTACATCTTGCCATATTTCCTTCAGATTTATAATTTCTTTTACATAAAAGATAAATTACTCACTTGTATAGCCCAAGGATATTTTGTAACATTCAATTTATAAGAAGAGTTGGGCAGTTGAAATATATAGTCAATTCAGCTCAACTTGACAATGAAAAAATGTGGTTACCTGGCGGTATGGCCACATCATAGTAAAGATCACCATCCGCGCAGTCTGATCAGTATCCATGCTGTTCCCTATCAGTTTCTCTACTTGTAATAGGGTTTGTAAGAATAGCATGGATCCTGGTCAGACTTCGGGGATGCGCAGGCTGGTCTGCATCCATGCTGGTCGCAAACGCACTGTGTTTGTTTTGTCATGGTGCGGCTCATTATGTAATATTCAACATTGAAACTGTACAGCCATTGCATTAAATTCAATCTGATATATATTAATATATTCTTGATGAGATTTCAGCTCTTGTTTTGTATAGAATGTACATGTATTTGTTTGTGATTTTCAGCACTCCACAGGGGTTTCCCAATCCAACCTGGGCAAAGGTTGGCCAAGACCTTCGTAGATATGCAGACGAATTCCAGAGAAGTAAAGAGAGAAAGAAGGTTCAAAAACGAGCAGCTGAGGTAATTATTTGTTCATATACATGTAAATAGTCAAAACATCTGGACATAATGAATAGTTTTCATATATCAAAATGTAATCAGAAGTGAACTGGGTCAGTAAAATTAGTTACTTTACAGTGAAGATACATAGTTTGGAATGCACATGGCCTTTACAGTAGCTGATAATAATAGCATGGCTGAAAATGCTAATTATTCAAAAAAAATCTTTCAAAACATAAATTGTATCAAAGCTGGGATGCTTCTTCATTGAAACTGTCTTTGGGATAAATTGTATACCCAATGCAATACAGTGCATCAACTGGATAGTGCCGGTTTTAGAAACATGCATTCCAGTAGTCCAACTAATTAGACTTGTCAAAGAGACACCGAGATAATTTTGGACGGGCGCTGTCTTTTTCCAACGGTTTGACAGTAAGAAAAAAAAGTCTGTAAAATGGGTCAAACCGTTCACGCCAAATTAATTAGGCTAGCATTCCAGTTACCACACAGTAACACTGTCCAGAGATGCATACAAGGCAGAGATGTGCATAGCCGAAGTGGGAAATCTTGAATGCTATCAGATTGACTTCATTGTTTCTAGGGCTTAATAAATATAACATATTATGACGACAGCTTTGTGATTTTGCCTATAATTAGCACAAAACTGAAAAAACATCAAAGCACTCATGGCTAGCAATTTGTCCACCGGTAAATTTGTTTTTAAAAATATCCAGATTGGCTCCTGGAACATATTAGATAACTACCTGGTTAAATATCTTATTGTTTACTTATAAATCTATAATGTGTAAATTACAATGATTTCTATGTAATTGATAATATTACCATGACTGTGCAAGTCAAGTACAGTTTCAGATTGAATTACAGTTTATCATAGAGTATTGATTACAGTTTGATCATGGAGTATTTATAAAAATCTAAATCTTAAATTCTGTCATTGTAATCTATTCATTAAGCTTGCATCATGCTAATGAATGATGACTGAAATAGAATTGTAAAAGACTTGTTGCTGATGTCAGTGGAGTAGAATGTATTGATCAATTATTCAATGACTTACATTCCATGCGCCCAGTAACAGCAGTTGCGGAGGGCAAAATTATTGATTTGAAAAAAAAAAGCAGAAGAAATCTGCTCCGTTCAAATTAGCTGATAACACTTTTAACTGGCAGATGTTGCTTACTATTGGTTGACAGCATTTTTTGAATTCCCAATAAATGAGAAGTCATTGAAATATGCTGATGTAGGAGACAGTAATAGAATTAGTCGGAGAAGTTGCGCTTGATAATGATCCGATAAGTGACTCCCTTCTTGTCATTAAATTTCCCCCACTTTGCTCACAACATAATTGAATAATTGGAAAAATCACTGCTTTGTCAACTTAATAAAGTGATTCAGTAGCATAAATGTTTATTGAGCTCGACTTTGATGAGAAATTGTTTTATTGCTATAGATCAGCATGCTGAGTTATTCATAGCATCAGATTTATTGAGGTGATAATATGACATTCTAAGAGCTAAGGTTGATCTTTTTTCAACCATTTAATTATGCTAGAAAATAGTCAATTATCAGTCCCCCATTATGCCAAGTGGTTAAGGTCATTGACTTCAAACCGCTTGCCTCTCACCACTGTAAGTTCGAATCCTGTCAGGGACTTTGGATTCTTTCATGTAAGGAAGCTATTAAGCTACCCAACGGAACCTCAGTGATTCTACTCTGCAGGTGCCCTTTTGTGCTTTAGGTCTTCCTCCACCAGTAAAGCTGGTAAGTCATCATATAGCCCAACCAAAAGAGAAAACAATTTTTATGTCCTGCGGATTTGAGCCTAACATGTAACTCAAGTCATAACTGTACACATGTACCAGGCAGATAGACAAAGAAGTTAATTAACTTGACAATTATAAAAGAATTTATTTCATAGTTCGAACAATAAAAAATTTTGTTTTTAAAAGTTAACATAAATTGAGTTATGTCAGATTTATTTTGAACTCTTTTAATTTCCTTTTTTTTTTGGATAAAATTTAACTATTATTAGTACCTTGAAATTTTCCCAAATTCTGCAATATGATGATGATATGTTTATTTTTTCCCTAAAATTTAGAAAATGAAAACACCTAACTTAAAGTATGTAGCACTCCCTAACTTCGGTGAATTTACAAGAAATAGTACGTATATAATTTATTTTAACTCATTTGGGAAGGAAGCTTGTTACTATTATTAGCTACATGTAAGTTTATAATTGGAAACCACTCACAAAAATGTTTCCTGGAACTAATCACAGACAGTACCGATTATTTAAATCTTGAACCCACAAACGCTTGGTTGAGTGGCAGAATCTAATGCTTTGAACAATAGGCAACCGCTCCCCTTTTACAGGAAATAAGACAATATAGAATAAGTTAGTAGGTTTACCATTAATAATTTTCTAACCATGTCATACTAAAATCTTAAAGTGTACCTTTAATACTTTCGTAACCTAAACCATGTCATACATTTAATTTATGGTTAAGTCATGTGGTTGTATGAATAAGATTTGATGTATCAATGATATAAGTAAATGATGAATAAAAGATTCCTTGAAAGAAAAGAGAAAGTACGTTTTGTATTAGTATAATAGTGACGCCATCGAGAAACGGTAATAAGTATATTATGTAAATCAAATGACATTTTATGATGATGAAAATATGCAAATATTTCAATGAAAGAAATTTTGAAGAAAAAAATAAATACTAGTCCTGGGGGTTTTCTTTTTAACATATGTAGTCATTTATTTTGATTTTATTACGTAAATGAATGTTTATTTTTATTCGGCGCACAAATGACGTTGGTTATCTATATACATTGTATTAACTACATCATAATGTTACTGTAAAAAATTATTATGTCTAAAATAGAAATTTACATTATAAGAATCTATTTATATAATGTATATGCGGTAAAGATTAAGTTACATTATAAGGTTTCATGTCTAACCGTCACTCTATGTTAATCATTAAAGATTGAATTACATAGGTCAACAACAGGCAATAAGTGAAGTAAGCTCTATAATTGATTCAACGCATTGAGTAATATCTTTAAAAGAAGTGTTTGAATTTTTTGTGCAACTTTTGTTGTCATTTTTGAACAGTAAATCTTTAAATTAAATGATACATGGCTTAATCATTTTTGTTGGTAGAAGTGTGTGGGGGACTGGAGGGAACAGGGGATTTTATATTTGTTGAAGATATTGATTTCATATATCGGTTTACAAAACATTATTTTTCACATGCCATTGAATATTAAATCAGTTTTAAAATATTTAATATTTAAGTGAATTACGTATTTCGAAAGATGTTAAAATTAGAATGATTCAGAAACTTGAAATCTTTCTGTTGTTTTTTTATGCGCATTACCCCGGTAAGAACATTGATGTATCGGTTATTGTTAAAGATCCATTTTTTTTGTAACGTCATTATAATGATTGGGGGAGGTGTTAGGTTATAATTTATGAAGGCATTTGTCATTGAATAAAATGTAACAAGATTTTATCTATCAAACATGAATAAATAATGTAATAAACGTATGATGAATCATAACACTTTAACCTTTTCATTGACTTCTTCTTGACAGGTTAAACCACAAACCAAGATAATAATGTACTAGTATCTTTATGCTAAAAAGGGCATTTAAGTGTCAAGTGTGATTTTGTGTGTACATCCTTTCCAAAACACCATAACATCTGTAAAGAGATAATATATTAAGCGTAATAACCGATATATGTAATTTTGTAGTTTGTTCAAATAATGTATGATTGTGATAAGAAATTGACTTGGTTGATGATGACTGACAAAGTCGGGTTTTATTTTGAAGTGGTTTTATCTAAGATATGGTCTTTCATTGACACAATCTGACTAAAGTTCAGATCTTATGTTTACAAGTATGTAAAGTGTTAATTGATTATTAATAATAATCAGGTAGCTTTTCACATATTGTAGATATGCTATTTAAAAATATGGTGATAAAGATAATAACGTAATATTGATATAGAAATATTGTAACACAATAAGGTTTAAAATATTGCGGACAAAATTTTGATGGCCTGTCTGTGAGAAATAGATCTGATTAATGTATGTAATGTCAATAATTTCAACCCACCTAAACAAAACAAAAGAATTATACACTATCAACTTCCATTTATCATTTTGTGACACTGAAACCTTTTTTTTGCATTTAGGTTATGGACAAAACTATCATGAATAAATTCCAATTAAAAATAAAATCTGACAAATGAAAAATTCTGCCTCTATATTTGAATAGTTATGCTTTTGCCAGATTGACAGCTAATTATTTTAGCTTGAAATGACTTGCGGATTAAGAATGATGTTCATTCTAATATTTGAACGATTGTGTAGATAAAATTAACTCATTTGTTTCTTTAAAAATCATTTTTTAGGTTATATGTTACAAGAAAGTATCATCTTAAAATCATTGTTTAGGTTAGAATTATGTAATTGTTACCAGAAAATATCAGTATTTTAATCAAGGCATATCAGAACATTAGTCAAAATATGTGTTGTGCCAAAGCTAGATTATCAGAGATATTTTTGTTCTAAGAGGGGATATATTGCCCAAGCACAAAAAAGCATATCTCAACACGTAGTACAATAAATCGGACTTACCATTCTATATAAGGTAACTGAGGTCTTTTTTTGGGATACTAGGATTTAAATAGGTTAAATGATATGATACTAAATTTGATAATACAGGGTTTTCATTTTTTTGGAGGCCACATGCAGAATGCTACAATGTAACTAAAACAACCGATTTGGCCAGACGTCAAGGACGATTTTAATCTACAGGCTAAAAATAGAACAGATTTCAACAGTATTTTCACCGATGATATAGTTTGCCAATCTGTTATAATAATGAAATCCTTGAAGTACAAATTAATTTGGGGAATTTTATCAGGTGTTAGTCATATCAGAACACTTGTCTTAGGTAAAAAAAAAATCCTTAATATAGAACTATTTAAACAAGGTTATTGACATTTTAAAAACGTAGTTTGGTAGATTTAAATAATCTTGTGATGAGCTTTTGGTTTTCTTTAATTTTGATTAATAAGGGAATATACAGGTAATAGTTTATAATTAATTACTGTTATTTGACACAGTTTGATCATGTAAACAAACCTGACCAAGGGAAATTTTATTACCTGTTATTATCAGACCACTTTATGAGCCGGGAAAAAATACTGATTATGTAGATCAAGGTTGTTGAAAACGTAATTCATAGATTGATATATTGTGACCAGGGACTTACCCAGAATGATATAACTATAATAATGATATAATTTTGGGAATCTATAATTTGTATAATATTATGTAAGGTGTTATTATACTATAGTTTGTGTAAACAATGATTTATTACCTTTATATGACACGGTTGGGAGACATTTTATTTACGTGTTATCATTAACGTTTATTATCAATGTATTATTATGTACCGGTATTATTAATATAAATTATTAATATTTAGTCTGGAACTTCCAGACAATGTTGTATATAGGTAATAATGACAGATAATCAGGTGATGACTAACTGAACGTCTATGATGAATATGAATAATTATAATGATTTATGTATTGGTGGATAAAGAGGCTTTTAAAAATCTGGAAAAAGGGTTGAGCCCTCCTTGGATGAACAACAATATTACATGAAAATTAAGACTAAGTACTATGGTTTGATCAAGTCGGATCATGAGAGACACTTTAAAAGTGCAACTTCTCTCACGCTCCCAAGCACCGACTTAAGCGTATTAAATCTTCAATACTTAAACTTACTAGAATCAACCATTCCAAGGGACCAGAAAAATTATAAAAAGTTTAAAGTCTTGATTTTTCTTAACATGAATGTTGTCAAAAATATATTCAAATATTAGACAATCTTAAGGAATGCCATAAAGGTATTTGGATAAAGGTTGGACTGTTCATCCTGGTCCATCTTGAATTATGCCTTGTTAGCTTGATATTCTTTTCTATTACCAATCATAAAATTGAAGTACATGGCTTTTATATGTAATGTAATATGTAATAAAGTACTGCAAAATCATTATTATTCATGGGGATCTAATTTTCAGGGTTTTCATGGATAGGTCAATCCACGAATTAAAGATCCAACAAAATTTCATGTTGTCTGGTGCAAAATTTTTTACCTTTTGGAAAAAAAAACAGTCCATGAATTTAAGAACCGGTTCAACCCATTATATTCTTTATGACAAAACCACGAAATTTTATGCCCATGAATTTCAGTGATATCACAGTAGTTGTAAGGTACTTCTCATTACAGAAGATATAAATTGATAGAAATTGATTTGACTAATAATTATGTTCAAACATGTTCTATTTTCAGATCACAGAAAATAGATCAGACGTGACACAGGATCAGTTTAAAGATTTACTGTCAAATCTGTTGAGGAATGGCATAACAAGGGAGAGAATCATTGTACTTTTCTTCTTCTGCTCTGATGTTGCCATAGCAACTCTAAAACGGGGGTCATCGTTGAGCGTGGAGCTATGCCAACGGTTTATTCAGTGGTCCTTTGATTTTATTACAGAGAAAATTTGTTCTTGGGTACAGGCAAATGGAGGATGGGTAAGTTAAGTGATAAACATATGGCAAGATTTTGATTTCATCCAATACTGTAAGCATGACAATTATTAGTAGCAACTAAGCATAGAGTTTTGTCTTAAATAGTTGTAAAAATTAGAAAGTTTCTAGTTTTACATGATCTGCTCTGTACCTGGGGATATATCCTGAAAGGTTGTAGACTTCAGATAACATTTACCCAGGGATTTTTTCATGATTTAAATGGGAACATAACCCATACCCACAGAATTAGGAATTTCAACATTTTGATCAATATTATTGTTTGTGTTTTCTTAATTAAGCTAAAAAAAATTTATTTACTCGTAATTTATCTGTCAAAGATCGAGGAAAACCAAGCATTTAGATAAACTGGGATGTAAACCATTTTACTACACTGTATCTGTGAATAAGGGAAAGACCCTGTTTATAATATGTGTAATGAAATTTAAATTTGATTATATAGAGCCGTCTATACTGGCAATACTGCTTTACAGCAATTGAATATTTTTTACATTTATTTACTCATTCTTTCATTTCAGGGTGCAGTGTTTAGTTCGACTATGGTTATAGTTGGGAGAGCAGCTCTGATGGTCGGAGTGGGCATGATTTGTTACTATGGATACAAGAAATTTATCAAGAATTGATGCCCGGCCGTGTTATGTAAAATGTGATTGCAACTGAATGGAAATTTACTTTCGAAAGCACATTATCAGGGAATTGCAATTGAATGGAAATTTGACTACTTTTAACAGCGCATTGAATCAAAACAGGATTGACATACATGTACCGGTAACATCCATTTTATGACAATGTATAAATGGAAATGCAATATCCATTATTTAAAAATGTGCGACTGGGATACGCAACATTCATTAAATGAAACTATGTGTAAGTGGCAACATTTGGAAACATGTACAACTGATATGTATATGCTAAAGGTATATAAGCGTGTTTGAACTTATGCAGATATAATCTGTGTTACACATGGTAATGAATATGCAGGAATAACTGAACCCCAGTCAAAATGATTGTTTCAAGGAAACTCTTTTTGAATCAATTTAAAATCGATGATTAATTTAAAGTGAAATTAACCCCCAGTTGTACTATTTATGTAGCTTGAAACACTTAATAAATTATTTACAGAAAATTTAATTGTGATATATAAGAAACAAGCCTCTTATTAGAATCCGAATTTTTGAGAATACACACGAGGCTAAATTTTTGCAAATTTCATGAAATAATGCAAAAAAAACTAAATAAAAACAACAAAACAATTTTGTATTGGCATTTGTATATTAGGCAAAAGTAACAATTATCAATTAATGTTCTTATTATAATGAGAAAAAATTTTTTTAAGTAGCTGCATATAAAATGAAAAGATACCCACTCCCCCCCCTTGGGTGGGGGGCAATTGAATTTTTGACAGTTTTTTATAGTTTGTAGGGTTTTATTTCCCCTTTTTTCCCCCTTCAAAAATATGTAATTTTAAAATTAGAATTTTTAAAAATGTATTATTGGTTAAGTACACCACAAATTTCAAAAAGAAGAAGCATAAACTGCCCAACTAACCATCAACGCCCCACAAAGACAAACACAAAAAGAAAGTTTTTAAAATAGACAACAGAAAATAAGAATACAAAAACAGTTACCTATTTGAATAGCTTTAAATATAAATGATTTCACACAATTACCACCCATCGTGCGTGAGGGTACCTGAAATGAGTTCAGACAAAGGCCTGGCATCGCAGATCTTGATTAAGGAATCCATTTTTGACTATCTGTTTGATTTTATTTGAAAGTGGTATGTTAACAGGCGAACATGCAGAAAGGAAATCCTTGATTATTGATTAGCCGTTTTGCAGGACTGTTGATCTTTTGTTGGTTGCTTAACCATTAAATTACTTTGGGTTGGAGTCAGTGCACAGCTAAATATGTAAGAAGAGAAGTAACTGGAAAATTTTTTTTAATTAAATTCCTAGTTGTCTTTGTTTTGAATTAACTGATGGATACAATTTGTCCTTCTGAATTTTTCTTATAGTTTTTGGCTGTAAATGGGAAATTTGTAATATGATATTCATGTATAGTTTGAAAACTTTATCAGCAAAACAATAACTTACATAAAAGCTATGCAAACCTTCATGTGAAAAAAAAATAACAGCATTAAAAGTACCTTTATAAGTAGATTGGTTAATGAATGGAGAAAAATTTGAATTTGTCATAATGCACTAATGGACCATGGGTGTACATGTAAAAATCACCCCAAAGTTTGTGATACACATAAAATTTTTTGGTTTTTATTGTTTTTATGATCTCAGCGACTCTATGTTGTGTTCGTGCTGTGAATTATTTTGTCGTAAGTAGAGGAAGAAAGGGAGACAGTTCTTGAGATTTTTCGTATTACTTCCTCCCTCCACCCTCAAAAATCCTTGTGCTATTTATTTCTTTGTATTTAATTTATAATTAGGAAAAGGTGCAATTATATACATATACATTGTGTTATCATTACGAAATTCATAAAGTACTGTATTTCTTCATATACATAAAAAATGTTTTGTTTTAACTCTATTGACGATAACACAAGAACACTGAATAGGTGTGTAACAGTGTATTAGATTTATTACGGTAAGAAATTTATATAATGACTGTAGACAAAATTAGTCTCACATAATTACAGTAAATTGATGGTTTTCCATCACCTCATTCAAGAAAAATGTATAGTAAACTCCACTTTTAATGATATCGATTATGACAATATCGCTTATAATGATATACCACGTATAACAATGCTGTTGTCACAGTCTTGTTCTTGTTTTCAAATTGGTTGACTCTTGAATATAACAGTATTAATTTGTCAGTCCCCTGAATATCTTTATTAGCAGAGTTTACTGTATGTATTTTTCATGAATGGTGCACATATTTTGGGTACAGTTATATATCTAGTCAGATAAATGTAACTAATTTTTATTTACATGTATATTGATTTTACAGTACTGGAACTTTCCTAGTTTTACTCCTAAAAGACAATCACATTGTAATTGCCAGTTATTAGAACTTCATCATTGCCAATTATGAGAACTTTATCATTGTCGATTATGAGAACTTCATCAATGCTAATTATGAGAACTTCATCATTGCTAATTATGAGAACTTCATCATTGCCAATTATGAGAACTTCATCATTGCTAATTATGAGAACTTCATCATTGCCAATTATGGGAACTTCATCATTGCCAATTATGAGAACTTCACTTCATCTTAAGTTGCCATACTTCACATGTAGGTAGAATAAAAGTCAAAAGAGAGAATATTAAAATTGTTCACTCTTTATCTTTTTGAACTTGTTCATAAGTCTAGGCTTAACAGATGATTCCATGATGATTAAGTACAAGGCACACATGTTTTGCTGTAAAATTTGTAATTTAAGTGCACTTATGTTGTAAGTCGAACATTATCAAAATGTCATCATATTTTTCTACTTCATTTGTAAGAATCATGCATATACTCGTAATAATCGAACGTGCTTCACATTGCATTCATTACATTTATCTTAGCTAGCTGTCTCTATAAATCTTTACATCATTTTGCTTAATTTATATTTACATATAAATGTTTATGATAAGACTCTTTTTTTTCAGACAGAAACTAGATTGTATTGATAGTTTCTGATCAACAACCCTGCTAGTTAGCTTTAAAAAAAAAGACATTAAGTCTTTGAAACTTGGTTTCTTTTACAATTTGGGAAATGAAAATATGTCAAAAACTGTTAGTCCCCACTACTGATGTTTTTTATTGAAATGAAAAAGTTGGCAGTTGCATGTGGTAGAGCTGGTATTGAAAAACTAGAACTACTCATTTAGAAATTGTTTATGTCATAACTCCCTGCCATCTGCAGTGTCTAATTCTAATGATGTATTTATAGACATTTTACAAAATATTTCTTTATGTTCCATTTAAGTACATTTGACATGTTAAACAAAATAAAAAAAAATTTATACCACATTTCATAAAATGATCTCATTTACAAACTTCGCTCATGGACAGAATCGAGCTCAAAACAGATTTTGTCCTTAAACAAATCCTTGTATACCTTTATTTATTTATTTTTTTCATTTTATGTGTTCATAACTTTATTGTTCACTAGAGTTGTGCTGTTTGTGTGGCCTTTTTGTAATGAATTGGCCAATTTTTTGCTCCCTGTTATTATAATACATACTACATTTAAATTTCCACTGAGTTTTTTTTTGACATGTCAGGAACTAATTTTTCATTTGATAATGATTAACTTTTGTGCATAACTTTAGATCATTTGCTCACCCCTTTTTTTACGGAATAATTATTGTGACTGTGAAAAATGTCTCAAAATTGAAGTGCTCCAACATCCAGTTTACCCTAGGTTTAGCTGTGCTCAAGGAAGATTTTTTTTTAAATTGCATAAAATGCTTTTTTGGGGCCCAAACTTCATGAACTTTTCAACGTATTTATTTTCATGTAACACATTATGCTACAGTAATTTCAAATCAACTTGTCCCTTATATGACATGATACAGATACGCTCCGAGGTTAGTGTGTAAATAGTGCTGATTTATATTAAACATTCTTCCAAAGAAGTTAATTTTTTGTACATAATTATTTTATAATTACCATTTTGCTTGTTATATACTTTGTTTTGTGAGTTATTTGTATCAGTCTATTTTGTTTTTGTTCTTCTATGTTATTTAACTTGTTTGATATGTTTGGAAGATACAGCAAATAAAAGAAATTGAATCATTTTCAGCTGTGTTATTTTACCTTAATTCAGGGGTTTTTTATTCCCAGTGTTTTGTGAATGGGTTCAGGGCTCTTTCAATTGTGAAAATAAGAGCCCTAGCACCATTATTTATGAAGAAAGTTCTAAATCATACTGTGAATATTTAGCTACCAAATGTGGAAAAAGTTTAACCCTTTCCCCCATGAGCATATTATGAAAAATGGCCGTTTTCACTGAAAAGCCTCCTGTTACAAGTTCAAACTGCTATGAAACTATGAAAAATGCTTCAATACTAATCAAACTTGGCACAAATGTTGACTGGACCATTGCCTTTGTAACAACATGCTCAGTCTTAAATTTCCTGTTACCATGGCAACGAGGGGACATCTCAAAATTGCCAAAAATCACTATTTTGCCTCGATTTTTTCCATCAAAATTTATTTCAAAGTGCTGCAACTTCTCAAGGGATTGAGATAGAGTCAAAGGCTTTTCAGCGTTGGTTACACATTACATTATGATCGACCTGATCACAAGTCCAAAATTTTCTTGGTTCTTTTGGATGGGGGGCAGCGCCGAAAAAGTGCTCAATTTTTTTAGCAACATTTCTCAAACGAAAACGTGTTTGGGGCCCAAATAGGACATTTTTTCACTATTTCAGGCCTAAAAAAGGGGGGGGGGGGGTCGAAAGTGCGTTGTTTCGCGTATATATGAGGTAAAGGGTTAAATCGTGTTTGAAAATGCCTTGATTAATTATTGACACCTTATTGCATAAAGTCCCATAGTTTAATGTCTCTTTTTTCATGTTTTTAAGTCAACTATGATTTTGTAAGTAACTACATTTTTACAATTGTGAATTTTCATTAAACAATGGTGAAAAAAAAGATACTTTTTTGCCTTGTGAATGGGGCCTTATTTCAGCCCCAAAACTGCATGGTGTAAAAAACTGTTTATACTGGGGAAGCTGTGTCCTAACAATTATTGTTGTAACTTAGCAATCCACATTGAATTCATTTTGGCAATGAAACCATGTACCATATTAAAGTTGTTGAAGTGTACAGGAAATTCAGCTTTAAAATTTTCAAACAATAGATGCTATCCAGAACTCAGCAAAATAATGTGGAGTTTTTCCCCCATCTAATCCTGGGGTACAAACAAACTTTTCCTGTTATAGCTTCACAATGAATTATTTTTCACAACAGTGTGATCCAAGCGTTGCCCTTATTTACAATATATATGTGTTTACCAAGTTGTAGCTGACAAGGTTTGTTTATACCCTGGGATTACATAGGGAAAAAACCTACATTTTCAGAGGTAACATCAAAGACACTGACATCTAGAATGTTATCAAAAGAGTTTGATGACTATCCATCTATTCATAAGTTCACAAAATGAAGTCATTGGTATTTATTGATGAAATAATCTAAATCAATCAAATATTAATAAATTAATCAAATATCGACACAGTAAACTTTTTTTTCCTTCAGTTTTATTAATTGAAATTTCAGCAACATATTGTAACAATATCAAATTTAATGATTTTAATCAAATTAACAAATATTTCAACATTCAAGTAAAAAAATGGAAAACAAAAACGGTCATCAATTTAAATGTTTGAAGGAAACATAATCTACATATGTGAAGAAAAATACTAAAAAAATCTTTATCTTTCATGATTTCTTGTCTTTGAGTGCTTAATACATGTAGTTATATTAAGAAAATATATATTTGCAAATGCAAATACTCCAAAAAGATTTAGTTCTTAAATGACAACACATTTAATCAAATGAATTGGCCTTATTAGTTAATAAAACCTTTAATGGTTAAAGATCTGTGATCTTATGATCGCTACCCGCATGGGTTCAAACCCTGACAGGGGCAAGTCGTTGTTTCCTTGAGCAAGAAACTTTACACTCATTGCTCAGTACTGGTTGGTTCCAGGAACGGATTCGAAAGTGTGTTTATAAGCTAATAGCTTCCTACACAATCGAACTAAAATAAATTCTGTATAAACCAAAGATCTGTGATATTTCAGTTTGGGCCTTGGCCTTGATGTAATATATAAGTCTACATTAGCCACGTGTAAGTAACCTGTGGGCCATGACCAATTTTGACCCTGGTGGATAATAAATGTAGCTTTTGACAAAGACACAAAGTGATGCTACATGCAAAATATTTAAGCTTTAAGCAATGTAGTTTCTGAGAAAAGATTTCATTTTAAAAGTCTATTTTTAGCTCTTTTGACCCGATTATGCATCAGATTGGAACCATTTTGTAACTGCCACCTTAGGGTCATTCCTGTGAAGTTTGGTCAAAATCCATCAAGTGTCTAATGAAAGTATGGAGTACAATGAACTACAAAAGCATACACATGGCCATCACAAAAACTGATGGCTGAGCACTTTGTAATCCAGTGTGCCAGAAATGGATAAGACAGTTACAGAAATTTCCAAGATAATGTACTTTACATTTATAAGTTAATAAAGAACAGTATGATGTTATCATTGAAGTCATGGGTTCTCCTTTGCTAATATCTTTAAATATATAGAACTGGTATCTCATTCAGATTTAAACAGTATGATATGACATATCTTATTTGATATTTTTCAATATCTCATTTAAAAGAAGAAAAGCTTTTGTTGTTGTTTTTCCCCCTTATACATGTGTATATGACTTTTTCACCAATGTTGTATATTTCACTCTCTTAATTAACAAATCGTAGTTTGCACAGCACCTGCCTTACAAGATATTAACATGAATTCAATTTAATTTTTTCATGAAAGTATTAAAATTGTTTTAAATAAAGAAAACATCGTTGAAAAAACAAGACATTGTACAAACAATGCATGTATGGCTTACATAACCAAATAAAATTCCATACAAGTTACCTTAAATGTATCAAAATGTGCTGACTAGTTCTTAATTCATAAATAATGGGGTAGAAATATTGAGATAAAATTCCAGCAATATTTGGTATAACCTTACATGTATTGTTCATAATAATTAATACACCAAGACATTTCTTCATCGCTAAATATATTTTCCTAAAGTTTAATTCAAAATTTTTAATCTGTGTTTCCCATCTGGTGGCCAGAAACAATAGCCATTCAATACATTCCATCTCCTGAAATTTTCTAATTTAAATCTCCAAATTGATATGAAATCACTCAAGTTCCTGTAGTCTCTGATGGCTTAGGTTTCTGTAATATCTTAGTAAATCTTTTAGTTTCCCCTCGATTATCAGTATAAACAGTCGTCTCGGCAACCTTTGCTTCTATAAAAGCCTTAGCAGTCTCTGGAGTAAGCTTAAAAACTTTCATCTCTTTTGTAGAAACAGTATTCGAATTAGAAAACTTCTCAATAGCATTTAAAGCAGACATGTTCGCAATTTCTTCCTCTTTCTTTTTCATCTGTCTCTTTGCCTTTTTATCAGCCTCTTTAGCCTTCTTTTCCATTACTTTGGCTTCCTTTTCTTGCTCTTTTTTCACCTCTCTTTGTTTCATTACAATGTCAGCCTCTTCTGCTGAAAGTTCGATCACTTTAATATCTTGATATGAAATAATTTCCTCGCACTGGAACTGTTTCGCGTCAATTTCAAACGTCAAATCTTCCTTTATACATGACACGCCTACTTCATTTGCATGACATAATTTGATATGCCGTGTAACTTTATTTGCGTTATTTGCACGATACTCGCAAGAACTACATTTATATGGTCGTATACCATTATGCGACATTATGTGTAACTTTAAACTATGCGAGTGTCCAGTTCTGTACTCACACTGATTACACGCATATTGTTTTTGTTTCATATGTGTATGTCTAACGTGTTTAACAACATCACTATGAAACAAAGAGAGATAATCGCAATCAGGACATTTGAACTTCTTCTCTTTCAAATGGTTTAACTGCATATGATGCTTTAAACTTGACTTCTGAAAAAGAAATTAAGCTGTACCTTTAACATATATTTCAAGGAATATTAAAAATATGTTTGGTTTATTTTGTACATGCATATCTCAATAATAAAATAGGCTAATAGAGACTACAAATTACATGAATATCTGAGACTATGTTCAAGGACTTTATAAAAAGACTGTCCCACTCTTTTAAAGAATTGAACATTACAGGTAAATTTATCATTCATGCAAAGTAAATACTAAAAATGAAAGAAATTATGGCAAAATGTGAACTTATTTGACTCTCACTATAAACCCTTGGACGGATATACAATGTTATGTCATTTTTTGTTTAGCAAGTTATAACTCTTTGTATCCAGTAAATGTCATTGCTTATCATTGTGAATAATTTGAAGTGTCATTTTTACTGTTTACATTTCTATTTCCTTCAAAATTAACAACAATTTTCATTATTTCTTACTGAAATTTTTTGTAGTTTGCATGAAAGTATCAAAGATTTAACACTTGTGTTTTTTACTTGAATTTTGTGACTTCATTTAAAGTATTAAAACCCAGCTTAAAAGACTGAGTATCATCAAATTTATATAATTTCCTAATCTCAGAGCAAACTTACCTGTAACCTAAGAAGCCAAATTTAATGATAAGAAAGTTACAGGGATTTGACTTTACAAACTAGTTTTAATTAGTAAGAAGAATGCCTTACATTGGGTGTTGCATATGAACACTGTTCGCATTTATGTTTCTTTATCGCCAGATGAACGTGCTTGTAATGGGCTCCAACGTTACTCTTGTACTGTGTTTTAAATTGACAGCCTGTCACATCACAAAGGAAATATCCATCTGAAATGCAGTTAAAGAATAAATATTTTTAAATATTTTGTTTCTTTTTTTTGTTTTTTTTGTTAAAATGTTTGTGTTTACAGCGCACTAAAACAGTTTAGGTCATATGGTGCTGAAACAGGAATGAAGATTACTTTAAATATAACCTAACTTTATATGTACTACACATGCATGAGAAGTGTTTTTAGAAGTAACTTTAAAGGAGGAAGAGACAAAGAAGTCAATATGAGTACACAGGACCTTGAAATTTTATCTTAGTATTTACAGTAATTGTTGGAAGTTTATGTTTACAAGAGCTACCAGCAGAAAAGTGCACTCAACTATTTACAATACTTGACAGTACAACAAAAAGTGTGTGTTAAATGTAGGATTTTCTAATGTAAAAATTTCTTAAGTTTAAAGACAGAATAATTCAATAAAGGTTTATGTTAGAGTCATTGATCTTAAAAAGTGGCCTTCATTTATCATCATAAAGACATGTATGAAGGTTCAAAAAAAATTTCAGTGGTTCTCACATTAAATCTTGCACCTAGACAAAGGTCAATTTAGGTATTTCCGAAACAGGTTTAGTCAAAGTCTATGCCAGGGTGATGGGTTTAACCGTCTTGAACAAAACCAATAAATGTGATCTTTTAGACAAAGGTATTGTTTCAAGTTCAAATATTCAATGAGTAAGTAGTAACTGCATAACCTTTAGCAACAGTCATATCAGCACAACAAGTAAGAAAGACCCAATACTCTTTGATTTACTATAGCTGTAAAACAATACAATATATAAGACAACATATACATACCTCGTTCTTTTACTTGTTTCTTGTATCTTTTACCTTCTACCACTTTGCTCAGGGGGTAACAACCAGTTTGTCCTTTCTTTACTTCGACATTTTTATTCTGATCCGCATCAGAAATGCAGGTACTTGACAACACATCCTCTCCATGATTTGTTGATCCAACAAAAGCATCAGGGTCGTTCTCATTTTCCCCTACCTTGTTACCAGTTGACAGATGTTCAGTAGTCAAAACATCTTCATTATATGACTGTCTTAACATTTCATCTGCATTCTGGATGCTAATTATAACTGGTTCATTCATACCACTTGTGTCGTCTAATTCTGCCTCATTGCACTCATTTTCATTGACACTGATTAAAATTGGCACATTGCAACCATTAACACTGGCATCGTCTTCTCCAGATACATTTTTATAAATTTCTGTAGTTCTGTCTTTTATCAAAACATTCATGCTGTCATTTTTAACTTGTACAATTTCACTGTAATTATTACTGTCAACTGTTTCTGGTACATTTCCTTTACCATTACTAAAGTCATCAGTTAAAGCATTATCAGAATCATTTGAACAGGTATTTAGTGATTCTGATGAAATACCCTTATCAATGAGACTTAACTCCTGACATTGTGGTATCCCAGTCATGTTGTCATTACAAAAGTTTGGTTGAATTGTACTAACATTTAAAGCATTTTCTATTTGTGTGTCTTCAACAGTATCTGTTGAATTTACAATCACAGAACCATTTGTTAATGCTTCTATTTCAAAACCATTGTCTTGGTCATTCAGAATCTCACATGGCTTATTTATTGATCTATTACAGATATTATTCAAATCTGTAAAATTTACACCTAAATCATCCTTCTTATCTATCACAACACTAGGATCTCCTGTAGTTTGAGCTGAAAGCTCACTAGTTGTACCAGTGTGTTTGTCATTTGCAGATTTTATATTTTCAAGCATGCTTGGTTGCTGGATACTCTGACAGCTTTCAAAATTGTCACTGCTGACAAAGTCAACAAGCTTTTCTAAATATGATCCAACAACTGAATCAGTAACATTCTGATTTAATTTTTCAACTTTGTCCGACTGTTCAATTATAACAACATTTTCAGTTTGGCTTTCACCTAAAGATTCAAATGGATTTACCACTGGAATTGGACATGGATTTTCTATAGTGTCCATATGTTTATTATTATTTGTATTTAACTTTATGTCACTACCTTTTGTTTCTTTCATACCTTGACCATTCCAAAATACTTCAGAAATCATGTCTGACTCTATAATATTATCACAGATCGTATTAGTAATCACTATATCATGTTCATTAGAAACTTGGGGATTTTCAACACTTGGTCCAACTAAAATCTGAGGATTTTCAATACTTGGTGAAACCAAAACTTGTGGATTTTCAACACTTGATTCAACTAAAACTTGAAGATTTTCAAATATGCTATTACTTGTGCTTTTCAGATCAATTAAATCATTACTTATGGAGCATTCAACAAGTTTCTTTTCACTTGCTTTACCTTCAGTTCTAAAAGTTTTATTATCAATTTCCATACTGTCACTTGTTAAGGTGTTATCATTTGCTAGAAATGTTTCTTCAATGACAGTAGTGTCTGTTCCAGACTGACATGACATTTTACATGTCTTTCCATCCTCATGTAACTTTTCAAAAACTTTATTTGTAACTTCAGCATCTTGACTTCTATTGCTTTCAACTGTTTTGCTAATTTCATGAATGAATTCCACAAAAAGTATTTTCCTCTTGAAACAATGATACTGTGGTTAGTGTACTGAAAGGCTTGATTTCTTCTGAAAGACTTTGTGTTGTATCTGTAATGTCTTGTTCTACAGAATTTATATTAAGCAAACCTAACCCTGACTTTTCGTAGGCAATATCAATGTCTGATCTTTGTACATTATTAGCTTCATTTTTATCAACTAAAACAGTCCTACTTGTGTAATCAGAAGAAATTTCATCTTTATCTAAAATACATTTATCAAATTCACTACTAATATTTTCAATAGCTTTAACAGCCATTTCTGTTTCTTGACTTAAGTCTGGATTTAAAAATAGTGAAGAGCTGGGTTGACTCAAAAGTGAAACTCTATTTTTTTCAGTTTTTGGTACCTGAGTCAATGATGCCACTGTCATTTTTACAGGTACGTAAGGTAAAGTATCTGTTGAAGAAGCATTTACTTCTTTTGAGGCTTCACTATTAGCAATACTTTCACAATAATTTGGTTCACTGTTTTCTGAAACAAATGGAATTGACAAAGATGTGGTAAATGTGTTACTCATATCAGCTTCAAACAGTTTAGATACCGCAAGTTCATCTACCACAGCTACTTCAGGAATTTTCTCAAGATGACATGAAGCGTTTGAATGATAAACCATTCCTTGCTCACTAACCTCTGAATTCTTTTCAGTAACTTTTTGCTGGTCTGTCAACAGTTTCGGCATTCCTGACACTTGACTGGATTGATTAGTTTTTTCTTCAAGCAATTCCGTCTCTGATTGTTTTATGTGTTTGGTACGATGATTATTTAATTCAATAACACTCCGGCATTTGAAATCACATTCCTGACATTTCAAATGCAAGACAGATTTAAGTCTCCTTGTTTTATGCTGTTCATCAAAGAGAACTCTCGAGTTTGATTTAATAGGATGGAATTTATCATCCCTCTCTACCGAATGTTCTCGAAACAATCCGGTACTACCAAACACTTGCGAATCATTGACATACACAACTGGTTCATCACAAGACAATGACCTTTTCTTTTTCACAAAAATACACCCACTCTGACCAAGCACAGCTTTCATTTTATCTTTTTGCTCCTCTGTTAGATGAGTCAACTTTTCCCTAACATTTAAATGTTTTTCTGGTTTGAAGTCGTATGACTTTCTATTCATTTTCATCAATTTACTTTCACTTTTGTTTCCTTTCGGGGAATCAGATCTTCTCTTTCTGCACTTTTTTATGTCTGTAGTCTCAAAAACAGATTTTCTATCTTTTTCTTGAAAAGTTACTGGTCTAGTGCCTGTCAAATCAGGATGTTTAACAAATACTTCCTTGATCTCAGGATATAAAAAACTATTTCTGTTCTGAGGCGGAATATTTTCATACCTTCGCTCAATGTCACTCTTACTTTTTTTCAGTCTCAGTTTTTTCTTTTTCTTTACTCTTGAGAATGCTGATAAGCCCTCTGATCCCCCATGATCACTTAAAGTACAGAGTCTTGTCACAGCCTCTGACCTTATACTGCTAGGCTCATCACATGTAATGTTATCTTCGCTATAAATGTCTTGGTCTTTCTCATATGTCTTTTCTTTAACATTAATAGGAGCGTAATTGATCAAGTTAGGATTGGTTATAAAATCTAAAGTAGCAAGGTCAAGATAATCTAGTTGTGTCGGCTCGTCCAGAGTGCTTGGAAAATTAAAATAGTTTCCATCTTGTAATGGTAAGGCAGGGCTTGACTGCAAATCCTCACAACTTCGAGTTATCTGTGACTTCTGTAAGCCAAAAGTTGGTCTTTCTGTAGTTTTTAAAGCAGCATTGATCAGGAAAGGATCTTTAGCATTGTTGATTTGGGATAAACCTAGATTCTGACCAACAAAAGGATCCTTTTTTGCTAAATCCAGATATTGCAGTGTTGGGAATTCTTCAATGTTTGTTGGTAATGTTTGTTGGTTTTCCTCCTGAGGAAGTGGAATGCTACTGAACAAATCTGTTGACAATCCACAAGAAAATGGTAAAGATGGATTAGAAGAATACATAAAACTACCAGAACTATACCCAAGTTGTCCATCTTGTAATAGTCCTGAACCTCTCTCAAACGGTGAATGTAATCTTGACTTAGATCCTTCTCCAAATAAATGTAAATGTTTATCTATTGGTGACAATAGTTGGGGAAAACTTTGACTGCTTGAAAATGATGATTCAACTTTATTCCTTCCACTACTCAAACTTGGTATATCATCATGCTTTAAGTACTCAATGTTTTTATTAATTATGCTCTGAATACGATCCTCAGAAATTGGATCTACTTCTTTACTGGGATCAACATAAGTACTGCCGGTAACTTTTTCAGCCTCTTCTTCAAGAGTGTTAATATTTGATTCAATTAGGAAGTTTGTGTCTTCAGCATCACTTTGGTTAGGTTGAAACGTGCTGGCTGATTTGAGAAAAATTGAAGGATCAAATATGTCGGGTACTCTAATCTTGACAAAATGATTGATGAAACTGTCATCTTTTGAAAACAGAAATGGAGTGTCACATCCATCAAACAGAAAGTCATCAGGTTGGAAAAGCTGAAATAATAAATAAAACAAGGACTGTCAGTAAGAAAATGTGCTTGACTATTTTCAGTGCCTGACTGTAAAGAACAGGGGCAAAACTCTGTAAATGCATAACATGCTAGATCAGAGAACAAGTATGTTAAGTTTCAACCAATTCAGTAGTTTTAGAGATATGAATATGCACACTAATACATGTACTTAGAAAAGTGTGACTCTAGCTCCCTCTCATTTGATAGTCAAGCCAAATATTAAAATGACAATCAATGTAGTAGTAACAAAGTCATTCAAAATTAATCTTTTTTATCCTTTTTTCATATTCACCTAATGACCTACTTTTTTATTATTAATACTTTTTCAAAACAATTCTTACTGCCTCTCAAAAAACAAGCATAATTCTTGTAAATTCTACAAGTTTTCGTCAGAAAGAAAGACAACTTCAATTTAAACACATATCATACACAATGATGCCATCAATGCTCTTTATACAATAAATACCAGTCATACAAATCAATACAGACTCGATTTTCTTAGATTAAAGCAAGCATATATTTAAAATATAGTACCTGTAGGAAAACTTTTCTTTCACATGCAAAGTAAGCACAAGATGATTCCATTGGGTTTCCCATACAGTTCATCTGATGCTTCACCTTGTCATCAGATGCAGAAAAAAGACCTTTACATCTGTGACAGCAGTATAAACTGGATTCTGTAACAAAATAATAATAATAATAATAAAACATAAAAAGCCCTTAGCCTGCTAGCAGTAACTGAATCAACCCATGCAACCAATGCAGACAAGACTGTAACTTTGCATGTGACACACCACCTCACAATGGTGAATATTTGTGTCCCGTTATATTAAAATCCCTCTGAACATGAATCTATGTTTTGCTCCAAACAAGTGTTTTCCTATCATCTCTTATGTGTGACTTTTACCTTTGACCTAGAGACTTGCTTCATCATCCATGTGTGCAACATACATCTCATGGTCATAAACATTGTATTAAGTAATACTTTAATCACTTCATACACTCAAGACAAAACCTAAGCTACATGGACACTGTTTGCAGCAATATAACTTGCTTTACATCAAGACTGAATTTGTGGTAACCATGCAAAATGTGCAGGTTTCATTTGTCTGATACTGTAATTAATTGAAACTGTTAGTGTTTTTAGAACTGTACAACTTTGCTTCAATAACTGAATTCTAATCTGCAGAGTGCATATTTTGACAGGACCACATTCGCAACTGTTGCTAGAATTCTTTATCTACGATGTAGCTTGATCCGCTGTGCTGCTGTCCTTTGAACTTTGATAATATAAAAAGTCCAATTACCATCAAGTCTATTCTTTTGGCAATGTTTTAAAAACAAGTTAAATGATCAAGACAGATGCCCCATTTGTGTTAAAATGTTGAAAGTTTTGTTTCGACAGTTTACCAGGGGTGTTCAAGCAGGGGGATAGGATCTGACCACAATGAGTCTGTGATATTTATTCGAAAGACATGCCTGATTGGAACTATATATTCAAACTGAGGTCAAACTGATGTCTTATGAGCTATGGATTCTTAATGGGATGAGATTTGACATAAATTATGTTTCTGATTTAAAGAAACTTAAAATTTTGTTTGTTCTCTAGTTTATATTGGCATCCATATTTTACCCCTATATCTTACAACCAAATAAAGGCTGTTTCCCAGAGCCTAAAATTGGTATATTTCCACTTATAAATGCTGTATTTCCCTCTGAAATGCCCTGTGTCCAGTCTTCACTATCAGGTAATTCATTAAGATTTAATTGACTGCTATTTACAATTCATGTCACTGCCTCTGTCTCTGGCATCCCAAAAGTTCATGAAATGTTGTCCGAGACAAAGGGGGCCCACACAGTGTTTGGTTCTCGTTATAAACAAAGTTCCTACCAAACCAATGAAAGGTCTCGATACACCGTGACCAGAGTTTCCAAAATGTCTTCTCTGCACTGATTTAAAGAGTAGGCCCTAACACTCATTGGGCCCCCTGTGGTCCGAGACATCCATGCCACGGTATTTTACAGATAGAAATACTTTCGATAAAATCTAGAGCTAGTAAATAAGCATTGCTTTGTTTTACCTAAAAGGTTTGCGCTTTCCATAATTATTTACGATTATTTTCACATAATTCTTATTCCTAGCATAAACATTTTCATCATCGTCAATTGAACGCTTTAGTTCAGACAAAAAGCTTGCCTGTAATACAGACTTATTTGTAACCTAGATTTTCATTGAACAATAAATTTGCAATCAACCAATCAAACTTTCTGTTATATTTAAGAGTCTGGCTAGCCTTACAAGATGGCGCAGGAAAATGAAAGTGTGCTGTTTCAGCGTGGAAAGGTGAGAAAGTTGTATTATAATCGAATTCAAGTTAAAGTTATATGGATTATTTAGCGGTATTATTTAATGCAATTTATCATGAACATGTCAAAAATAAATTTATTGGGTTATTTCCATGTTAACATGTCAAGTAGATTTTATTACGTTGATAAACGTTTTTACTTTTACATTTTAAACTGATAATTGTAAACATTCTGTAGTAGCCCCCAGCAATAAAATGTAGGAGCATAAAGTATTTTCCCTGTGTGTAAGTATGCAGGAATAATCCAGATCTATCCAAGTCTTCAGTCTAGAGGTGCACCTTGGGGGCAGCACGAAATACCCAAATATTGCCCAAATTTACCCAAATATCTCTCAAATGTACTAAAAATAAATGTTTTATACTAAAAAATGCTGTTTTTAATTATGAATAACAATATACGCTTTCACAAATATTGATCAAACATACCCAAATATACATTTTTCTATCATTGTGTATACCCAAATACAGTAGATCTACACTCCATTGAAGCTATTCACGAATTCGAAAACCTAGCTAAACGCCGTTTTCCGGTACATTCTGTACATAGCTCTGGGGAATTCACCTAGTGGAGTGTAATAGCGAACTCGATGTTTTTCAGCCTTTTTTTAAATTAAATTAAAATAAAACTGTTTTTTCTTTATAAGAAAATTATTAAATATCATTGTATGAATAATTCCATACAAAAAATAAAGTAAATACACAAGTTTACGCAGAAAATAACCTTATTTATTATGGAAGATTCCACTACGTCTGTTTTAATTTTATTGATTTTCATTATAAACAATTTATTTTTTGAAAAATTTGCAATAGATATTAAAGGAATATTGATAATTTTCAAATACATCAATTTTTTTCACCTTAAACGGTAAAATAATGATAGAAAAATAGAAATATCATGTAACTGTGTTATGTACTTCATTTGGTGTAATTCCCCAGAGCTAAATCCGTAACGTACCGGAAAACGGTGTTTAGCTAGGTTTTCGAAAAGGTCAATACATTAAATTTTCTAAAAAAATAATATGATGGACACTTGTATGAAATTTAAACAATATTATACCCTAAAAATTTAAATGTAGACAAATATTATCATATCTTTATTTTAATTTGCAAGTATTACTGTATTCAGTAATGAACCTAGATAAGCAAATGTCACAAGTTTATTTTCTTACAACATCTGAACTGCCCATTTTAACGGAATGAATGAAAGTTATAGCTGAATAAGTCATGTTATTTTATTAATATTAATTCATTTTCTCATTATAATCTGTATTTTATACAAACAAAAATGAATATTGCTATATTTGGGTATATTTTGGTGTATTTGGGTCAGTGTTCCCATTTACGCACATATGTGCGTATTTTACGCATAAATGCCAATATTCACATACAGAAATTTAGGCAAGAGGGTAAAAATACGCACAGAGAGTCGGAAACTTAATCATGTATAATTCAAAAATCATTCTTTTGAGCAATTTCTCAAACAAAAATCACTTAAAGTGCATTGAAATTGATGAAATGTGAGAAAATCTCCCAATTCACAATGAAGTTTACAGACCCCCCACTGGGAATTATTGCCGTAAATTACAAATTTGAATTTTTTGTTTTACGATGCCTGTAAGAATAGCCGATGAAAAACAATCTTGAAATATTAAAAAAATATTAATTCTAATATAATTATAATCAGCAACAACTGGAATTGTGAATGTTTCTGCAGAAAACAGACAAATTTTCATTTGTCACATATTTTCGCGATGCCGATTTTGTTAATTAAAAACATCACCAAAAAGGAAGCTTTGTTTTGTTCAAAGGTGTGTAGTAACAATTTATATGCTGTTTATGAATTAAAATAACTTAAATAATGGTTACATTAATTGAGATGGAGATATATGCCAGTATGTGTTGGTCACAATGAATTTTACCTAAAGGGGGGGGGGGGGAGGTGTGGAGTGAATCTTGAAGAAAACAGCATAATTGTCTGATGTATGGTTTTTGAATTATTCTTTAATTGCATATAATTATTGTACAAATTTATGTACCCCCTGGATATCTATTTTACCCCCAGTTTTCAAAGGTAAGGGGTAAAAATACCCCCAATGAAAAATAGAAGTGGGAACACTGTGGGTATTTCGTGCCGCCGCACCTTGGCCCACACTAGTTGATGACAATGAAGCTTTACTCAAGGTTTCATCAGACAGGGCCTTTTCACTAGTTTTGGGGAAAACGCCCTAGCCCTTTTTGTGATGAATAAATCCGTTATTTTAAAAGAATTTGATTTGATTATGAAATGTAAGCTATTTCTTCTTTACACTTTTGTGTCTTACAGGATGATGGGAATGAAGATATCTGGGATGATACTGCCCTGATCAAGGCATATGATGAAGCTGTATCAGTCATGAAGGTATCTTATCTTCTAAATCTTCATTAGTTTTTTTTTCATCTGAAATTTGCTTGATCATTGAATGTTGTCACTATTACAAATGTATATGTACATGTATGTGCAGCAAAAATTGCCTGAAATTATCCCTACATTGGAAAACAGTGTAAAAATTCCCCCACTTACAAGTACATTTTGTACAAGTACTGTTCCCCCCAAAAAAGATAAAGAGATAAAGTCCTGACTACTTAACTTGCTTAAAGTGATAACATTTAAGTAATATATATTTCAAGGCATATATTTTGTTAGAGAAAATTTGCCAGATATGTCACTGTGGAATTGAAACTGACCTGTTTATGTTCCATTAGCCTTGCCAAATACATAGGGTTTGAACAGCACCTGCAAAAAAGCTTGCATAGCTATGTATCATTTAATTTAGGACATGATATTACTTGTAAATCTGCAGTTTCACACATTAAGCTGATTAGTACACTACATTGATTGATCAAAAGCTACAGCTGTATATACTAAAGTCAACAGCCAGTAAAAAAAGAAAGAAAAAACCTATCTACCTACCCTAATTTTTTTCAATGATGCCCCCTGAACCACACATAGTTGTTGTTTTTTTTTTTTTGCATTAATTAACCACACCTTGTAAAAATGCTGTACCTTTGTACTTTTTAATAGAAGTATGGAGGATGAATATACTTTGTTATTACATAGTAAAAAGTACCCACCAGAACAGATATAATGTAATTGTAGCTTTTAGCTTGACCATTCAAAGAAAAGGGAGAGCTATTGTACTCACCCAGGCATCGGCATCAAACACTTGGGTTGAATCTTCACACAGTTATTTTGAGGAGGTCACTGTCGAAGGCCCATACTCCTTATGTGGATTTTGACAGAATTATGGCTCTTGTTTTACTGAGAATAGTTAAGCAGGCTGTCCTACTGACAGCTCTTGTTACAGAAATAATGTATATTATGTATGACAGGTTATTTCATAGGCATAGACATTAAAATTATCTAACAGTGTTTAATATTGTTTTAGTTAAAGGCAGCAGAGCAGAATGGTTTAAGTGTTACTGATGAAGACATTTTGGCTGCACCGAAATCAAGCAAGAAATCTGCAAAAAAGCGAGGAAGATCAAAGAAAATGAGAAAGGTGAGGGAATTTTCTTTCAGGTTTTTCTACCTTTGATACCAATACTAATCTATGAAGAGCTTTTTCAAGATTTTATTATCAACGCATTGATGAAATTGATACAATTGTTTTAACTTGGAATTTTAATAGTGGGACAAGCTTTTACTTTGGCTTGCATAGGTCTTTCCTTTTTGCTTATTCAGTAGTGAGTTAATTAAGATTCTTTGTATCCAAAATATAGTGATTAATGTGTTTCTAAATATTGCTGAAACAGGAAAAGGTATTTACCTGTTTGTATGTGAATGTTATACAGTGGAAAGTAGGTGACAGATGTCGAGCCAGATTCACAGAAGATCAATGTTTGTACGAAGCTGAAATTCTTTCCGTGGATGAGTCTGCGGGCACCTGTTATGTTAGGTATGCTGATTATGGCAATGAAGAAGAGCAGATGATAAAGGATCTTGTACGGGTACAAACAAATAAACATAAACCAACGCAGGAATCAGAAAATGAGGTACAGTGGGAAAATAAACCAGTTGTATTAAAGGGACATTTGTTGACATTATGCTCATCTTTTTGTTGTCGAGATGAGCTGAACTAGCAATATATTTTAAAAGATTGGCTATCATAATGGTGATTGGCAAATATTTAATGATAAAAGAATATTTTGGACAAATTACAAAAACTGATTCAAATAGGAAAGGACTACCACTCTTTATATCTACCAATACATTCTGTAGGTTATTTATAGAATTTCCCAAGAGTCACATAGGTTATTGATTACACATGAGAAGTCTAATAAAAAATTAAATATTATCATGACAAAATGTTAGATAAGTTTGACTTTTACCTGTAAACTCACCATTTACACTTGGATGGGCATGATGTCTCTTAAAACATACTTATGTATCACTATGTTACCTTATGTATGTTACTGGAGAGTCATAATGAATGAATTGTATGATGATGGCAGAAGTGGTTATTGTGTCAGACTAGTAATCTAAAGATTGCACAGATTCAAACAGTGTTGGGGGCAAGTGGTTGTTTCTATGAGTAAGAAACTCACACTGATTGCTCAGTATTGGTTGGTTCCAGGGACAGATTTTAAAGTTTGTTAAAAATTTAATATTTTTGTACACAATCAAATTAAAATGAAATCTGTAGAAACTGCAAACCTTTAAAAAAAACTACATGTACATGATTATGTTTCAGACTGATAGTGGAATGGACTGGCGAAGTGTGCGAAGTTCTCAGCCAGCATCACGTCCAACCAGTCACCCTGCCATGCCACATCCTGTGTGGCCTGGACCTTCTGAACACCCAAAACATCCTGCATTTCCAGGTCCAATGTTTCCTGGTATGATGGGTATGCCACCACCGCCACCTGCGACACATTTTAGTGCGGCACCAGTAAGTGTGATTGAATGTGTGATTGAATATGGTAACTTTGTGCCAGCACCAATTCTACCAAGTCATGCAGGGCTCACTCTACCATTAGCCATTTTACCCAATTACTAAAACTATCATTTGTGTACAGAAATAGGAAATTTAAAGAAAGGGTAAACTCTGGTCATGTTGAATTAAAGTAAGCCAGGTCTTTTAATTGTACTATTGTTTAAGTAATAGAATAAGCATCGAAACACGAGGCTATCTGAATTGTACCAGGGGCATACAATTATCCTTTTCTCTGTTGTCACATTGTGTAAACGCAAGAAAAAAATGAGCCAATTTATAAATTTGCTATGGAGTGCGGGTAAGGAATACCTGCACTCCAGTTAACGCACTGTGCATGTATGTGTATACGCTTTAACTCCGACACATTTTCAACAGAAAGGTCACCTAACTATGAAAGTCTATTATACAATCAATGAATGATCAATGCTGATGACCATGTTGGCGTGACTTTATCACAGTTGCTGTAAGTGTACCGTCTGTTTTGTTGGTACTGAAGGAATTCATGGTGTTTATGTTTGTTTTTTTCCAGAGGTTGCCATTTATGCCCCCACCTCCCCCTCCTCCACAGTTACCAGACATGTCGGAGGAGAGTAACGAGGCGTTATGTAGTATGTTAATGGCATGGTATATGAGTGGATATCACACTGGTTACTATCAGGTAAGTTAGTTATTGCACGGGTATAATGTCTGGTAATTCAGATATTTCCTAAACTTTATTGATCTAGAGCACACAAGCTCTTACTCCGCCAGTAAAGCAGGAAAGATGCCTTATAACCTCTTCTGTGTTGTTACGAAAAATCCCAGCCCCCCAAAAAAGTGATCTCAATTTATTACTTTTGAAATTTATAGTGATTTATAGTTCACTTGTACGCAATTACAATGCAGCATAAATAATTCTTAATACTTCTGTAAGATCGCAAAGAAACATTGCTTAGTTCCCATCAATAAATAGAAATTCATTTAGTTTTATTTATTCGTTTGTATCCATGTTTATTAGTGTGCTGCTGAAATATTTTTTTTCTTAAAATATAAATGAAACAGTGAACAAACTTGCAAGTTACTGATGTTTTATTAGAACAGTCTGCATGTATTAGTATGTATACTTGAATGTCTGGCTTTTGAAATAATTAAACTATTTTATTGTTTTAGGGGTTACAACAAGGGAAAAAAGATGCAGCAAGCCCTTTTGTGAATAGATGACCTTAATTTCTGTTAAACAATATCTGTGTCAAGATTATATAAGACTGTACTATGAGTTTACATGTCTTTATTCAAGATGTTTTAAACACAGTTGCAATAGTTATAAGACTAAATCCATCATGTGAACATGTGTTTGTAAAAACAGAATGGTTCTGGATTTATTTTCAAAAACAGACAAGGTTTTTGACTGGTTTTTATATAGAATAGAAACTGTTATAGACTGTGTTCACTTTGAGAAGAAAAGTTCTGGTGAATGGAGATAGCACTATCAAGCTGTCCTTGGAAAGAGATGTTGAATGTTTTGACATACATATATTTATAGCATGAGATTTTGCCAGTTGTAAAAGCTATGCTTATGTTTTGCAAGATAATATATGTATTAAAATTTGGTTGTTGAGACCAATCAGAATTATGTTCTTTATAATGATAAGAGATAAATAGCAGATGTCAATTCCGCTATATTTTGCATGATTTTGAAATATTCAGAGTGAACTCTTGCCTTTGCAAAAACAGAAATTTTGCCTATTTTTGTTGTCTTCCATGGTAATATAGTGGCCTGAAAAATGACAATCAATAGGAGAAAATGAGAACATTCTCAGGATTACAATGAATGAAGAGCTGTCTAAATGTTCAAGATCATGATGGTAGTTTGAGAATACAATGTATAATATCATCATAAATAAGATACCATCATAAACATGATATCATCATAAACAAGATATCATTGTTCCTAACATGATTATCACCATAAACATGATATCATGATTAACGTGATATCATCATAAATAAGATACCATCATAAACATGATTATCATCATAAACATGATATCATCATAAACAAGATATCATTATTCCTAACATGATTATCACCATAAACATGATATCATGATTAACGTGATATCATCATAAATAAGATACCATCATAAACATGATTATAATCATAAACATGGTATCATCATAAACATGATATCATGATTAACGTGATATCATCATAAACATGATTATCATCATAAACATGATATCTTCATAAACATCAGATCATCATCATAAACATGATATCATCGTAAACACGGTATCATCATTAAAATGCTATCATAATAAACAGGATATCCTCATGAACATAATATCATCATTTACATGATATCTTTATTAACATGATATCATAATTAACATGATTATCACCATAAACATGACATCGTCATGAACAATATACCTATACTCATAAATAAACATGTATTGAAGGTAATACAATTGTAATAAAGTTGTTTAAAGTAGCATTGCTTGTTTATATGTCAGTCTATACTACCATGACCATTTATGCATCTACTGAAATGTTTAGTTTGTTTTAAGATGAATGGAGTATTTCAAACATCACTGGTGTAACTGATGTTCAGCAATTTTTATGACCCAACTCTTGGGGTGGGGGGAATTGAGATATACCCTTGTCTGTCTGTCTGTCTGTTCCAAAATGTTGTGTTGCGCATAGCTCTAAATGTGTAACACACTTAACAGAAATTTTGATCAACATGTGAAGTTGTGCACCTGGGCAGCGTTTTACTAACATTGCGTAAGTTTTTACGTAAGAATTATCGTAACTTTACGCTTACGTTTAAACTTACGTAAATCGTAAGTGCGTTTCACAAAACTTCCGTAAGTTTTTCCGTAGACTTACGTTAAAATATTTCGTAACTCTTCAAATGGAGGTTTGAGAACTCTTCACTATGAGGAGGCGTTGCGGGAATCAATGTCAAAATACACTGTCGTCTGTCAAAATGGAAACTCATGAAACTGTCAACGTCAAACGCGCGAGAAAGTTGAAGTTAAGAAAAAATGACGCAATTTCTAAAAATACAAAAAATGACATAATTTCTAAAAATAAAAAAGTGATGCAATTTCTAAAAATAGCAACAATGATTCAATTTCTAAAAATAGAAAAATTGACGCAATTTCTAAAAATAGAAAAAATGAAGCAATTTCTAAAAATAGAAAAAATGACGCAATTTCTAAAAATAGCAACAATGACGCAATTTCTAAAAATAGAAAAAATGACGCAATTTCTAAAAATAGAAATTATGACGCAATTTCTAAAAATAGAAAAAATGACGCAATTTCTAAAAATAGCACCAATGACGCAATTTCTAAAAATAGAAATTATGACGCAATTTCTAAAAATAGAAAAAATGACGCAATTTCTAAAAATAGCACCAATGACGCAATTTCTAAAAATAGAAATTATGACGCAATTTCTAAAAATAGAAAAAATGACGCAATTTCTAAAAATAGCACAAATGACGCAATTTCTAAAAATAGAAATTATGACGCAATTTCTAAAAATAGAAAAAAATGACGCAATTTCTAAAAATAGAAAAAAATGACGCAATTTCTTAAAATAGAAATTATGACGCAATTTCTAAAAATAGAAATTATGAGGCAATTTCTAAAATTAGAAAAAATGACACAATCTCTAAAATTAGAAACAATGACCCATTTTCTAAAAATAGCAACAATGACGCAAATTCTAAAAATAGCACCAATGATGCAATTTCTAAAAACAGAAATTATGACGCAATTTCTAAAAATAGCAAAAATGATGCAATCTCTAAAAATACTAAAAATAGAAATTATGACGCAATTTCTAAAAATAGAAAAAATGACGCAATATCTAAAAATAGCACCAATGACACAATTTCTAAAAATGGAAATTACGACACAATTTATAAAAATAGAAATTATGACACAGTTTCTAAAAATAGCACCAATGATGCAATTTCTAAAAATAGAAATTATGACGCAATTTCTAAAAATAGAAAAAATGATGCAATCTCTAAAAATACTAAAAATAGAAATTATGACGCAATTTCTAAAAATAGAAAAAATGACGCAATATCTAAAAATAGCACCAATGACGCAATTTTTAAAAATAGAAATTATGACGCAATTTCTAAAAATAGAAATTATGACACAATTTCTATAAATAGAAAAAATGATGCAATCTCTAAAAATACTAAAAATAGAAATTATGACGCAATATCTAAAAATAGAAAAAAATGATGCAATTTCTAAAAATAGAAATGATGATGCAATTTCTAAAAATAGAAAAAATGATGCAATCTCTAAAAATAGAAACAATGACGCATTTCTATAAAAAAAAACCAAAAAAACAATGACCCAATTTCTCTAAATAGAAACAATGACGCAATTCTATAAATAGAAACAATGACGCAATTCTATAAATAGAAACAATGACACAATTTTAGTTATTGTTGTTGTTGTTGTAAATATATATATATAGACACACACACACCAATAAATATTTAAATATGGTCATTTACTGCAAAAATCTGAGAAAATTCAGTAATTTAACCTTCAAGGTCAAGGTCATTTAAGAGCCCAAGCAAAGTTGGGTTTGATAAACAACAAGGTCTGGTCCTTAAGAATGTTCTCTAATAATATGAAGTTGATCCCTTCAATAATAGCAAAGTTACAGTCAGTGACCGCCAAAACAATGAAAATTTCAATAATTTGACCTTCAAAGACAATGTCATTAATGTGTGAAGGTCAAGGTCTTCCGGTATATCTTTAACAGTAATCTTTGAAGATTATTATGTTCAAGTTTCAGGACAATCCATTCAAAAATAACAAACTTACAGCCAATAAAAGCCAAAAAAATGAAAATTTCAATAATTTGACCTTCAAAGTCAAGGTCATTTATGAGTGAAGGTCAAGGTCTGGCTGGTTATTTTTAAGGGATATCCTTAAAGATTATTATGTTCAAGTTTGAAGACAATCCATTCAAAAATAACAAAGTTACAGCCAATAACAGCATGAACAAGCAAAAATTGGACTTTTAACCTTGAAGGTCAAGGTCATTTATGGATGAAGGTCAAGGTTAGTGTGGTCTACTGAAAGGTCTTGTCCCAAGGGTTGTTGTGGCCAAGTATGAAGACAATACACAAAGAAATAAAAAAGTTATGATCCAGGTACAAGTTTTCGGACGGCAACGGCAACGGCAACGCCGACCTGACTGTAGCAATACCTCTATTTTTTTTTCAAAAAAAAAAGTCGAGCTAAAAATAGCTTTTATTTTATTTTATTTTTACTATATGTACATTATGAAAATCAATGAACCCGGGGCGGACCCAATTTTGACCCCAGGGCTATAATTTGAACAATCTTAGTAGAGGTTCACTTCCCAAAGTCTCATGCCATAAATTTAACCTCTTGCCTTTGTCAATTCAGAGAAGAAGGTTTTTCAAGTTTTTACTTTATACATATAAGGAAAACTATCGCCTCTAGGGCAGGGCAATTTTTTCACTAGGGGCATAATTAAAACAACTTTAGTAGAGGACCCATAGATGATATTATATACCAAATATCAAAGCTCTAAGCCTTGTACCTTCAGACAAGAAGATTTTTTAATTTTTTACTTTATGTACATAGTGAAAATCAACGACCCCTGGGGTGGGGCCAATTTTGACCCCAGGGCTATAATTTGAACAATCTTGCTAGAGGTTCACTACACAATGTTTCATGCAAAATATCTAACCTCTAGCATTGTCAATTGCTAGAAGAAATGTTTTTAAAGTTTTTACTATAAGTTTTTACAATATACATATAAAGAAAACCAATGACCCCAGGGGCGGGCCGATTTTGACCCCAAAGCTATAATTTGAACAATCTTGCTAGAGGTTCACTACACAATGCCTTATGCAAAATATCTAAGCTCTAGGCCTTTTGGGTCTTTACAAGAAGGTATTTTAAGTTTTTACTATATATGTACATATAGTGAAATTCAATGACCCCCCCGGGCGGGGCCGATTTTGACCCCAGGGCTATAATTTGAATAATCTTGGTAAGGGTCTACAAGACAATGCCTTATGCAAAATATCTAAGCTCTGGGCCTTTTGGGTCTTTACAAGAAGGTATTTTAAGTTTTTACTATACGTACATATAGTGAAAATCAATGACCCCCAGGGTGGGGCCGATTTTGACCCCAGGGCTATAATTTGAACAATCTTGGTAGAGGTCTACCAGACAATGCCTTATGCAAAATATCTAAGCTCTAGGCCTTCTGGGTCTTTACAAGAAGATTTTTTCAATTTATTCTTATAATTCCTTTTGGTTGCCAT